GCCGACCTTTCTACGGTGTTCCAATGATGTCAAAGAGTGAGTGAGTGTGGCGTCACCTACCAGGCGAATGGCTCTTTTCTGGATGGAATCTAAGAGCATCAGCGTATGTTTTGGTGCTGAACCCCATATGTGGGAACAGTATTCTAGAACAGGCCGTATCTGCGCTTTGTAGATCATGAGAAGCTGTTGAGGTGTAAAGTAGCTTCTCGCACGGAACAAGAATCCGAGTTTTTGTGAAGCAGCTTTTGCGATGGATCTGACATGATTATCCCATGAAAGAGTGTTGCTGATGGAAATACCGAGGATAGATATGGTGGGCTTGGTGGGGATGGTGGAGCCAGACATTACAATATCGGGCATACTGAGTTCCGCCTTTCTAGAGAAAATGCAGGCTTGAGTTTTGGTAGCGTTGAATTCAACTAGGTTGTTAGTTCCCCAGGCTGTGATTTCAGCAAGATCTTCATTGACAGCATTGACCTGCCTGCGCCGTGAGTTCTTAGTTTCCTGGGAAGAAATGGGAATTCTGGAAGAGAACGCAGTATGGAGGGTACTATCATCTGCAAAGCTGTGGATGGGGCAAGTTGTTACTCCCAACAGATCATTGATATGAAGCAGGAATAATGTTGGTGCCAAAATTGATCCTTGTGGAACGCCGGAATTGATGCCAATGGTATCAGACGATACACCGTCCACCACCACGTGAAGCGATCTGCCTGAAAGAAAACTCGATAAGAGATGGCATAGCTGAGGTGGTAAGCCGTGTTTTGGGGTCGGAGATTATGATTTTTTCATCGAAATTAGGATACTAAAGATGGAGGATCCAATATGGCGGACGAGTTTTGTAACTATGATCCGATTCCATTCAAAATTTGTATCTGGAAGATTTTGGGGTCGGAGATTATGATTTTTTCATCTAAATTAGGATACTTAAGATGGAGGATCCAATATGGCGGACGAGTATTGTAATTATGATCCGATATATTCTATTCAAAATGTTGTATCTGGCTGTTTTCGGGGTCGGAGATTATGATTTTTTTTCTTTAAAATTGGGAAATTCAGGATGGCGGATCCAATATGGTGAAAGAGCTTTGTAATTATTAGTAGTTTGAAAAAGTATAATTGAAACGCGCTTTTATGGATAGCCGAACTCGAGGCCAAACTGAATAGAAGTAGAAAATTGATAGTATAGTTTAAAAACTGAAGAGATAGATTGTCGAACTAAAAAGAAGTAGAAAATGGATAGTAGTTTGAAAAACTGAAGAAACACGATTTTATAGATAGTCAAACTAAAAAAAATTAGAAAATTAGTTGAACTAAATAGAAGTAGAAAATAAAAATAGTAGTTTGAAATACTAATGAAACATGATTTTATAGATAGCCAAACTGAAAAGAAGTAGAAAACAAGATAATAAGAGTGTGCTGTTGAATATTTAATTAACAAATTATTTTCTAGAAATAAATGTACTTAGCAAAACAACTTTTGCCAGGTATCAGCTATTGTAATAAATAGTAGTTTGAAAAACTAATGAAACACGTTTTTGTAGATAGCCAAACTAAAAAGAAGTGAGTAGAAAATAGAGAGTAGTTTGAAAATCCCTGAAATCTTGATACTGAATTTTGAAACACCCTTGATTCTTGATTCGAACACCTAACTGAAAGATCTGGATGCTATCAAAAGTGTTACAACATATTGACATGTTTTCGTACCCCAAAAAGCTATTTTCTCTCGGCACTCTCACCGAAAAAATAAATATATTAGTGTTCGATCTCCTCGATTCCTGCGTGTGCGTGTGTATTTGGACGGTAGCCAGATAATATACAACTTTAAAATAGCACGAAAAGCCCATAACATCCAGAGATGCATGCTCTAGCTCTGGTTCAAGAGGAATGTTTTTAGGTTCTGTTATCATCAAGTTGCTCCACAAAATTACGATCCAAAGCGGACAACACTTGATTTTCTCTAACATGAATAGCCTCTCGATCGACAGTTTGAGTTGCGGTGTATTTGGTGAATGTTGATGTGCTATAAAATTCTATTAGGTGTATTGCACGTTTTGGAAAATAACAGGGTCAGTATTGTTTTTGTAATAGACATGGGATCTCCTTATTCTGAAAAGGAATATTCTCAGATATAATTATGAACATAAAAAAATGGATATATACAAGATGATGAAGGAATATTTCCCATATCAGATTTTTTCTAATTTTTTTAATGAACGAGAAATTTCATCCCCAAAAATTGAACAAAATATAAGTACGCCACTTTGAAATAAGTCAAATGATTGAACTTCGCGTGATTGTGCCTACAGCATGGCAAAAGGAGTCTAACCTAAATTATTTTTTTATTAGTACCATTCGATAGTACACGTCGAGCTTTCTCAGTGTTTGAAATATTTGCACTTATTTCGCCACCCTGTATATAAAGAAATACGTTGAGAATTCGCATTGTCTTTGTGATGAAAATATCAATTCTTTCTCGGTTTATTCAACAGAAAACCACTACTTTCCTGGCTATATACCACGGCGAATATTGAATTATATCTATTGAACACACACGATAAGAATTTGAAAACAAAATCTTCTGAAGTAGAGAATTTGCATCCTCCTTCATATAAAGATATGCACATGATATCATTCTGAATATTCAACAGAAAACAACTACTTTCCTGGCTTGAATGGAAATTGAGAATCTCTCAAATCGGATAAAATAATATGATGTATTATAATATAAAAATATAACTTACCAATATGTGTAGTATCGAAATGAAAATTGGAATGTACAGGAGAAGTATACTTGTATGAACTCTGATCTATTTTGTTTGATCTCTGACTATACAGGGTGATTCAAAAGTAAGCTGCATCCTTTCAGGGGCGTATTCCTCGCATGAAAATACAGGGCAATAAGTTCCTATTGATAAGGGTCCGAAAATGCTTTCTAAGGGAGTTACGTAAGTGTAAAAACATACCTTCTTCATTTGATATTCAGGTTATTGTGATTTACGCAAATCAGAAGGTTTCAGAGTCGATTTTCTCCTAAATGGTACTAATAAATAAACTAAGAGTACCTTTTTTACGTGAAATTTTCTAGAATTATGTAATTTTCAAACGAAATCACAATTACCTGAATATCAGAAGAAGAAGGGATGTTTTTACACTCACCCTCCCCCGCATATGAATTTTGAATTCAGAGTCCTATTTACCATCTAATGTTCATGTCTCGGTTTATGCCGTACACCAATTTTCTATCATTCATTCTGAAGGATTCTAAAGTTATAGAGAAAAAATCGGGCAGACTTTGTAAAAATATAAAATCAAATGTAACATCTCGTAATATGAAAAATACTCTGTTGAGTAGAGGCTTCCACCGTCTCAACATATTGTCATGTCATCGGCTCGCTTATACTGGCCCACCATAGGGAATGAGTTCCAAAGCGGGAGGATCAATATGTGGCCCGCTATCAGAGTACGAGCTATACCAAAGTTACCAATATTCAGTAAAATTTTTCAATCTAAACGTGAGAATAAATATCACTACTTATTTCTAGCTGGCTCTCGTCATCGATATCTGTTCTAAATCTTGAGCTTATCCCGTGCCGTAAACATATCCCAAAAATACCTGCCGTTGGTGTACCGTAAGGCTTCAATGTGTATAGGATATTTTTTTAACAAGAATTATGTCATGATAAAATAAGATAGCTTCAGTTTATGTCCCAGAACTTTCACAGAATACTCCTTCAAAAGGTAAAAAAAAATATTGGAATAGGCCCGACGTCGGTATAGCTAGAAATATTTCGCATTGTAGCAAAACAGCGGGTGACACAGACTCATGGTATAGGTACCCTCCTTTCCTCCTTTGTTTTTCTAGCTATATTTTTCAAATTTGGGTCATTAGGAAGCATTTTCTGACATGACATCAACTCTCAATTATCAAATGAAACATCTTATATTTCATTCAATAATCGGTTAGAGATTATTATAACGAATTCAACTATATACCGGGTTCGATTGGGTTATTTCAAACGATTACGAAGATATATTTGCTTTCAAAATTCCTATAAATGCTCAATGAGTGTGACAAAGAAATAAGTTTCTATATTGCGCCGTCACACCCACAGTGAGAATATGGAAACTTTTGAATTCGTTATGATAATGCCCGAGTTTATCCTGATTATGAAATGAAAATCGAAAGTTGATGAAAATGTGAAAAAGTTCCCTCTAGTGATCATATTCGATGTTCCAAATTTCAGAAATAGGTATAGCTAGAAAAACAAAGAAGGCTAAAAACGAGAAAGGTTAAAAGGTCTATCAGAAGCCACCAACAAGCACTGACGTCAGTATATGTATATATTAAACCAGAATATGAAAACTAGGAGAATGAAATGGTAGGGTAGGACTTATCACAGGGTCAATGTACATATGTATATTATGAGTACGATCAGCATAGCAAAAGAACAGCTCATTTACATGTTCTGTCAGTAGGAAACATCACTGTAGATTGCCATTTTGAGGGATTTGTAGGACTTGGTTTCGCTTGTAGAAGGAAAACCAAGAGCTACATGTAATAGCGAAACATTCGAAATTATTTATATAATTGACACAAAGTAGACGCAATGGACCTGGTGTATGGAGGATCATATCACCCCTTGTAAGCCCCCTGATCTGATCCAATCCATATATCCCTATAGTGGAGTTCAAAGTGACCAAGTTGTTTGGAAATATATCCAGAACTGTCCGAAAAAGAGGTGCTCTGTACTACAGCTGAGATAAAACTGTTCCCTCATGGATTGTTTCAGATCGTTTATTATCAACTTGAAAAGGTCTTTGCTAGAATCCAACATTACGCATCTACCTCATGTTGAGGTTCAAATGAATCCTGGAGAAACCTGCGGAACCAAACAATTTGTGACGCATTCTGGTTCTGCTAAATAAATATCTTGAAAATGTAGTTTTTTTTTTAGTTCCCTGGTTCAGTTCAGTATATTTTAACGTGATTTTATCAGGGCCGGACGATGATTCCAGTCTGGAGGACTGCTCGACCCTGAAGGAGCAGGAGGATCGAGCATGGTCGGAGACGTTTTCGAATCAGGGGTCCACGTCAGATTTGTCCACTTCTTCATCGGAGCGACAGTCGAATCCCAAAGGTGAATCGCTTATTGGCGTATATTTCGATGGTTTGAGAGGTTGATTCGGTATATGTTTTAAAGTTCAAGAGATAACTCCAACTCGGTAGTGATGAATGGAGTGGTTGAAACTCGGACATGCCTCCAAAATTTTCAACTACAATGAACCACTGGAATGTGACGTCATATAGCAGTTGTTAATATTGGAGAGAATGAATGAAAATCGAAAGAGATACGGGAAATGAGATAAAACAAGAGGATTTCGAGAGAATCATCATATTCATCATATATTAATTCCCATTATACTTACATTGCATTGGTAAAGTCGATGATGATTAGAGATAAGAGAAGTTATTGAAAGAATCAGGGGAATTGAGAGGATATCAATGAGTATTAGGGTGATTGATTGTTGTTGAATGTGGAATAGCAAATTAATGAAAATTAGAGGAGGTATTGGGAATTGGAGACATCAGGAGGAACTTGAGGAATCTGAGGAAATAAATGGGAGATGAATAAAAGGAAATGAGTGGAAATGAATGAGAATCAGAGAAGATATGGAATATGAGAAGAATGAAAGGAAATGAAGATTAGAGGAATATAGGAGAATATAGGGGTTCAGAAGAAATAAATGGGGATTGGGGGACATGGAAGAAATGAATGATGTCAAAAGAAGTATGGGAAAAGAGAAAATGAGAGGAATTCGAGGAAATGGATAGTCAAGAGAAATTATTGAAAGAATTTAAAAGAATATCAATGAGAATTATATAAATAACAATTAAAGGAAATTATTCAAATTTAGAGGAATTAGAAGTCAATAAATGTACATTGAAGAATTTGAGATGATATGAATGGGAATTGAAGGAATTGTGAGAATAAATGAGAATTAGAGGGAATATGGAAAACAAGAAAGATAAAATAATGAAAGGAAATAAACATTGAAGAAATAGAGGGATTCAAAGGAAATAAATGGGATATAGAGGAATTGAAAGGAATTAATGGAATTCAGATAATATGAATGGGAATTAGACATATTCAGAGTATACATAAATATGGAAAATGAGGGAATGAAAATGTATGAAAGAAAATTTGAGAAATAGTAGGAAATAAATGAAAATTATAGGTATGTAATGATAATCAGGGGAAATATGGGAAATGATGAGAATTGACAAGAATTGAAAATAGGGAATTAATGGTAGAGGGGATCAGATTCCGAAATAGTGCAACTAAATAGTGAGAAGGAATGAGAAATATAAAAAAAATTGAGAAATAAGTGGCATTGGGAGGAATCAAGGAGGATTGACTACGGATCGAATGACGTGAAATTGGAGTGAAATTAGAGGTGTTGAAATCGAAAACCTCCTTTGAGAGAGAGAAAATATGTATTCCCCATCTGTCATTGTCTTCAGTGTTTCAACGTAAAATGATGAAAATGTCATGTTGGCAACACTAAAAATGAGAAGAAATTGAAAAGATGATCATATTAACCTCAATATAAAAAACGTTAGAATGGTCTTCTTCTCTATCAATCATTTCAGAATTACGTCATTTGACAGGACATTTGACGAGGACATATGGGGAATGCTAAAGTGACTTTGGGTATGTTCCGTAAATCAACTTGGTTATGTCGGTTAGTAGTTTCCCGTTCCGTAAATATGAAATGTTCGGTTGGTTCCTGAAAAAAGGGTATTTACGGAATTTGGTTTTTATAAATAGAGTGACGACAATAGTGGTGCACTTTTTGATTGGTCAGACCTCTAATATAGAGGTGCATCCACCTGTCCTGCTTTCTCCATTCAGTTCAACGCATTCTATTTAACTTTGTCAATGCTTTGATTATACATCCAACATTCTGACATGAAATTCCATCCCTTAGTACCTTGGATACTAAATATTAGAATCCATCTTTTAGGACTCGTAAGTGTCAAGATTTTTTAGATGATGAAATGAACATATCGAATACCTCAACCATAAAGCCGGTAGTCACTTCGAAGGCGTAAATTCATTACTGCATGAAAGATACCCTTCAGATTTTCAGCTATTCTGTTACTTGACTACTCTATTAATATAGGTATACTCACTCTAGGGAATACCTTTTTTTTTCTCTCGAATCGTTACCGACACAACGGCAATCCAGATAAACCAACGTAAAAAAAATCGAAGCAAAACCCGATTTCCTTTCGAATCAACAAAATGACAAAAATGTCAATCCAGATAGCTCGACGCGCTGCGACGCCGACTTCCGATGGATCCGTAAGGAGCCCCCCGCGTGCCCCCCGCCCAGGATGGAGGCGGAGGAGGAGCCGGCGCGCTCCGGCAAGCCGCCCTTGCACCGGCCGGCGCGCGACAAGCCGGCGCGCCGGGAGAAGCCGGCGCCGGGCAGCCTCGACCGGCGCCGTCATCACTCCAGCCGGCAGGAGCGGGACCAGAAGTCCAGGTGAGTGGGGTGGAGGGAACGTGGGATGAGTACGATTGGGGTGGGTGTCTTGGGATGCATCATATGGAAAAAAAATTGATAATGATTTATTTTGAAATTTGTACTTGTACCTAGCTCAAGCTTGTAGCATTTCTTTTTGTTGCTGAAGTGCTGATAAATTTGAGGAAATGTGTTGTTTGATTATACTTATACATGTACGAGTTTGTGCCGAGAAAGTGCCTGCTTTCATCTTCAAACTTCCATGATTAAAAAAAAATCATGATTCAGGATACTTTACTAATTTTGTATTGAGATTTTTTTATAGTTGAACTCTGCGACACCCTTTCTAAATTCCGTTCATGTGTGTCACCAATGTTCAAACTGTCTGATCTGGCTGCTTCAAATTTAAATTCAATTCAATTCAATTTATTCAGAAAATAAAGTGTACAGATAATATTGATAACATATTACAAATCTTGGTGTTTCTTTTGGATCATAAGACTGCACCTAAGCATGCTGCATGCTTGTGTTGTACTAGTCTTTAATCCGCAAGAAGCATTCTAATTGTACAACTTTCATATTTGGCGATTGTAGTATAATTAGCGAATATATTAGGTTATTTGCTTAGAATTTTGATGAATGAAATACATATTCGTGAGATTTGATGAGTACTAAAAGAGAATCAATTAATGTAATGTATTGTAGATTAGAGTTGAATTTATTTGGACGAAGTTTTTAATTTGTTTTTTGTATTTATTGAAATTTGTTATTGTTTTCATTTCGGGTGGTAAGAGATTATATAGTTTAGATCCGAAATAGTAGATATACCTTTGAGTGTGGCTTTTTCTGAATAATGATGTATTGAGGGTGAGATCTTGCATTGCTCTGGTATTTTTTTTATGACCTCCAATGGCTGATTAAAACGATTTGCATTTTGAAACATCCATTCTAGGCATTGATAGGCATATAGGCTTCTAACATCAAGTATATCTAGTTGTTTATATAACTGTACAGTTGAATGAAGTCTGTTTTTTTTTTTAATATTATTTTCAAAAGTTTGTTTTGCATAGACTGGAGTTGTATTAAATTATTTCGGAAAACACCTCCCCATGCTTTGATACAATACCGCAGTATAGATTCAGCCAAAGAATAATAGATTATCCTAAGAGTTTTGTTATTTAAAATAGCTCTCAGTGTGTACATTTTTCGAGTCAGCTGCCTGAGTCTGCTAGTCAATAGAATAGTATGCTTCTCCCATCTCAAGTGTTGGTCTATCATGACACCTAAGTACTTTATATTATCACATTTTTCTATTTCAGGACAGTTGCATGTTTCTTGATTTTGGCAATTTTTTCCTACTGGCTGATCATTTGCTGTTAGTGAAAATGCTATATATTTGGTTTTCTTAACATTCAAGCTCAATAAGTTTTGGTCTAGCCATTTTTTAACTTGTTCTACTCCGTAATTTGTGTCTCTGAAAACCCCATCCCATGTTTTCGCAGAAAAAACTTAAGTAGTGTCATCAGCATAGGAGATGCAGTGGCCTTTACAGTTCTTTAAATATCCAATACTGTTTATGTATAGTAGGAATAGGATTGGACCCAATACTGTTCCCTGTGGCACACCCATTTTTATTTCTAAAGGATTACTACAGTAATCTCCTAAATTTACTCTCTGAGATCTCTTATATAAGTAGTTTCGCAGGATATCCTGGGCTGGTCCTCTTATACCATAATTATAAAGCTTCTCCATTAATATATCATGAGATATAGTATCAAATGCCTTGGCAAGGTCAAGAAAGATGGCGAGACATTTTTCCGATCTATCCAAGGCGTTAACTGTTTTTTCCACAAAATCAAGAACGGCTTTTTCTGTGTTTTTGTTACTCGTCAAGAATGTCAAATAGAATTATCTGATTGGTTCAAATCCCCCTCTTCTCCAACATGTCACCTGATTGGTCTAATAAGCCAAATGTTGGGCTAGTGTTCGGGAGCTGTCTACAGGCATTCGTTAACGCAGGTCGTCGCACATACTGAAGAGCCCCTCACGGCTGGACGACTTCGCGAGCAGCGGCTGCCAGGGCTGGTGCTGCAACGGGCCGCACGACTACTGCTTCGAGACCTTCCAGAGGCGGCACGAGCGATTGGATCCGCAGCGTTACGGCAGCAATCCGCTGCTCGAGCAGCAGCATCATCAGCACGTGCAGCACCCGAGAGGCAGCCACCCGGACATCTACGGGGACTTTAACGGCAACAGCAGGTATACAGACATAACAAATTATAAATGTTAAGTTTATTTTGACCCAAAAAATGCTTTAGTGTAATTCGCAACATTTCCACAGATGATATACTATTCTGATATTGAGAAAGATGAGACATAAACGCCTTCAAATATTCCTTGACAATTCTGGGTTGTCATGGTTTCAAAAGTTGAGTTCTAGAATGGTCAATTTCTTCTCATTTTCAGTGTTGCCAATATCACATTTTCATTATTTCACGTTGGAACACCAAAGACAAGGACATATGGGGTGACGACAATACTGGTACACTGTTTGATTGGTCAGACCTCTAATATGGAGATACATCCACCTGTTCTATTTCTTTCCATTCAGTTCTACGCATTCTATTCAACTTTGTCAATGCTTTGTCTCTGTTTATTGCTCTTTGGTCATTAAACATCCAACAATCTGACATGAAATTCTATTCGTTAATACATTGGATACTAAATATTAGAATCCGTCTTTAAGGACTCGTAGGTCTCAGATTATTTAGATGTTAGATGATGAAATGAAAATATCAAATACCAAAACTTGAAATCAGGTGGGCACTTCGAAGGCGCAAAATCATTAGTATATGAGAGATACCCTTCAGTTTTCTAGCTATTCAGTGACTTGACTACGAATGCCATTCCGGAAACGGCAGCCATTTCGAGGTCTATTCTCGTCACTCTATCATTATAGGTATACTCACTCTAGGGAAGACATTTTTTTTTCTCCTAAACTACTTCTAATATCCTAAAGGCAATAAAACTCGAATCATAAATGTTGAGTTTATTTCGACCCAAAAAATGCTAGAGTGTAATTCGCAACATTTCCACAGATAAGACACTATTCTGATAGAGCAATATTAAGAAAGATGGGACAAACGCGCATAGATGTATAGATTATAAACATCTCAATAACTGCCATCAAAGATTCGTTCATAATTCTGGTTGTCATAGTTTCAAAAGTTAGGTTCCGTTTTGCCGCTGCAAAACTTAAGGCAACAAAAATAGTATCACGAGTTGTACTCGTATGAGTATTCCATGATTGAGACAATAAACAAGCGGCTTGCGAGAGTTACGCACATTGCATTCATCATTCTGGCTTTCAACATAATTGACGTTTTAAACGTCCAAAATTGTATCGCTGAAAAACTGAAAAACGAGGAAGGTTGGTCACGTGTTTGACCCACATGTCTTCTGAATTGGCAGAGCAAGTTCGATAAAATTCAATAAACAAAAAAATATCACTGTAATACAGAAGGAACCGTTAAAGTGGCCGATTCTCATTGATTCTAGAGACCAAGAGTGGAATAGTCAACAGTAAAACACCAGAGCTTTTTTCCGGATACTTTTTTTCTTCCTAACAAATAAATCTGCCAATCAGTAATTTTTTGAGAAAAACTGTCATGAAAAAATTGCGGGACCGTAGGTCGACTAATCTTGTTTAATATCTTCATGTTTCCATACCTTGTGCACACGTATATACCGATACTTTCATATTAATGTAACAACAAAAATGATTGTGAAAAATCATGTGAGCTTAGTGTATATTCGAAATCAAGGTGGTGAAACACAGCTTACTCTAATGGAACTCATTTGACCTAGTAAATTAAATTTAGTTTGTATGGCGTAATCACAGTTCGAAACGAAATGTCATTCAAACTGGTTAAAATGCCTTATCAAACTGAATCGCTGAAAATTCGGAATTTGGAAGCAAATACATTGAAAATACATTAAAATTATGTTTTGACTTCAACCCTCAAACGAATCTAAACAACGATCCAAAATGTTATCAATTCTCTGGATTCCTCGTTCAACCAGCTTTCCATTGAGAAGTCACAAGCGATATAGGTTTGCTTTTGAAAAAATTTTTTGGGGCTGTTGTTAGCTACTCCTGAAGGTCTATATTTTTCATATTGCTTGCGAAATGTAGGTACATTGAAACGTTGACGTGACTCGGAACTTTTTGGGAAAATCATTCACCTCCTCTCTAGCAAATTTATTCCAGTTAAAGTCTCCACCCTGTAGAAATCAGAATCAATTGTCGTATCATTGAAGCCTCTATCGAGCTCTCCAAGTGTTGAAAAACGAAATAATTGAATAGTGGTTACACCATGTTCCTCCGTTATGTTCGATACTCAGAATCGTCTCCAAAATGCACAAATACAAATATATACAGAGTCGTCAAAAGTTGTGAATATTCAAAATTTTCGGATTTTCAGAGACAGGTACCAACAGTGCTGCAGCTATCATGGTGCTCCTCCCATGCCGCCGCCATGTTGCTTTTTCGGCGACAGAGGGTACCACTGGACGCCGCCTCCGCTATATCCGAAGGTGAAGGTTTCAGATGTACTGAAAATATTTGCTAACCCATTTTCTAAGATTCATAAACTTACCCACAAAAGAGCTGAATGTTTGTCCTGTAATTCCTATTTGAAAGTCAGAATTCTGAGTTGTAGATCAGAACAGTGATTTTGAAACGCAAATATTCTATGGTGAGCAATTCAGCTATTTTGTATTAACAGCTGAGTTTTAGTATCAAATTTATGGCACTAATTCCAATCTTTTTTTTTTCCAGAATCCTCATATGAATGGATAAATTACAATGTGAAATAATATATCCTATTATTTTTTTATATAGAAGAAACTAGGTATCTAGATGAAACTTCTGAGAATATTGAATTATGGAATTCGCTTTTGTTTTCTATATTCTCTCACTATATTGGTAGTAGGAAGTAGAAAGAATGAATATGATTTTGGGGAAGTGCTACTCACTCCACTCGTGATAGAATAAAACTATCACAAAATTTGTCTACTATTTTATCCATAATCGAAGTACCCCCTAACTATAGGAAGTCGAATATTAAAAAAGAACTGAAATATATCGACAAATGTTCGTTAAGTCAGTAAATACTACGACAAATCACCTAAATAGTCGCAAATTCTCTCAAAACATGTACGTACAAATAAAACGAAATAGAATATAGAATATGACTTTCCTTTTAGCCAGGAGAACAAGATGAGAAATTCAGGAAGTTGCAGTATGAAAAGGACAACCTTCAGCTACAAGTTCAAGTACTCACTGACCAAATTGAAGCTCAATCTGAGAAAATCACCGATTTAGAAAAGCTATTGATGGAGAAGAAACATCTTCTATCAGACACTGAAGATAAATTGCAAAGGGTAAGTTCATTTTCAACATGAAAAAATTAAAGATTATCAGCACCTGATTAGGTCTTCTTGGATGCGTCATACATACAGAGTGTCCCATTTTCAGCCTGGATACCCTCGTCATTTTTATATTCATGGTAAGTTTTTTTTTAATATAGAGCGGGGAAAGGTGTATTTTCCAATTCCAGAATCCACATTAGCGATTTTATGAGAAAAAATTCGCGTACACCACTGGATTCGGCGTCTTCTGAAATAGACCAAGTTTCATGAAGAAATATTCAACATTAACAAATCTACAGCGTGTCTCATTTCCCACGCCCCCCCCCCCCTATCTCAGCTATTAGACGTGTGATATTTACCAAATTGGGGCCGTCATGAATAGCCATCAATATGATTAGTTTTTCAAAGACGAACATCCTGTAGGACAGGGCCGTGCTTTTCTATTAAAATAAAGAGGGGGCGATTTTTATGAAATCATATCAATTGGCCTCATTTCCCTCATTTTCAGCCTTGGAAAATTAGTAAATTCAAATTAACCGCAAAATTTTGGAAGGTAGAAAATCGTGATTCGAAGGAAAAAACAATAATTTTCAAGTTCAACTGTAAATGTTTCTAATTGACTCAGCTGTTAGGTACCTAATGGAAAACTATAGTATATGTACTAGAAAACTATAAAAATGAGATGAGATGTCAATATGACAGGAATAGATGTTTCTTGAATTCCTTTTTTTAAATTTTCAATCCTATTAATCAGTTTCAAGTTATTTGGTAGTGCATTGTATCATTCTATTGTGATAGATGGATCTTTTACCAATATCTGATTTAATTTTCTTGACAAAAAAATTTTCTTGTCTAGTTGAATGGTGGTAGCGACTACTATTGGTTCATTATGATTATTACGTTTGCGAAAATGCCGTTTTTTTAACCCTTATAGGAATATGAAAATGTACACATGGTGATTTCAAACTATCAAGAAAAATATTATGAGTTCAGTTTTTCTGTGAAAAAATGCCTAATACGATTTCATAAAAAAAATGACCCCTTTTCGTTGAAATAAAAACGCACGGCACTGTCCTAATGAATGTATGTCTCTGGAAAAGTGATCCTCTTATATATCTCAAGATCGTACGCCTAAAAGCTAAGATATAGAGGGGGGGGAGGCCGTTTGAACGCTGTAGATTCGTTAATGTTTTTTGATGAAACTTGGTACAGATCTATTCCAGAAGACGCCGATTCCAGTGGAGTACGCGGATTTTTTCTAATAAGGATTCTGGACCTTTCTGCCTCTGAATGTGATCTAGTAGGCCTTGATTTTTAAAAAAATAGGACGCTGGTTGGCTCCAAAATACACCTTATCCCCCTCTACATTTCCGTAAACAATTCGTGAAAATCGCTCCATAAATAAAATTATAATAAGGGTGGCTTGCTTTCAAATGGGTCACGCTGTATGTGACGCATGCGTCAAAAACATCATCAGGAAGAGTGGGGGTGGCATATCCAACCTTACTCCTATTTTCGTATTTTTTTTGCAGAAACTGGATAAACATCAGTCTTCGTAGAATCATCTGTGATTATTTTCATGTCGAATTCTTTATTAGATGAAAACAATTTGTTTATCTTACAGGAAGTTCTCTCTAGGTCATCACTAGAAACCCAAAAACTAGAGCTCATGTCCATAGTGAGTGAATTGAAGCTGCAGCAAGCCGCATTAGAGAGAGAGAATTTGGAACTGCGGAGTTGTCAGTACAATAACAATTCGGAAATCAAGAAGCCTCCCCTGATGCCGAGGATGTCATCACAGCCTACCCTCACCTCCACCCCAGTTCAACATGTTGGTAATCAGGTAAAAAAAGAATCATGGTGCCCTTAATTATGCATGAAAGGGGTTGTTATCCTTTCCCACTTGAGATTTATATTTGAAAAAGCCGAGTTCAGAATACAATATACTATGTTTTTTGTTATAGCAACTGAACGTGAGAATGTCTCCTGCACCTAGTCCTGTAACTGTTTCTGGGAACAGTCCAAGAAGAATTGAAACCACCACAACTATTCAGGAAATTTCAGAGCCAAAGGTAATGACATTTTAATGTACAAGTGAACAATACGGGTATGTTGAATGAGCAGATTTCCAGCATTAAAATTTTGCGTTGAACACATATTTTTTATCTTTGTCGTGCGATCAATTTCGAGTTCAGAAAAAAATCGTTAAGAAATAGTTTCTGCTCCTCCAACATTTTCATGGCGCACTACTTAGAAAAGCCATGTACCTATACACTACTGACCTCTGTTGTCGTTTATAGGTCAGTGGTACGCACAGCTAAATTATGTAATTATGGGTTAGCTAGAAATTGAATTTTCCATTCGACCTAACAGGAGGAAGTCATGATATTATAGTCATTAAGTTGTGACTATTTCGTGCAACCAGATTCTTGAAACTTTTTCTACTCCATAACAAAACATCATGTAAATGTTGGTTAGGCTAGAGACTTGGCAATGTTGTGCTAAACGCTGAGAACTGACAAGACAACACCCACAATCCTGTGTTGTCACTTTTAGCGGGCCATATCTCCTCTAGTGTGAATTAATATAATTATTATTAGCATAAATTCATCATATACAATGAGACTCAACATATAAGATGAAAAATTACAAGTCAATGGATTTTGTATAGCTAATTTGAATTATGAATATTAATACATAATTGTGAATTTATGAATTATTGAATAAATACTATTTCTGAAGTTCCCATTCGTATTTCAACATATGGCAACTGTGCTATGATCTGCCCCTACCCACGAAATCGTGACGTCAGTTTTTATTTACTGTATATTTCTAGCCGTTTGAAAATTACCGTGGCAATATTGATGACCGAAGAAATCTAAAAAATTATGGTACATAAAAGATACCTAATCGAGTAATGATTCTATTTAAGAAATAAAAAAAATAGTCCAGTCGCCTATTCTAAATTGCTGTATTTTGAACATTGATAATTTGAATAATTTAAATAGCCAATTTCGACATCCGAAACCTAATACTAGGTAGTTGAATAATAATTTCTATGATAATTCGTTTGATGGAAACTTGCTCATTCAATGAACTAGTGTTTCATATTCAAGAGAATATGAATTACGTTCAGCAAGATCGAGTACAGTACTGTTTCGGACCGCTAGGGCCTATCAGTTGCGCTCCCAACTCCCGTTGTATGAAGAATCCAATGAAATTTCTGTTTTTGCAGACACCACCGGCGAATTACAAACGTCAAATCGACATCCAGTACGGCAGTCTGCCGAGGCAGCAGTTCGTGGCCAATGGCGTGAGCGCGATGGACAGCAACATGAACCCCAAAAAGGGGGTGGCTTTCGGTAGGGGACTTTATTCTCTGATAGGGGGCAGATACAGGGGCTTCTCGGTGCCGAATTTAGGTGATAGCAACGGTCTATTGGCATGCCGTAAAGTATATACCGCTAAGGCAACTAACATCTGTGGGCTGTGATCTTTACCAGATCACATTACACTAATTTATCAGGCATCGATACGTGCTTCGCTAACTGATCATCATCTTCAGTCTGATAAGACTCATTCCTTTGCAACTTCAAATTGAGACTTTTCAAAATGGGAATTATCATCTTCAAATTGGGAGAGACTGATTCAGCTTGGATTTGACACATTCAAATTGAAAGTAAACAAATTCAAATTAACACTAATCATTTTCAAAATGTTCTCATTCAGATTGGGAAAAAATGACTTGGCACGGATTTAACAATCCAAATTTGAACTAAACAATCCCATATTATCCTATTGTAATGATATTCCCCTCAAAGGGGCTCTAGAATATCATCAGGAAGGCAGGAGTACAACGATCACCCAGTAACACGCGTCCCGAATCTTATCCTAATATTCTAACATGCACCAGCGTATTTTGAAAGACCCAATATGTGTCACGTCGACACATAACCTGACGAGAGAAATTGTACTAGAAGCTTCTAGAATTAAAAGAAGGGCACGGAAAATCATTCGGGAACGTTCGACAAGCAAATAAGCCTGCCGAAGGATCTATTATATTCGCGAGATTCACGAAGTGGGTGACATCTAGAATACATAATACGAACTTCAAACTGGGGGAAAATGAACTGTTGTCTATGGATAAAGTGCATAGACTACATTGCATTCAGCTTGCTGTAGCTGTAGTCAAACTTGTCAATGATTTAAAGTGTTGGCACTGTTGGTAGTGATGATGGTTGAGTTGGTTAATTTTTTTACATTATTACATTTTTATTAGTTTAGTGAACAGTGAACGGGTGAAGAATTGGAGATAGTTCAAACAATTCAAACTAATTATGACGAGCAAATCAATTGACATATAAGAGAACAGCTACAACATGTTAACAATACCCAGACTGTCCTGCTTTGCATGAACAAATACAAATCCATTGTTCTACAGGAGTTCCTCTGGACCCCAACTTCAATTTGACTTCATGCGGTGAAGATTTAATCGCCAAAGTTTGTAGACAAAGTGCCAAAATGTGCCATTTGTTGAAGTCTTCTGCCTCACACAAAATCACATGATAAGCACGGAGAACTGCTTCTCCTTCCACTACTGGTCGGCTTTTTCCATCTGAATAGAGCAAAATATCTGCCAAAATAACATCTACACTAGGCATTATTAGCGTTTTCGATCGAATATTGACAATTAATGTCAAGAAATTTGAAAACTTATCACTCCTATCAGTACACAGTACACAAGCTAATGGCACTAATGGGATCGAGTGAGGATTGAGTTTGTTTTCCCCCAGTTTTGTCGTGGCTTTGGCTTTGACATGGAACGATGGAAACCGAGTACCACCTGGTAACATTGATTCCCGCGAATAAAGACGGCCGGACAGCCGTCAGTCAGGCAAGCAACGAGTGTCACAGATAGTCCTATAACGCGTGATATAAATCGTTTTACATAAATAGTAGTTGTAAGTTCGACATAAATTAGTGTTCCTTCAGTTTTAATTCGACCAATCAATTTCAAACCGGAACTAAACAATATGGAATTGTTTGATTTGGCAGCGAATGGGTTGAAGATACAAAACACGAAATTCCATAAAACCGCAGTTGTCGAGTTTATATTTTTAATAATTTTTAATTCGATATATCATATTCCATATCTAAAAGAATTTTAATCACAAACGACTGTAATGAACACATATTTATAATTATGAAAATACTTCACATACTAATATCAATTGATTTCAGTGCATCAAGAATGAATCATTGAACATTATGGCTACACATCTATCCATATATTTCGCTATTATTCATATTCATTGAATTCTGTACAATGAATGATATGTGATATTGAGTAATTTTGGTCCTCCTTTCTCCTTCCCGTTGTTTCCCTATATTTCGTCCTGCATCCTATATTGCCTACATCTCATTCATGAATGTCATCCTCTCAAATATCAAGTACGATGAATTATTGTTAATAATTAATTTCGATTCTGACACAATATTGACAATTCATTTCCCAATTTGAAGTTGTTTAATCTCAATCTGAATTAGTTTATTCTCATTTCGATTATGTTAATCAACTTGAATATGTTTATTCCCAATTGGAAACTATTTATTTTGAACTTGAAAAGGTATAGTTGTATTGAGCTGAATGTGAAGGACACCAACTATTTGGAATCACGTTCTGTCACGGCCCAATGCCTATGTTTAAATCACTAAACTATACAGAAAGCTAGATACGGGCCCCATCGCTACTAATTTTTAACAGTACTATATTAAAATGCTTCCATTTTCGTTTTATATTCCCAATTCGTTTGTTCAAATCAAAGTTCCTGAAGTGTTTGTGTTATAATTGTGATTGACAATGTTTTTCGCTGAACTTGATTTTTTAAATCTTCATATACTTCAAATCTTCATACTTCAAATGTGCAAGATGGTCCTTGAACCTATTTCTGATGGTTCTCCCAGTATGAGCAATGTATGATTTGCTGTTTCTACAGGAATTCAAGAAATTAGTAAGTAGGTCATACTAGGAGACCTATTGAAACTAGAATCATGAAATATTTTTCACATTTAGAGTATGGTGTTTGGTTATTACCGAATTTCTTTTATCACTATTGAGGAATTCGACTTATCTCATTTCAATACGGAATGGATGTTAATTCTGAATATTTTCATCTTCAAAAATTATTGCACTTCTTGAGAGATGCTGGGGTGTGCATAACTGATCACTGAGGGCTCCTTTATCCACACATAGTATTATATTTTATAATGTCTTGGAATGTTGCTTCCAATTCTCATTTTTTCATTACTTATCGAATTGCTTAGCTTTTTGATAAATTTGTATGTTTCATGAAAATACATAAAACGTGATTCGTATCGACATGCGGAGAATTAAAAAAAGGAAGATTTTTGAAAACGCACACATTTATTGTTGTAATCAACTTAGTAGACAATTGCCATAGATTTTGTGCTATTTGTCAAGTCCTTTTGTTAATCATGAATTTCTGTAATCTATTCCTTTGAAAAAATTAAGTTTACTTCACGTATCTCTTGAGCATTTAACAGTGAACACCCTAATCAATCTCAAAAAGAATGGACTCTATACATACAAATCAATCTCAATAATTCTGAAATACAATAGGGAATTTTTCTATTCTAAATTGTTTTCCCTGTGAAGTTCATAAACAACCACTGACTACGTATTTTCTTACAAACCCGGAGAAATAAATGCAAAGAATTTCATCGTTTGTCGCCTTGAAATTTTTTTGTTGCTCTAGTTGCAAAGAAAACATAAAGCTGATGAACACAACTCTTCTATTGATGCTGAGGTGTTGTGCAGTGTTTTTTCCGCATGTTGATATAAATCAACGCTGTATAGTCGATTCAATTTTTCCCTACTGCATAATGGAAACAACCATTGTCGATCTAAATGGAATAGCTAGTTAGTAGACGAGAGGTATAATATTGTCTGTTCATTGGAATTGAGAAACTGTGACAATAACCTATACCGTAGTGACATCTACATGAACACCTGAACTAAGTTGTTCATTTCTTATTCCAAACCTGAAATTTTTTTCATCAGTCTCAAGCATAGACTGTCAAGTATGAAAATCATCTACACTCGAATGGAATCGAACAGTTGTTTACGAAATGCTATAGTAGCCGGATTTATGATGCTTTTGGTTGGAAATGCGTTAAACTTTGGCTAAAATTTGTCAGTGCTGTGATTAAAAAACGTTCCTGTTCGAACTTTGTTGACATGCAAGCTAAGCAGAAAGGTATAGGGGCTGTTTATTCCACTTTATCTCTCCCGTATCTACAAAGAAGCTAAAATGGAGTAAATGCATCAAACAGTGAAAGTTGATTGCTGTTGTTCACTTGAGTATCATTTTGAGTCGGATCAGTATTTTTGTATGTCAAAAACGTTCTGAAATCGATTAAACCGGATACCATTATGCAGATGCGGTGTTCTCGTTTAGAACTGTATATGTGGTTTTTGCTAAGCAGGAGTGCCTTATTTGGCTAGATACGGGTAATAGGCCTCTTCATTTAGATGACAAATGACTATCTCTGTTTACATCTCGCATCCAACGACAGTGGCGGCCATTTTCTCCGAAACACTTACACCACAGTACCACACTCCTCAGTAACGAATAAGTAACGTTTTTAGGAATTAAATTAGTATAATACAATTAATACACACCAGGAATATGAAAACAAAAATACTATGTTGTTATTGTTGTTTCTCAATTACGAATGTCCATGGTGGTTGAAACTGTTGACATTTGACATAACGTCAATATCACCCGCCATATTCGAAATGACCAATCAGCATTTTTGTGTTGGAACTATAGCCAATGAGACCTTACCTTCGCATTACCCAATACATTTTTGGATCTAAAAACGAGCGCATGCGTCTTAAAAATATGTCTAGATGAAAAGGCCTATTGAAATGGTCAAAATTACTGACTCGCAATATAAATACCGAGTATTCGCTTAGTACGTATCAAGTATTAGTTGCCAAGCAACCAATGCGACAAAAATCTAAATTTCCGTGAATTTGTTGATCACGGAGGTTTTTCTTAGGACGATATAATTAATGAAATACCATTATTATGAAAATAATAATATATAATCATGCTCAAAAACTTCAAATGTTCTCATTCCTGAAACATCAATGCCTTTTTTTTGTTGGAATATATGAGATCCAAGAAGCATATTTTACATTAACCCATTTTTGCCTCAAATTTACATCATTGGGGTAGCAGTGTCTAGATATTTCCACATAATCTTTTGAAGTAGAAAATGGAACACGACAGTATATACGCGATATTATGCAGAACACCATTTGACAGTCCTATACAAATGTTGGGTCAATGAACAGACTTCAGTAGGTCTGTTCGTTTGTGTTGCTGAACTTGCTAAAGTTGATATTGTTCCCAAGTTGTCTCTGTTCATAGCATAATGTAAACAGAGGCAGTCATAGAACAAAATCAAATTTAGCAGGTAGAGTAAACACAAACGAAAAGGCCTAGTAATAAACCTCTCGCGTACTAACTAGCAAACTAGCGTATCCATTTAGATCGACAATGAACCAACTTTACCTTGGGAAGAGTTCAATCTCTCACTGCCGTTCTGATGGTCTTTTTAGCCGAAACGGAAAAAGTATTAATCGAAGACGGTCCCGACGAATCGCCGGGCTCGCCCAGCGTGTCCCTCAACAAGACCAAGGGCATCAAGAAGATATTCGGGAAGATGAAGCGGTCCGGCTCAGGCAATCTGGAGGACTTGCCGGGCCTGAGCGAGTTCCAGCGAGGCGGGGTGCGGGCAACAGCGGCGGCCAGGTTGGGGTGGAGCGAACCGCAGATATCGGCCAAGTGAGTGAATTAATAATAATAATAATAATGATAATACACCACCTGGATGCCGGAGAGACGTACAGTTGTGTGCAAAAACAAGTCGTACAAGGTTTATATAGTGTAAACCTGCCTATGATGTTTCAGATTTCATTAAAAAGTAGTACGCGTACACATTTGCGCGTTACTGACAAAAATAGTTTGAATTTTGACACAGCTTGTCAAAGTCGTTAAGAAGAATTATCAAGATGGACAAGCCTAGAGTCACTGGATGGTATTAGTTTGATAAGAGTTCGGACACAGAAATGACAACGGTTAGGGTTTTTGAATGTTTGGATTTATAAAGTTACACACCTTGCATTGTGACAAGAGCACCATAGTCGTCCCGCGCTTTTTCATTCAAAAATTCTTTGAATTTGACAATTAATTTTATAAACGTCAGAATTGAAAGAAAATTTCATAATTATTATGCTTTCGAGATGAAAGCAGCTATGGAAATCACTTGCTGTATAATAAATTGTGCCAATTCTGAAACAAATGGATATCATTTAATCGATTTTCCGAATCAAATATAATATCCAGCATTCGCTTATGGAAGGAAGATATGAATCGGCCTGGGTGGAAAATCAATTTGAAGACAAGCGAAATTTGTGAGGTACTCATTGAAATTCACTTCTTATAACATCATCTGATTAGAATGAATCTATATTTTAGGCCCATTTTCAAACAGAAGATCTCAAAATCTGATTGAGAGAATCTGCTGTTCCATCAATTTACAAAATTACATTATGAAATTGAAAATTTGAAAACGAAACTAAGAAAAGCAAGTAAACTACAACGTGATATATTATTGAATGGCGTTTTTGGTGCCGACCGAATTCAACATTCAACAGTGAAAAGTAAATAGATATTTATGTATCAAGGGAATTATTATAAGGGCCTTAATTACGCTGGAGGTATCGTTTTGGAGATATTTTCTATATTGATCCATGTTACTTAGCTCCTATGGCGCTAAGTGAAGTTGCTGAGAACTTTACAAAACCAAGTATTTGGTAGGTCTCGTCAAAATAAATTACTTTTTTCCTATGAAATCTTTATCAAAAAATGATTTGTTCTCTGTATTTCAACACCCTGTATCTCCGAAATGAAGCATTTCCGGACACAAGCTTATATAGACTTAATTTCTTAAAATTGTCTCAGGAATACTTCACTGGAGTACAGTTTCACATACAATAAGGAATATAAGTTTATCCATATGTTTATATTCTCTGATATTAAAATGTTGTTACATGCATTTTTTCCATTTTTATATAATAGTTGCTCTTCTAGAAGTGTATCACTATGAATTGAAGTGGGTGTTTGTACCCTATATCCATTGTCCATCTACGGCTATGATTGATTTGACAGAAAATATAACCTCTAAAATCGTATCTGACAATCAGGCGCTACTAGGGATATTGAAAAGACGAAGAGCAGAGTATATGTCTCATTCTTTTATTCACTTAAACCATTGTATTATAGAAAATAGAAAAGGACAAAAGTTCAGTTGTGTCCGAACTCTTATCAAACTAATACCATCCAGTGACTCTAGACAAGCCTGACTCACAATAGCCTATAACTGCTGTACGACTTGTTTATGCACACAACTGTACACCTACCTGGGTGTAGAGGAAACTCGCATCCAGGAGGCACAACGGGTGAAAGAAGCTCTCCGCAGCAAGTATCGGCAGCGGCTCCGACAGATCTGGTCCTCAAAAGGCCTCCAGGACGCCATATTTCAATTTCGAACCGAAGCACAAAACCACTATGATTGAAATAATAATTTTTTGAATTTTGAGTTGAACCAATGAAGACAACCTAGATCCGTCGCATTACGGTATCGCACTGGTCGCAGTTTTCAATAAATACATGGTATTTATAATTGACATTTATTGAACATATTTTGAAGAACTTTTTTATCCACAATAATCTCCCATATTTCTTAAAAGGTAATGAACAAAAACTCAATCGAGGACCTTAAGTAAGTTTTCACTAATTTCAATTTACTAAACGACCCTTCACATGTTGCTGTGGTCACTGGTTATGTTAAGAATATTCTGAGAGCTGTGTCCAGATTAGGATATATTGTTTGAAGCGAAAATTTACGCATTTTCCGAAGAATATCAAGAGCATTCATTTTGTCCAAGTCCGTAAACATTGCACATGCTTGAAATTTGAAGCTTTCTAATTCGCATACGGATCCAAATCGAAACTTTATTTCAATGCCAAATCCGCAGCTTTCTACTTCAATTCACCAAGTGAAGACTCTTCTATAGATATTCCTTTCAAAAAAGTCTTCAGAAACTTCTGACATCGCAGTAAATCTTTCTCCAAGTTGCATCGATATGGAGTCCAATACTTGAAGGAGTTCCTTTTTCAAAAGACTTTTCCTATCCGAAATGGAAGCCTCATCATTTGTTTCTTCTCCTGGCATTTTTTCAATTTTACGTTTTCTCTCCTCTCTAAAATTCGCTCCAATATTGATTGTTTCAGCGAATGATTTGGAGGATTCTGATAGAGACTCGAAGAAATCAGATCTATAATTATGAATTTAATCAGATAGTCCTTTTATCATTTTTGCACCATCCTCAACATTTAATCTTTGGTTCTGTAGTGCCAGATTGATTTTGTCGTGTTTCGCGCCATGTATCATTTTCTAGGATTTTGTTCCGTTTTGGTAGAGTTTGTCAACTACGTGTCACTCAACTTTGTGAACTGGTAAATACGCAACTCTGAAATCAATATAGAGCTTGTAGTCAATCTTCATTTAAAATGGAATATACTATATTCCACATTTTGCGCCTAGGTCGTTTGCGCCCGTGGCAAATGCCTCCTTCGCCACGCCCACGGTCCGGCTCTGCAATCAATCAACATTCAGTAATCAATGAGACGCGGTTTCTAGCATGACAACGCTTGTCCAGTCCACGTTGACTGCACAGACTGCATACCGGGAAAGCTCAGTAGAAAATATCTCATTCATTCCTATTCCAATGTTGAGCAAATCGACAAATCCTCGTATCGTCCTCAAACAAGGAAGTTTTTCAACTGACTTCGCATAAACTATACCATCCAGTGACTACCTATTTCAGGCCCGACAAGCCGTTCGCCGAATGGACCACCGACAACGTGTGCGATTGGCTGCAAGACCTCGGCCTCGACGCCTACACCGCCGAAGCGAAGCGCTGGGTGCGCAGCGGTCAGCAGCTGCAAGAGGCTTCCATCGGCGAAATCGAGAAGGAGCTGAACGTCAAGAACCCGCTGCACAGGAAGAAGCTGCAGCTGGCCATCATCGACACGCAGGCGAACGGGTCCAGCGACTTGTTTCTGGCGCAGGCGGGGCGGTTGGATACTGCGTGGGTGCTGCGGTGGCTGGACGATACGGGGTTGCCGCAGCACAAGGAGAACTTCTTGATTAATAGGTGAGAGTCGGTCGAGGTTCCGTTTTTTTATTAGTGCACATTCTACGAGGCATGCTTCAACCTCAAAAGCTTTTAGACAAGGGGTTTCACTGGATGTGATTGAAAAAGCAGCATGTTGGACTGAGAAATCCGAAACATTTGCAAAGTTTTATCGAAGACCAGTGAAGCATTGTGATTTTGCGAGGGCTATACTGAATACTTGATAAATACGTTCGTATCTGTAGTTTACTCTCCAGTTGGAATTAAAGTCGTTCACAATGAACTTTTTAATGTTTACTTATAGGCAATATTTGCTTCCTTTGAACATCTACAAGTCCTAAATTACAGTGATCTACGAAGGACGAGGCGCTGAAATATAATTATACGATCAAACGAACTTACCTGTGATGTTCGATCGTAATTATATGAAGCGCCTCGTCCGAGTAGATCACTCCCATCCCTCAAGAAATACCAGAATATATATTTCCCGCCCTTTTGCAAATATTGCATGGACTTTGAAATCACCTTGACGTATACAGGAGATCGGTAAAGCAGTGGACTATGGTAAAAGTTTCCTGCTTTAAAATTGTGTGGCTCCATCTCACGCAGAGATAACTACTACTTATAGAGCCCGTTCAAGAAAAAGTGGGTCACGGACATATAGAAAGAGGGGAGACGAAATTGTTCACATTTTGTCCCGATCCAACATCGTTTTGGGCAGACAATGATGATGACAAATTTCTACGGATTGCCCTAGATCTCCCGCCTGTGTTTTGTACACTTTTTATGTATATTTATTCTGTATGTTTGTTCCTTAATTGCAATATGTGAATTTTGCTCTGGAATAATTTAACTTTTCCTAATTTAATCATTATATAAAATTGGCATCACAGTATTCGCGTATTTACTACGAGGCACCGTATCTACCAGTTAGGCAGTCATTCACGTATTTCAAAATCCGACGTTACAGTGTTGTTGTGTTGTGTTTGTTACCATTTCAGAACTTTTTGTGTCTTAATTGATTTTCAGTGTTTTCTTATGAAACTATATAAAGACAATAATTATTAAGAGTCTATTATTGTTCGCTAGTGCGTAGATTGTGAAAAAGTTCACCATACAAACCCCAAGGTTTGTTTCTTGTAACTTAGCAATTGTGTAGTTATCGCAGGTTATTCAATCAAATTATTGCAAGAAACCTTCTTTTTTTGTTCAAATTTCACTGAATGATGGATCAAAAGTAGGTAAACATATATGGCAATTTCGATTTTCTATGGATGGATATGGATCACTAGTTATTTCAAAGTTCTCTCCGTATTTTCTTCTACCCATTCTAATTTTTCGACAACTTTTTCACTTTTCACTTCGATTTAGACCCTCTTTGAAGAAAAAACGCTCCTGGAATTGCAATTCTGAATTTTGAATTTGTTTTATTCTTGACCGAATTTAAAATCTCGAATTTCGTACCGTGGAAAAAATGTTTTCCGCAAATTTTCGGCTGGTTTCAAAAAAAACTTCGAAATCTCTACAGGGTCGATGGAAGGGTGCTGCACCGCCTGACCATAGACGACTTGGCGTTGTTGCACGTGACTTCCATGCTGCACGTGGCCAGCATCAAGCGGGGCATCCAGGTGCTGAGAGAGAACAACTACGAGCCGGGCTGTTTGCAGAGGCGGTCGCTGCCCGAGGAGCCCTCGCCGGCCACCCCGAAACAGATATCGTTGTGGACGACACACAGGTATTACATTTTTTTATGTAAATAAGAAAATCAATGCTAAAATATCTAACAGAGACCAACTACTTTATATCCACTGTGTATATTATAATATTGATATATCAAACACCAGAAATTTGAACATCTCGCGAATTTTGTTGGCTGAATCTATATTCCATAGCGACCGCATAATTCTTTCAATTTTCGCGTTGGCGTATAGTTTTCAACGATTCATGAATTGATCTCTGCGTCTTTTCGCTTGAACTGTTTGTTGCTTTCTGTGAAAGATCCACCTGCTTGGCATTCACTTTTACTCCGGGTAGTGCTGCTCGGTATTCTTTGTGGATAGCTTGGCAGTCTTGAAGGTTTGATTTGAATAGATGCGGCTCGAAGGACCAACATGTTCGATGCCTGATAGTGGACTGTATTTGTATGGTTTTATGATATACGATAATGAAATGAAGAATTGCAATTGTTCTTCATGTAATATCGACAAATACCTTCTTCCTTTAGGGTGATGGAATGGTTGAGAGCTGTCGACCTCGCCGAATACGCCCCGAACCTGCGCGGCTCGGGCGTGCACGGCGGGTTGATGGTGCGCGAGCCGAAGTTCGACGCCGAGCTGTTGGCGTCGCTGCTGTCGATCCCGCCGGGGAAGACGCTGCTGCGCCGGCACCTGAACACGCACTTCAAAGAGCTGCTGGGCAAGGAAATCATCCAGGAGAAGAGAGAGCTGGAGGCGACGTTAGGGTACGTGCCGTTGACGCCGTCGGCCAAATTGAAGGTGAGAGGGTTCGTTTTATGAATAACTATCCCAAAAGGATGTAATGAAAATTTAGAATGATCCAGGAATCCAGGATTGCATGTATATATTTTGAGCATCAGAAGAAGATATATTCACTCAAAAGTAAGAAATCTCGCAGTGAAGATGATATAAGATCGGAAATACTGAGGAGAGATCACAACTTGTCTTTTGACACAGGAATCTTTGCCAATATTTCAAAAGTATGCTTGGTCGGCTAGAAAAAAACTGACGTGTCAAACTATTCACTCATATGAATGACCGTTACTGAGTGACGACGGTATGGCTTTAGAGAAGAAATGTCGACCAAGGATGCAATTTCAAAATCAACTTCAGAACTATTAGACAAAAAAAGTGAGGCAATCTGTATTTTTGTTGACATCTCTAGACTGTTCGTCAGTCACTGTCTAACACGAAAAATTATTGAGCAAGCTTCATTCATAGGAAATACTCATGAACTCTTAAAAATTGCCTTTCGTGCAAAAAACAAAAAGTTTACAAAGAAAATATCAGTCAAACCACAACAATGAAATACGGAGTCCCACAAGGAACTGTGCTAGGTCCTATTCTTTATGCGGTATACAGCGTTTCTCACTTTCAACGGTCCCCCTTCTATATTTCAGCTATTAGTATATTATCATATGATGAAATGTTCACCTATAGGTATATATTTATTGTTCGATAAATAAATAAATAAATAGTAGTATGGATAACCATCAATATGATCAGTTTTTCAGAGAAAAATATCATTACCAATAAAGAGTCGATTCTTATGAAATCATTAGGAATTTTTTTGTAGGAAAACTAATTTTATAGTATTATTCCTCATGCTATCCTTAGGAAAAAATTCGACGCATTTCACATTACAAGGATTTTTTCATTTTTTGCCTCGAAGAAATAATTAATCATATACTTTTTTGTTGAACTCACCGTTTCCAGGTAAATGATTATTTACCTTCTCAAAACCCTTCATAGGAATTACATGAAAATTCGCATATTATGTGGGTTCAACACCAAAGTGAGACACGCTGTATATAAATAGCCTACTTCAGTTGAATAATTCTAAAGGCACTATTCTGAGTCTCGCTGGTAATACAGCAGTATTTTATAAGAGTACATAGTGGTCCTTGTTGAAAGAAGCAGAAGAACAGATATGATAGTTATGAAAAAATGGTTCAAATATAATTTACTCACTTTATTATTATACCAGGTGCTCACCTAAAATTGGTTCAATCACGGTCCTGGTATATTTACCATTTTCCACATGTTCCCTTTGTTCTTTCAAACACCCTGTGTCACGACACCTTTGCAGCAAATTAACTGTACAATTGAATGAATTCTACATCCTCTTAAAAAAACCTCACCTTATTTCTGTATAGTATAGTCAGGACAAAAAAATTGCAGATATGGACTTATTTTTCAGGTTCCGAAAAAATCACAGTTTTCATTGAAAAGGAAAAAATCCAAAGGCGAAGCAGACTATGGGGATCTGGTGTGTCCATTGAATCCCGAAAAATCAGGTGAACTGACAAGTTCTGGTCTTAACAGCTCTGTGGGTGTAAGTGACTAACTCTTTCTAACATACTCTCTTACGAATTTTCCACTTCAGTGTACGAAATTCATACCTCAATATTAAAGTACGAGATTTAATGATAATCCATTATCAAATGAATCTATAATGAAATCAAAAAACTGTTTTATATGAAATCAAAGCACTGATGAACAAGGCTATAAAACGTCGAAAAAAGATTAAACATCATATTCTTTTTTTTTAGCCAGGAAAAGTAATTGTTTTCTGTTGAATAAACCGAGAAAGAATTGATATTTTCATCACTATAGGGAATGCGAATTCTCAATGTATTTCTTTATATATATCATATAACATCATATTCATGTTGACAAATGCTCGTTTGTTGAAAAGTGGCGCAGTCGGTAGGATCCTAACTTACTGTCATTGATATTTCCCTCGATATTCCCAACACCACAACATTGGAACTTGTTTATCACTTTGAAGAATCCTCAAATTGACTGAATGAAGGGTTCGTATGAAGAAGTGTTTTGATTTCAATTTATTCTGACATTTTGGTGAGTCGATGGTGTTGGTTTGATCTGTTACTAATTTTCTTACATGCTTACTTGGATCTTAGATTCCAGAGATTTTAATAATACATTGTTGATTTGAATCCCACCACGAATTAAATATGGCCTAATAGGTGTGTTTTTAAGTAATATTCCGGAATGACTAATACAATAGTACCTACTCAGAGGCTCAAGTTCTTGTACAATTCGATTCATACTTGACCAAAATTTCAAATGGACAATGGACAACTTTATATATGAAAAAAAAATGAGCGAACTGTACAAGTACTTGTTTTGCAAGTAGAAGAGTAGATTTGATCTTGTGATTTAGAATATTAGACCTAAAATTTTAGTATGCTTCAGTTGATTTTAGGGGAGCCCTAACACACTACTTACTTGTCTGCCTTAATTGAATTTTGGTTTCTTAGTTTGCAAGGAACTTTCAAATGACAGGATTACAATAAGAATGATAGAGGAAACATCAACCATTCATACAGAGTGACCCATTAATAGTTATTTATGTTGCAAGGGAAAAAAATAATCTCCCGACGCACGCGTAACGGAGGGAGACAAAAAACCGTGAGCGAATATCTAATATTTTTCTCGCATAATACACTATTTATTTCTGTGACAGGAAAAAGTACGAATCAATACTGAGAAGATATTACATTATATTAAAATCAGAAAATTATGTCGATAAGTTTGAAGTTTTCAACATAAATGACACCTACTTTGCAAGCATCTTTATCGTTTTTTTGAAGTAATCAAATATCTGTCATTCTTATTCTGTGATTTGATTTTGAAAAATTGCGAATTTAGTCATTGTTCAGTAATTTACGTAAACGGGAAGTCGAATGGAAGATAAAAGTACTTGCAGTTCTTTATACAGGGTGTTTCAAAAAAACCTAACTCCCTTGCTAGGGTAGGTAGAACATTGCAAAATAAGTTGGGTTTGCTCAGTGAAAAAATGTCGTATCCGTTTTCAAGATACAAGGTGTTGAAACAATATTTTTTTAACACATTTCTTACGATTATGTTGAAACTACTGGAAATTTTGTATGTTTCTTGGAATCTGACACATCGCATGCATTCGTTTTTATATCTGACTCTCATAGAGGGCGCTAGTTACACGGTTCGTACCGAGTAGTTTTGAACATCATTCAATTTCACACCAAAAAGGTACTCTTGGTAAAACTCGATACTGTGTTCCGTTTTCGGAATATTTCGATTTGAAATCGAAAACAACAATACATTTCTGATGCAAAACTCATTGATTTAACAATGAATCACAATAACATCGGAACAGATTTGACTAAGAACATGGATTACACAGTTTTGTTGTATCTTGAGCAGAAAGTCTATGCTACATAGGTAAATTCACGTCAACAGTTGTGAGACATAATTGAACATCACTTAAATGACCTAACAGCTGATTCTCAACTGTTCAGAAGAATGATACATTCTTAAAAAAATAATATAGAATCGTGTATTCCTCGAAACGTAGGACATTTTGAACACTTACTCTAACTGATTCAATATTTCATGTTTCTAGTCAAATATCTCTTAATTTTCTACTTATGATTCTTTGTTCCATCAATAACTTCAGCACAGGAATAATTTTATTGTTTTTGATCCTGAATAAATAGGTAATTGAACTCAATAAAATACATTTTATACCAGCATCATTACTACTACATTATTTTCGAATGGAAATATTCCGAAAACGGAACATAGTATCGAGTTTCCCCAGGAGTACCTTTTTGGTGTAAAATTGAATGATGTTCAACTTCATATCATATTTGGATTGAAAAATCTAACCTCAAAAAAGTTATGTCCAAAACTACTCGGTACGAACCGAGTAACTAGCGCCCTCTATGCGAGTCAGATATAAAAACAAATTCATGCGATGTGTCAGATTTCAAGAAACATACATACAAAATTTCATTACAATGTTGCCAGTAGTTTCGGAATAATCGTGAAAAATGTGAAAGAAAACAATTTTTTCAACACCTTGTATCATGAAAACGGATGCCGTTACGACATTTTTTCACTGAGCAAACCCAACTTATTTTGCAATGTTCTACCTACCCTAGCAAAGGGGTTAGGTTTTTTTGAAACACCCTGTATATCCGGTAAAAAAGTACTTTATGAAAAGTGACATTTTATAACCTGATGTCAACAGGGATGAAGTTTCAAACTTTTTTCCCGTCACAGAAAAAATATATTCTGATATAATCCGAGAAAGCTGTTTTCTCGACTTCATTAGTTCATTCCGAAAGGGTTATGAATTCCAATGGCCACCAGGAACCTCAATTATTTCCAAAATTTGTGTTGACAATGTTGCCGCTTCTCAGAATGTGTCTGAGATATTCAGAAATAATTGTAAGATACGTATTGTTGCCAATCAACATTTTTCATCAATCAATTGTATGATCAACCTACTTGATGGATACTGAAACCAATGGTGGAGTCAAATTTCCTTGAAAAAAAAAATATCTCTAGTTTCAAAACAATCAATAGAGTTTGATTGACCTCCTTCGATAGGTGATCCGAGCGATCCATCACGTGATCTCTTTGGAGCAGTTTCCGAAAAAGTCTATTATTACCGGTAATCTTGTTGTTCGAATTTTCCATTTCATTTATTTACACACTAGCTAAACTTAATATTGGTTAGCGTGGATATGATTCAACATTATCTGAATGAATAGCATTTTCACCGAGGGAAATTGAACAATTTTCTTGATTTTTTTTGGGATAGATGATGAGGACGGAAAGCCTCGAGGACGAGGGTGTCTCTCGTCACGTTGAGTTCAAGTCTGCAAGATCACTACCGGCGTCAGTAGTGAGTTCTCCCGTACCTCAAAGACACGTTTGATAATAATTAGGTCTAAGTAGCCCTCCTCCCCCCCCCCATGCTCGCACATGGTTTTGCCAGATATCCGCGTCAGAAAAATACATCACAATGATTTCCAGTTGAATTTTGATACCTAAAATAAGTTCAATTTTAATTTAAGTCCGAAGCCTATAATAGGTTTCACGATTTCAACATACGATATCTCAAAAATTATTCAAGATATTGGTTACTTTGAAAAAAAAATCAGATTATGTTCTCTTTTGGACACCTTATTTCTTCATTCCATACACAGGGTGGTCCGGTTTGTAATACAAAAAATTCGACAGTGTGTTGTACTCGTTGAAATAATAAGGAAAAATCAAATAAACATTACATACTTTTAAACGTTTCGTTTTCGAGATAAAGGGTGTTGAAAATAGGAGTCTGAATATTGTTTTTTGATGAAAAGTTCGAATTGGTTTGAGATAAATCAAACAAATTTCTCACAGATACTAAACTTTTCACGCTTCATAAGATGAAATGAAAATTATTTCATAAAATAATTCAGTGGCGGCTAAATCTGGGGGTGGTGAAGAAAAAAATCACGTCAATTTTTATACGTGCATTTCTTTCTCAATTTGTATACAAAAATCTGAAAATACATAGATTTCTGCGTTAAATCGGTTCAGAAATATAGTAACATTTTCAGTTCAATAATAATATCTGAGTGTAATTAAAACAAGAGTGATATGCTCACTGTTTAGAGCGTAAAAAGTTTCGAAGTATATGTTTATATAAACTTTTTTTATTATTTCAACTAGTACAACACACTTTTGAATTTTTTGTAGTACGAACCGAACCACCCTGTATAGGTGTTGGAATGTTACATTTTTCTAAATCAGAAACCCTATATTTCATTTCATATGTTGATATGTTTTTTTTTAGATTTCAAAAATATGTAATTTTCATACATTTCATGGAATAATTCTTGGTGACTCAATAAGATAAAACTCAAAATTGATTGAAAATATTGTCTAATTGAATTTAAATTGAGCTGATTTAGTTAGATTATTTTACAAAAAAGAATGTCAACAATCAATTTCGTGGTTCAATCATCCTTTTCAAACATCATAAAAATCACTCTCAATATATTATCATGCAATAAAAAATAGGCTGTTTCATTTGAAAAAAATTCAAACATCGTTCTCTCCCCATATAAAATGTTTGGAGGGCACAAATCGAAATAGTACAACATTTGATTCAATATTTTGTATTGAAATTTTCAATATCTCAATTAGTTTTCGAGATATTGATTGTTGGAAGCATGAAATCTATAGTAAATAACCGCAGCTTGATTGATATTTTGGTAGTATGATAATATTTGGGACACCTCGTATAAATATCATTATAACTCGTCTCATAAATTCATCACAAGTTTAATTTAATAAAAAACAACACATGCATTCCTTCTTAGACCCAATTACCAAGCCTTAAGTATTAAGATTTTCTGTAGTAGCGAAAAAATTCAAATGTTATCGTTAATATCTGGCAAAACTCATTCCCAATAGAATATAGAGGGTGTATTTGTACAAAATGATTCCTGAGATAAAATTTCTTCATTTCATTTTATGTATTTCTCACAAACAAACACCCTGAGTAGATTTAATTGGTCTTAGATTACTACATTGTAGTATACCTGATATATTGAAAAACTACTTAGATAGATCGATCTTATTTTAAATCTTTGTAGCCTCGAAAAAACATGATTTTATACAATCGTATATGTTATTTCTCATCATTGTCTGCTGAATATGGGGAAAAAATCTAGTGAGCTGTAGTATCTGGTCTGCTCAAACAAGGGAAATCACCTACAGGTTTCTGTGGCCGATACAGTAGTGCCGCCGTACGGTCAACTCGAGGAAACACTCATTTTAATTGTTTTCGTGTCAAACCCACATACCTTCAACATGGTAAACGAGTTGAGCAGCTCCCTCAGCGGTGCTCTCGGCACTCTCGGCCTGCCGCGTAGTTTGTTGTTCAGTGAGTTTGAGTTCAGTATCGCGACATAAAGTCACGGATCACGGTCACTCAGTCACTCAAAAATTCAAAAAATCATTCCTTCTCAAAATGGTTGCTACAGACAATAAAATAGTCTCCAATTTCGTAACGTTCATCACCTAAATTAAATGGGAGGTAGATTGAGTAGTATGGATTATTAACTTTTGATCAGGGCTTTGATTATCTCACTTGTAATGAGCCTGTTATACTCAATATCGAATGTATTCACTTATGTCACAGAGGAATATCCCTTGGAAATCTATGAATGGAGACGGTTTCACACTTTCTGGTAGGCACAATTGAGAGACAGAGTTTGTAACAAATTATCAATCAGAATAAACTATAATACTGGGAGCACAATACAAAACTATATCTATAAATGGAAGGAATATTAGAACAATGAGAATTGAAAAAGAAAGACTTATTGTTTCAAGAAAAATACAATACAAGTCACGATGGCACGACAGCTCTTGACACTGACAACTTACATAACCACAAATTTCGAAAATTTTCTAGAAAAAGGTGAAGATTATTTCGTCCGATACGGTAACATCCTCTGGTGGTCATACACTCAACTAAGCTATAGAGCAGACCAGTAATTACAGCTCACTAGATTTTTTCTCCATAGTTAGGAGACAATGTTACTTATTATGAGAGCTGTTAATAGTTCCATGGTTTCCTATATAAAAAATATCAAGTCATAGATTAGGTTTTGTGGAGCTCCAAATAGACTACAGGGCGTTGAAGTTTACCTTTTTTCAAGATCATCTTCAACATGTCATTTGTGGTATCATTTTGTACAGACAATTCAGATACACCCTGTAAACAAATACATATACAAACATATTCCCTAGTATTAATCCTAGTATTTATGAAATGTCTTCCCAGAATCTGCCTTAGAGGAATTTATTGGAATTTGTTGTATCATGAAACTTCTCTTACAAAAATGTTTGAACATATCCGAAAGTATGTTAGAATGGGCAGCTGAATTATATTGATTCTTCGAGGGAGTTTTAAGTATAGCGTGGACCAAGATAGAAACCTTTTTCTAAACATCTGTGGTGATAAATGACTGTTACATCACATCTGCATTGTTGAAGTCAGCATTACGAATTTACATCTGCGATTGAGTAGATATGAATAAATATCTACTTGATTAACTGTAATTTGTGCCAAAATTGAATGATTTTAGGAGCCAAAAACCTCTGTCTCACTAATAATTATTGATTGATTGATTGTCTTTTATACCCCAAGAAACATATCTGTTTATAATAGGGATAACATAATAACTTCAATATCCGAGTTTGATTCAACTAAAATTTATCCAATTCAATGAAGATTCTAATTTCAAAGTTCATGAGACAATCAAATGAATCAGCTCAAAACATGAAACATGATAGCAAATTATTGGTTTGGAATATTCATTAAATTTGCCTTAGATCATATTCAATTGGATAGGAATTTTGTTTTCATTTATGGACAAAATTCTGATGTTTTTTTTTTGTAAAATTAACTTATTCACTAAATTTGAACCTTATCAAAATAATTATCTGAGTAATATATGAATAGGAAGATTATTAAAAAAAAAACGTGGAAACAGTGTATACTGTCATCTAGTTGTATATGATCTGAGAAATTCTCATATTGGTGAAATGTTTTTGTATATTAAATATATAATATCTATACAGTATTTATTATAAGAATGATAATAATCGTTACCAGAATATGTAGATAGATTTTTAGATGAATTTACATTTTTGACCAAATGACCACTTATTTATTGATTTAATGTAATTTGACTAATGATGATTATGGAATGATTGTAAGTTGTGTTTTTTAATACACATCACATTAATTATAATTAGATTTGTTTATTTTCAGGCAATTTGTAACAAGTGAGCTAATAGGTATGATATAACCAGAACTAATTGTAACTATAAAAACTGATTACTTTCACTAGGATACATAACTTTTCTATATTTCCTGAATCAATTTTTGTTTAGCATTGTATGACGATTTTATTGGTTATCTATATTATATTGCAAAATATTTTTAATATATGATTAAAATATATCATGTGTAAAAACAGATCTTTTATTTCATCGCCAAGACTGTTTGAAAATAGAAAATTAATCATACAATACAATGAAGTTTTGAATAGTTTTGATATCGTTTCCATGTGTTCATATGATAATTTCAACTTTTTTGTTATCAAAAGTAGGTCATGATTTTTCCCGATTTTTCTTAACTTTTGACTACTTGAAATTTCACCTCATGTTAATTTTTAATTGTTGCAAAAATATTTGGATTGATGAATGAAAGGAAATATTAGTTTGGTTAACCCCCAGACACCAACTTTGAATAGAATCGGATAATATAATTACAAGACTCGTCAGCCATCTTGAATTTTCCAATTTTGACGAAAGAATCATAACCTCCGGTCCCGAAAACTCCTAGATACAAATTTTGAAAATATAATTAGAAAACTCGTCCGCCATATTGAATCCGCCATCTTGTATTTACCAATTTCGACGAAAGAATCATCCTTTCCGACCTCGAAAACTCCCAGATACAAATTTTTGATAGAATCGAATCATAATTTCAAAACCCTTCCGCCATATTGGTTCCGCCATCTTGAATTTCAAAATATTGGCGAAAGAATCATAATCTCTGATCAAAAAAAAACTAAGATATAAATTTTGAATAGAATCGGGTCATAATTACAAAACTCTTCCGCCATATTTGATCCACCATCTTGAATTTCAAAATTTTGATGAGTGAATCATGATCTCCGATCCCGAAAACCCCAACATACTAATTTTGAATTGAATCGGATCATAATTACCAAACTCGTCCGCCATTTTGTTATTTATTATTATTTAACAAAAATATCATTATGCATTGCCACCCGAACCGTGTACAGGGTGGGCCAATTTGTACCCTTTTGAAGGGAAAGTCCTAATCTCGAACAAGATGGAAGAAAACTGATGTCGGTGCTTGAGCGTCGATTCTCATGAAAAACTCAATGAAAAACTCCGCATATCGATATGTGTCTCAATTTCGGAGTTACAAGGTGTTTTTCGAAAATGGGCATTTTTGAAAAGTGGCTCTACATACAGGGTTGGGCAAAAGTATGGAACCAGGTGAATATCTCGGTAAGCGTTCGTCAAATTTTTCTGAATATATGTACATTGTACAGGGTTGATTTCAAAACGTGGTGAATTTGAAAATGTTATCGTCAGTGTTGTCACTTTTTCAGTTATTCCGGAATTATGAATTTCCTTATTTTAAATAGAACACCCTGTATATCATTGGATTTTCAGATTCTCCCTGAAAAGCTGATTTCATCGATTCACCACACTTGGGGTCTAGCAAGAATGATTCAGTAGATATAGGGTGTTCAAAATCGAGATTTCTCAACTTGAGGATTTTTTTTATGTCGAAACTATTCATTATTGGTCAAAACGGCTCACATGTCCCTACGTCAACTTTTGATTTACAATCTACCGACATTTAATTGAAACAAATACAGGGTGGTTCAAGATTCAGAAATCTGATCACCCTGTATCTATTCCCATTAAATACCACTCGCTACGCTCGGCTATGAATTCAGCCACGGCAGTCAATCTACTACTTTGCTGCCTAGTTAAACAAATAACTATTCCCAATTCATTGATGTACCACGGGAAAACGGTAAGGCCCTCCGCACACGGGTCGATCGGCGACATGGGCGACGCGATTGCAATGACGTCACAATTTTTGCATTCGTACGATTCAAGAGACGGGAGTGTGTGTCATCCGCATATGGGTCGACTCGCGACTGATACTCTATTTTTTGCAACTTCAAAAAGAAATGTTTCGCTAAAAATGAGCAATTCCAATGGCGAGGAGGACATATTCATGTTTTTGTGGCACCGGCAGATCAGGAGAAGAAGAAGACAACGAAGTTTATGGGTACATCCGTACATTGCACGAAATTATCACACTCGACTTTTTGTTACTGCAAGTGAAATGCAAGAGAGTGACAGAAAATTTCTGTCATTTTATAGAATGTCGAAGGAATCATATATTGATTTAGTGGAAACTCTTGCTCCAGCCATAAATTATATGGATTCAAATATGAGGAAATGTGTCAGCGCAGAAGAACACATACTAATAACATTGATGTAAGATTCATATATTTCAAAAAATCAAACAGTTCCTAGTTGAGAGTATAAATTGGAAACATAAGATTATATGTTCTAGTTACTGAAAGTAAAGAACTAAGGTAGGTAACACAAATATTCACAATGATTGAAAAATTATTGAACAACTTTCTCCATTGAGACGCAAGATTCACTCGATCAAACTGCTTCCTTGCTAATCGCGTGAGACTGAAAACGAGGAGATTTTAAATCGTACGTTTCTAGACGACCACTAAACGACCCGTGTGCGGGATCCAGATGCTTTGCTTAGGAAGTCGAGTAGAGGGGAGACCGTCGTACGATTCGAATCGCGTCGCCCATGTTGCCGATCGACCCGTGTGCGGAGGGCCTAACAGATATCGAAAAATGTCGAGAGATCAAATATGTCAGGGTATCCCATTTTGGGCACTTTTGCGGGGTATCTCCCTTATCAGTAAAGATAGAGCATTGCGGTTTTCGCGACAGTGTGCTACTTTTTTATGAAATTAATAATGGCGCAAGCAGAATTGTGATAGCTCTTCCGGTTGTCGAGATACAGGGTGGAATTGAAAAATATCACTTTTCAGGCACCCTCCTTGTCTCAGTTATCTTTGAACTTATCGAAGAAGTAAAAAATTGTTTTTATAGATTTTTTCTCGCAGAATCCAGTGGCGTAGTTATTTTTTTGCTAGCACCTTTTGTTTTTTAGTTATGGAGCAAACATATGTTTTTTTAAATGGATCACCCTGTATATTATTCCATATATACATTGAGCATGAAGTGGGCTTTCCAAAAATATATAATTGTATACAATTATTTTCCATTTAAAAAAACATATGTTTGCTCCATAACTGAAAAACAAAAGGTGCTAGCAAAAAAATAACTACGCCACTGGATTCTACGAGAAAAACTCTATAAAAACAAGTTTTAACTTCTTCGATAAGTTCAAAGATAACTGAGACAGGGGGGGTGATATTTTTCAATTCCACCCTGTATCTCGACAACCGGAAGAGCTATCACAATTCTGCTTGCGCCATTATTAATTTCATAAAAAAGTAGCACACTGTCGCGAAAACCGCAATGCTCTATCTTTACTGATAAGGGAGATACCCCGCAAAAGTGCCCAAATTGGGATACCCTGTACAGACTACACTTTTCCAAGAGATGAATCAATATTCACTGATTTACGATTAATAGTTCAAGAAATATAGCATGTCAAAATGAATTGACTACATTCAGAATTGTCATTTTTTAAACAGCTGCTAGAATTTCAATATTCAATTCACAGAAATGATTCAACCATGCAAAGGCTTCTCATGGTATTTGGATTGACTGTAATTTTTTTCAAAATTACCAAGAGCCAATAACAAACCGATATTTCAATTCTGATGATTATTACAGACTAATTCAAAAAGTTTAGACGGCCCCCATGCTAAACCTATCAGTTGTGGATATATGCTGTCACTGACTTTTTTGTGGTAAATTTTATTGCCTACAAATCGTTATGATACACTTTTACTGTATCTCAGAGGATTTTAGCAGCGTTTATGTCTAAAGATAATCTGGACACACTGATGACGTTAGCCGAGTAGAAGTTATTACGCAAAAACCTTTGACAGCGAATTGATTATTTTAAGTTAAGTTTAAGTTAAGTCAAGATAAATTGATTCGAAAACATTTTCAAAATATGAATATTAACAAGAAAAAAAAAATTAATAGTTCTCATACGCACAATACTAAACGAAAGCCGTTCTGAAAATATTCAACACAATAAAAGAGAAAAAATAGCCAGATATTGCAAAATAACATGTACTCATAACAAAATATATATACAGGGTGGTCCGTTTTTTAATACGGAAAATTCAACAGCGTATAGTACTCGTTGAAATAATAAATAAATTTCCTATGAACATATACTTCTAAACGCTTCGTTTTCGATGTATAGGGTGTTCAAGTTTCTTTAAAAAGTCGATTATTTATTGATTTCTCAGAAATGCTATAACCGATTGTGATGAAATTCACATCTATTGTGGAAATATCACTGAGCTAACTTTTAGACCTATTACAGTTCATGAATGAGTTACATATTTTCAGGGGCGTGCATTTCAAAATACAATTTTTCTGCCCTCTTAGATTTCTTATCTAATAGCTTCGTTTCAGAAGGAAAAATAAAAACCAAACCTATGCATGTCTCTAAACCCAATAAAAGAAACATTGTAATGCATTAAATATAGTTAGCATAGGCCGTTTACCAAACCAATCATGCAACCATTGCAAATCAATCATTTACGTATTAGAAGAGCCACAACAGGCCATAGACCGCATTGGATATCCTGCTATTTGTCTTCAATGTTGCCGAGCTAGTACATTTTTACTAGTTAGTTTTTTAGATATAAGGTGTCAAAAATACGCTTCAGAATAAATATAGTTTTTCAAACTTGAAAAATAAATGAAAAATAAATACCCGAAAAATTTGTGTAATTATTACCTTCGCCACCCCAGATTCAGCCGCCACTGAATAGTTTTTATGAATAATTTTTATTTAATCTAATAAAGCTCAAAAAGTTTAGTATCTGTGAAAAATTTTGTTGATTAATCTACCGTTCCTAACTTTCGATTAAAAAAATATATTCAGAAGCGTATTTTTGACACCCAATATCTCAAAAACGAAGCGTTTAAATGTATATGTTCATAGAAAGTTTTTTTATTATTTCAAGGAGTAATATACGCTGTTAAATTTTCCGTATTGAAAAACGGACCACCCTGTATATCAAAAACTAAAAATGGGCTCAAAGTTTTATATTCATCTGGAAAGTCTGATGATTCTTCTTTTCTTATTATTTGACTGAATCCCGCTATATTTCATATGCAATACCAAATTATTCAACACAATATTCAATATAGTTTTCAAAATATCAAAAGACCCACAACTGGAACATGAGTAATGAAACGTGCATTGCCCTTTACCTGTAGGGAATTATCGCGAAATCGTTAATACGGGGGAAGGGGAGTCGTTAATCTATGGTAGGTATAATACTAGACAAATTTTTACGGGAGTCGGACAGTTCGACCACGGGCCAGGTACCTGTTTTAAGTACACCGATCAGTTGGACCACGACCGTTCTTCGAGCGGATTAAGGTTGTATTCTAAGAATTCAAACAATCACTATTTTCTCAAAATAATATGTTATTTATTATTGAGGTGAATTATAATAAGACATAAATTTTACAAAATCTTTTTGTGATAAAAGGCCATTTCTTTATTCTGATATCTTAGTTTCAATAAAATCTTTTTTTTCTGTGTTGCACTTTTAGTTTTTTGGAGGAACATTTTACGGATATTATTTTAATATTTGTTTTTGCTTGAAAGTTCATTAAAATATTTACAAAATTAAACAAACTTGGGTGAGAACTATAAAAACTAGAATTAAAATGAGAATGAAATGATTCACACGCGTTTGTGGTCATGTACACTATCTGTAGTACAAGCCCACATACTTGGGGGAAAATTATTTCCTTCATCGATATAAGTTTCCACGATATAATCGCAAAATTTCGATAGACTTGGATTACTGGGCATTATTGAATGAATTTCTTCAGAAAAAAAGTTTTCTACTTCATGAGGGTCTAAAAGTGGAAAAGGTTGATTCAGGCTGAGTTAGGTTAGATTGTTTAGAAGAAGTAGTATTCCTTGTTCGCTCGAGCAATTCATCGAAGAATATACTTTTCAGGAAGGATTATTTAGTCCGAGTTGGGTTAGATTGTTTTGAAAAAGTATAGCCTTTTTTGCTCTCTCAAGTAATATTCAGAAAAATATTTCCTAGGAAGGAGGTTTATTTAGGCCGAGCAAGGTTAGAATGTTCAGAAAAAGTAGTCTCCTTTCTTATGCAGAAAGGATATTTCCCTTCCTCATATTACGTATTCGGAATTCAGGAAGCCATAGAGGAAATGCTATAGCTAGACGCGTGTGCTAGACAATGTGAGCCTAACGCACATTGTGTTTGGCCACAGTGCATCCTTCGGGTATGTTCGGAGACTGGGAATATCGAAATGTGGGACTTACAAAATGTGGGCATATCGAAATGTAGGAGTAACGCAATGTAGGCGTAACGAAATGTGGGCACTAAGCAATGTGGGTGTAACGAAATGTATTATTAGGTAAATCGATTAGAAAATACAATTTCAACCTGGTCGAACTGCAGGGTAGGCTTAACTCGACCTTTTTCAAAAAAGGATTAATACAGGTACTCGTGGTCCAACTGACCGGTCCCCATTTTTACGCGCTCTTTATTTCTTATTTATTTCGGACTCATTGTAGGTAGCTCAATAATTTTCTCACTATTTAATTGATGCATTATCCTAGTTTGACAAACTCAGTCAGTTTCATTCTAAACCGATTCCAAATTGGCAACAAATAGTATTCCGTAGTACAACGTCCTGATTTTCATTGAAATTGAATTTCTTTACAACATCATAAACGGTACTGATGGTTCATCCTAATGAATTTATTTTTTTACCGAAAGTTGGGTAGTTCAGGGGTCAATTCGCCTCGATTGAGTGTGCTTCTAATTTTTAAATCAAATGAGCTATAACCTTTTAATAACGAATGCACCGATATGAAATGATGTGAAATCTCAACCTACTAGTGTGACGTCAGCATCGAGGTAGAGGGGATAGACTACGGCCCGGTGAGATAGAGTAGGCCCTGTGCTAAATAAAGCCCTTTGAAGGTATAGGTTCTCAAATATGCTGTTTTCTTCAATTATCTTTGTTATCAATGATCCTAGAATAACGAAATTGGGTACATAAGTGTTTTTGTTCCACGGTTCATCTCATTTCTACTACCTGTATTCCTCAAACACTTCAACATGAAATAGGTATTCCTGTTTAAACGCCATAAAACGAACAGTTTTCGAGAAAAGTGTCATTTTTCATTTTGATGTCCAAATAAAGTCACAATGATTTTGAGCATGTTCTTATGATGGAAAAAATTGAACTTGATAATTAGAATTTTACATTTGCAGTTTGTTTTATTTCATTAGAATTAATCGTGATGTTGATTTGGTGAGAAAATATCCGCAATGGAAATTGATGTAGGTATGAGATAGATCTTGAAACATAAAAACTTGGGGAATTTTTATAGCATTGGTTACGCACCTCCCTGTATATTAAATCGAGTTTTCCGCAGCAGGAAACGATTTGTAAGACCGAATTACCCTTAGGTACCAAATTTTGTGATTTTAAGATCAATGATGAAAAGATAATTGAAGAAATCTGCACTTAAGGACGCCTTAGGAAGCATTATTTTTACCTGCAGAATAACCTGCCGGTCCCGGAGAATTACGAAAGTTATTCTGGGACACCCTGTATAATGAGAGTATTATACTGGTGATGATATTTGTGATTTTTGCAGCATAATAAACATTGTGATAATAATGTACATTGATAAAAAATAATACCATGGAAACAATATGAACAAAGTCAAAGTGTCAGGGTCAAAAGTATTTGTATTGAGATTGGGTCAGAATAAAGAATCCGTATTAAAAATCTTAAATAAATTAGTCGTAAATGAAGTAGAGTATACTACTCGCAATAATTCATATTATTCTCTCTGATTGATACTCCCTCGCCGATGCCGCGTAAATATTGCTGGAGAATAATAGCTGATAGCTATCATTATTGAATTATGGTATAATCTACTATTTTTGAAAAGTTGAATCACTTCCTCCATTTTCAAATATTGTTACATGCAGCTAAAATTCCCACAAGTGTCTTGTGAAAATTGAAAAATTCATCAATCAAAGTGACAATGTCAAATAATTGACAAATTCAAAATTCCAGTGAACAAAAATAAAAAAATGCATCTAATAAATGGTAATGGCACAGGATCTATTACTTAGGGCATCAGAAGAACTCACATTAAAGACCAGAGGATACCGTTTATTGCAGAAGTTAGGTGAAGGATCATATGCTACAGTATATTTAGCTGAATTCTTAGCAGGTAATGACAAGGAAAAAACCTCCGAAAAAGCAAACAAATTACTAGCATGCAAAGTAGTAGACGTCTCAAAGGCCCCCAAGGATTTTGTAAAAAAGTTCTTACCAAGAGAGCTAGATATATTGATCCGCATAAATCATCCCCACATTATCCATATACACAGCATATTTCAAAGAAAAACAAAGTATTTTATTTTTATGCGAAATGCCGAAAACGGTGATCTGCTGGAATTCATTTTGAAAAAAGGTCCCATATCAGAAGCACAGAGCAGAGTATGGTTCAGACAAATAGCCTTAGCAGTTCAGTATTTGCATGATATGGAGATAGCACATCGTGATTTGAAATGTGAGAATGCCTTGATAACTAGTAACTACAACTTGAAACTCGCCGATTTTGGTTTTGCAAGATTTGTAGTTGACAATCATGGAAGAAAATTAACAAGCACAACTTACTGTGGTTCTTTATCATATGCAGCCCCTGAAGTTCTCAGAGGACTGCCCTATCATCCAAAAATAGCTGATGTATGGTCATTAGGAGTTATTCTATACATAATGGTAAACAAAGCAATGCCATTTGATGACAATAATGTCAAGAGGCTTCATGATCAACAAATGAATCATAAGTGGAAATTTCGATCAAAGGTAGTTGATCATTTGAGTGAAAATATCAAAGATCTTGTTACAAGATTATTAGAACCAGAAGCTAACAAGAGGTGGCAAGTCAATCAGATTTTATCAAGTGATTGGTTGGGCATGGATCCAAGATTGACACAACTATCACCAGCTGAAGAAACTGCTTTGGCTCAGGCTCAAGTGGAAAGAAAGAACTATGTTGAAAGTGGTAATAAAACTGGTGCTGATGACAAAAAAGTTCTTCAACTGGAAGAAGTCAAAGTTCTCAAACCCACTGTGAATGAAGATGATAAAATCAAGAAGTTCCCTAGTACTGAAGCTGTTATGAAAACATCAATTGCTTCTGCCAGTAATCAGCAATAATACACAACAAGAGGTACAAATAATCAATTCATTATAAACAACATACAAAATAATAAGGATTGAAATATGAACTCAACAAGTTTTAAGTTCCTCATCAAACTTTTCCAAAGTAATATCACACACCTGAACTAAGTCATCTAATCCTCTCTTGAGAGCATCAATGGCTTTTCCTTTGTGCATTTGTATTCTGAAATGCATTTTGGCCTCTGCTGGATGAGGAACTGTGTATCCACAAAATTGAACATCAGGACTAAAATAGACAACAGTTATCATTGAGTTTCAACAATATATGATAACTACTTACTAACTAGAAATCACACATCTCAAAGCATTTCCTAAGGTATGCCCTTCATCACTGAAAACAAATGTTTTTGATTTTGCAGAATCACTAATGGATTCACTTTCTGCCAACTGAAATTGCAAAAGGAAAAATTAATGTTTCAGTCTGAGAATGTGGCAGGTGATAAGTGAAGATAGAGTCTGTAATTTGATAACTGCATTTGCTTTTTGAAATTCAATATCTTTGGAGGCACTGTTAAATTTCTCTGATAAATCAACATTTATTTGATCAACTTGGTTATTTATTGATAGTGAATTTTCTGAATCTTCTTGAGTTGGATTACTTTGTTTACTGCACAAACTTTTAAGCTCAAGAATATCTTGGGCCATTCTGCCTCTGATTAAGCATTGGAAGTTTTCCGGAATATCTGCCATTCTTTCAGATCTGAAAGATCCACAAATATAATGAAAATAATAATATTTTACCTGTGCGATAGGCATACTTTACAATCACCTTGTGAAAAATAATGCGGGCTAATAAAATAATAAAATCAATTAAGCAAAATCTGGCAGAATCAAAAAATCAAATTTTTATATTATTCGTGATTATAACATAAACAAAAAACATAAATAACCTCAAGGCCCAAAAAAACTGTGACACAATGGCACAGAACAGGAACAGATGACCAATCAGTGCTCACTAAAGTTTCACTTGTCACTGTCAATTGCCTATCAATCCATAATTGTCTCTCGCCAGTCGTTCAAATTGTAGCTTGGTGCTGTGCTGCGGTAAATCTCGAGATTATAGGTATTATGAGGGAAAAATATATCTTTGCTGCATGAAAAATGAGCCTACTTTTAATCCAACAATGATATCTGATGGCCTAGATGAAGCTTCTTTAAATTGTGATAAACAAGCCAACAGTGCCAACACTCGATATTTCTTCTTTCTTCATAAATGAAACTTTCGAGTAACTTGATAGCTTCTCTCCAGAAAAAAGGTTCATTTAGGCCTTTTTCATGCAGGAACGATATTTTCCTTCCAGATTTTGCGCATCACGGCAACAAGCTACTGGCTGACTGGCAAGACTAGAGCTTAGCCATAGCACCAGTGCGAGAATATTGCGCCTGGTGCGCAGGTCGCATAAATGACTTCATCATACTTCGTCTCGTAAGTAACTGGTTGGCTCAGTAAGCAGAGCATCGGCATGCCAAGCCGGCGGGCCGGGGTTCGAATCCGTGCGAGGCTCATCTTTTTTTTTATTTTTTTCTTGTTCTCAAGTGATTTCTAAAAAATATTCTCTATGGGAAATAGGTTCATTTAGGGGTTTTCTATGTTTAGGCCAGAGGTGAGGTTCGGTTAGGTTAGGTTAGAATAGAATAGAATATTTTATTTGGTGTTAATAAACATCAAGTTTTACACAAACATGTCAACGAAACAAGTACAGATATACTCATAAAATAGATAGGTTAGGTTTTCTCATTTTTTATGCAGGAACAATATTTTCCTTCCTCAAGAAAAATTCTCCTTCTAGAATATTTTATTTGGTGTTAATAAACATCAAGTTTTACACATAGGTCAACGAAACAAGTACAGATATACTCATAAAATAGATAGGTTAGGTTTTCTCATTTTTTATGCAGAAACAATATTTTCCTTCCTCAAGAAAAATTCTCCTTCTTCAAGAAAAAAGTATGATGAAGTCATTCATGCGACCTGCGCACCAGGCGCAATATTCTCGCACTGGTGCTATGGCTAGGCTCTAGTCAATTTCTCGCGCCCAGCGACCTGCGCACCAGGCGCAATATTCTCGCACTGGTGCTATGGCTAAGCTCTAGTACTGGCTAGAGTCCCTGTATATAACTTAGACAAGAGTCCGGACACAGCTATACTTCTGTCCTTTTCTGTTTTCAAAAAATGCATTGATGATTGAATAAAGGAATACGACATATATATCGAACTCTGTCTTCTCAATTCCCCTAGTATCAATGATTGTCAGAAACCCTTTTGAGGGTTAGATTATTTGTCAAACCGTTCATAGCCGTAGGTAGAAGTGAGAAATAGGGCTATTCTAACTATAATAACTATTAGATATTCGAATAATGAACAACAGGGTGTTCTGATTTCGAATCGATAATTTTCATAATTAATTCCTGAGATTGCTATTGCAAATTTTTGTCATCAGATATTTCGTCACTTCATTAGATATAAGAAAGATAATTTAAGTGTTCTACGTTGTATCCCATATAGCCAAGAAAATATAGTTGTTTTCTATTGGGATATAAAAAAATAGAAGATACATAGGTAATTGTTTCAATATAATTTTCTCCGATTCTCTCAATTTAATAACACTCATCAGAAATAAAAGTGACAAAATCAAAACAACAATATATTTGGTAGCGAGTGCTTTATTAATTGTGTTTTCCACCTCTTCCTGCAGTCTACATTCACCTGTACATTTTGAATTTGATCTGAATTAATAACACCGTGGACTGATGATATAGCACATTGCAGTTTCCCTAAATCTTCTAGTTTTGATTTCAAACTTTCAATTTCTTTCTTTCCGCATCATCTCATTCTCATTTTCTCTCTCTGCGAACGTATCATTCAGTAATTTCCAATACGATGACGACGGGACTCTTTTTTTGAACGTCTCTATTTCATAAATTGACGGCACAGCAGACTCTTTCGATTTGAAATCCATCAGCTTGAAAAAATCTCTATCAAAATGGGCCTAAAATTCATCCTTTTTGTACTGTTTTCACGAGTGAATTTGAATATTTACCTCACATATTGCGGATTTCTTGAAATCAATTTTCCATTCTGGACGTTTCATTCCATTCTTCCATGACATTGTCTTTGAAGGATCATTCGGAGAATTGAATAACTTGAATCCCTTTTCTAATGAATTATCGCAATAATGTACGCAGTAGGACATTGAAATAATTTAAAATGCTAAATTTTGGCAGTCATAAAATTCCAAAGTGACAGTGACAGACATTCGGAATAATTAAAAAAAGCGGGCGGGACGACTATGTAGTTTCGTCACATTGTCAGGTGGGCAAACCAAATGAAACAAAATATTAAATACCCCAACGGCTGTCAGTTTTGTGTCCGGACTCTTGTCTAAGGTATATACAGGGACTCTAGTACTGGCAAGAGACGTTTGTATCAATACTGGCTGTGATAATTGTCATTGTCATTTGTCATTGATTTTGTTGGATTGTTGGAGACTATCTGGGTTGGCCTGGATTTTTTTACCAAATTACAAATTTTAGTAAATTGTACAAATACCTACTAAAAACTCTCTACAAAGTAAGTATTTCATTATATCTTGATAGGAACGTGATATCTTCTCAAGTTTTTTATATATGTATTGTTATTTTAATAATTAATTCCACTCAATTGTTTCTGCTGGATTATGTAATTTAAATCTTAAATGGGCTATGAAATCTAGAAAAACCATATCACCTTCTGTCCACAGTCCAAATTTTATGACAACATTTTTCCAGAATGGGTCATGGTTTCGGACAACTTTATAAACTGAGAGGAATTGTCATGTACAGAATATCACATTTTGAACAGAAATTGTTTACGGGTATCATATCACATGGATTTCCCAACACAATAAGAAGAATTGCAGAAAACTTCCCATATATTGCCCCACGTGAGTACATTAATTCAATATTATGACTGCATGGTTTGAAATGGATCATGAATTTCAATAGGTAATAAAAAATATAAGCTCTAATAATTCTGATCTGATATCTATAAACCCAGCATAATCATTGGTAAAATAGATATAATCAATTAATCAAGCCTTCACTCAAAGATCATTCATTTTCAGCTGTTGCTCTGTGCTACCTTAGTTATGATCAATTAGAAAAAGAACATCACCGATTGATGCTGAAGAATCCTGCTGATTTCGAAAATGATCAATAAACATTGTCTTTCAATAATTTATAGTAGGCTGTAAAATATACAAATACAATTACAAATATACATTCTAAGTAGTGAATGTAGTTTTTCATTTTGTATATATAAAGTAGTTGCATATTTGATGAGTGGGAGTGAGATGAGATGATGATGAAGGAATAGTTCATTTGAGGCTCTGGTCTAACTCCTAGCATTACTATGTACTATCATTGGTATATGTTGGATGTAGAAATAGTTCATTTGATGCTTTGATCTAACGCCTAGCATCACTATGTACTGTCATTGGTATATGTAGCCCAAGAATGTCAAAATCAAGAAGTAGACGAGACAGATGGAAAAAAGGAAGAATTTAGAACATGGCTGGGTGTCCTATGTCCTACTGGGCAAGAGGCATAGATTTACCCCCCTGTTTTATGACAAGAGGCCAATAAAAAGGAAGAAGATGTAATATAACTACAAATATTTTGAATATTTATCAATTTTATCATCATGAAAGTGGCCTCTCGCGTAAATGCACTGTGTAAAAACCTGATCAGACCAAATTTTGAATTTGTGTTTCCGTATTCGACAGCTCTTCCTAAGGAGAAGAAAAAAATTGGACAGTTGCTGATCAGCTGTAAGCGGAAAAATTTGAATCATTATAGCTCCATATATTATGGAAATCTAGATGAAGTGCCCCTAGCCTCAAAAGGATGGAGTCACTCAAAAGCCAGAGGCGATTTTCTTACGGTACACCCGTTTCCTGATGAAATGCATGAATTAACTTACTCATTGAGAGAAATGGGGCTGAATGCAAGCATGATTGAAGCACTTAAGAAAGAAGGAATACAAAGGGCCACTGAATTTCAACATAGAGCTTTTGATGTCGTCAGATCTGGTACAGTTTCAAACCTACTTATATTATTTATCATTATCATATTGTAATAGTGGTGGGTTTTGTAATTCTTTCATTGAAGCATAATTGAGAATATTTTTTTCCAAAGTCAAGACATGCAACACCAGAGAACTGTAATTTCAGGCCATTCCATCCTTTATCAGAATCCTTTATCAATGTCTAGGTCTAATTACACCTGATACAGTTCCCACCAGATTTCTACCTACCTCTAATAATTTAATATAATATTAGGATCCCATGTGATGTTAGCAGCTGAAACAGGATGTGGCAAAACACTGTCTTATCTTTTACCAATCATTCAAGAACTATCAGGAAATAAAGCTCCAGCAATGAACTGTCCCAAAGCAGTTGTGATTGTACCAAATAGAGAACTAGCTTACCAGATAGGAGAGGTAGCAAAAATTCTTGGAGACAGTGTGGGAGTTAATGTTAAAGTTGTGGTTGGAGGGAGAATTAAATCTATGATGATGAATCCTACATTTGAAGATATTGATGTACTTGTGGGTACTCCTGGTGCTATTGGGAAACTATCTACTGTTGGAGTGTATAAACTTAATGAGGTAATCATCTCTTAAGAGCAGTGAGTTTGTTCACCACTAGATGAATACATTGATGATTGCAGGGAATGTTGCTATAATATCAAAGTTCCCATTTTTCAGGCAAAATATGCAGTTCTGGATGAAGCTGATACTCTAATAGATGACAGTTTCATTGAAAGAATGAGTTCTTTGGTGAAAAGATTATCACAATCTCAATTCCTCTTAGTAACAGCAACTCTTCCAAAAAGTTTACCAGACATTTTAGCACCTTTGGAACAGTCCATGAAGCATGTGGTATCACCAAGAATACATAAACCTCTTCTAAATATAACACAAAAATTCCTCAGGTTGAATGCATCCATGAAACCATCACATTTACTTCAAACCGCCAAAAATAATAAATCCCCAATGGTGATCTTCACAAACAAGAACCAGACTTGTAACTGGGTAGCTTTGTTCCTGAGGGAAAATGGTGTCAACTGTGCAAATATAAACGGTGACATGAACTATGCCATTCGGATAGAGCAGTGGAACCAGTTTGTTAGTGGTAAAGCAAACATTTTGGCAGCTACTGATGTTGGCAGCCGTGGACTGAATACAATTCAAGTCATGCATGTTCTCAACTATGATTTTCCATTATATGCTGCAGATTATTTGCATAGGATAGGGCGAGTGGGCAGGTTGGGAAGCCCAGATTCTTGTAAAGTCACTAATTTCGTTGTTGGGGAACAAGAAGTGAAACTTGTTCAGCAAATCGAGGTGAGTGTTTGGACAAAATTTCATTTTACTGCAAAACACTAATATTTTCAAAATTCATCCATCAATGAGTTCCTGATTTTGTTTCAATTCACTTACTATCAAGATAAATATTTTTGGCGCCCAACGGGGGGTTTGATAAATTGATCATTTATTTTTTCTTCACAATATTCACTAAAAATAGCAGTGTTTTGTATCACAGTTAAATTACAGGTATAACTGTTTAATATTAAACATTGAAAGAAACTATTCACTAGTTTTTTATCAAGAGGAAGAGAGATCTTTATTGGGAAATTGCCCAAACGGGTATCAACTGAATCTTTCAGCCTACTCACAAATTCATCTAATAGACTATAGATAGATAAAAAAAAACAATGCATATAAGTTAATAACAAAACAGTTTTCCTGTTGTAGCTAAAGTAATCCTTGGTAGGTGGTAGTTTCTGGGTGTTCATGTTTTCTTTTTTAGTTTACTGGGGTGTAAATGATTTGGGCTGTTATGATGAGGGTATATTTTGCGAATTTATCATCAAATATAATCAAATTCGCTCTCTTTCAGCTCGCAATTAGAAGAAACCAACCGCTTACAAATGTAGATGGCAACATAACGAACATTGTCCAAAGAAAAATAGCAAGAAATATGAGAGAATCTGTATGAAAATGTAGATTTATATCTGGATATAGCTTCAGTTTTGATGAAATATTATTTATTATTCCATTCAATGCAACTTGTTGAATTAATAGTAACTAAAATAAGTCAAATATAATATTTTGATCACATGCCCTTCAATCATCACTGGAATCTGAATCACTTGACTCTTCAGAAACTTGAGGTCTATTTGTATTAACAAACAAATCATCTCCATCAGATTCCTGTTCCTCACAATCAGTGAACTCCTGCGGCCACACTTTGTCCTTTTTGAACTGTTTGATATGTTCGTTCGTCAAAATCCGAACCATCTCAGCTTTCACTTTGTCGCCCTCCTCGATGGGTTCAACCACCACAAAATCGCCCCTTTTCACCCAAACGTTTTTACGGAACTTGGTTGGCATGGATGCCAGAAAAACCGACTTATCAGCTGCCTCCACTTCATGAAGGTTGTTGCCCCTGCTGTTGAGAACTCTGACGATTTGTTGATTCTCTGTCGGCAGAGATAAGTCATCTTTGAAGACCTCAAGGAGAACGTGTTTTCTTTTTGTTGCTCTTGACATTACTGAAAATGAATTTGTATATTTGCGGTAAAATTAGTAGCGTCAATGATTTAAGAACTCATTTTATTGGCGCAGTCGTAAGGTCAATTTTGAACACCCTGACTGTGAAACTTTGTGAGTTCCAGGGTTTCTCTTTATCAATGTCAGTACACGTTTCTTTATCCTGACATAATGTCAATTAATATACAGTCATCAAAAGAATTATCACATGTCAAAATCATGAATATTTCAGATTCACTGAAAAACATTTATAGTGGTCCATTCTCAAATTATTTGGCCATTTCCACCAGTCTAGACAGTTTGATTGAACAACAAAGTAAATTAGTAGATGGTCTATTCAAGTTACACATCAATCTAGTAGATATAACACTAAAATATAAGAAACCATTACTACCCCAAGAAGAAGGTATATTTATGGGAACTATAATGAAACAGATAGAAGTGATCAAGAAATTCACTACAGAAAATGAAACTAGATCAGAATACCTACTATGCGTTAGTAGATTCATCGATATTTTCTCGTGGATAACACAAAGAGAGATCGGTGATTTTTTAGAAATCCTGAACAATAAACTCTCAATTTACAAGAATGATATTATGAATGGTACTCCGAGTTATGATAGAGTCCATAAAAAATGGCTGGAATCGTGGATCGAAACTCTAGAAAAGCTGTCAGATTTCGTTATGAACAATTACCTCAACGGCCTCACATGGATGGGCACTGAGAAGTTACCAGTTCAGTTTTTATTGGGTGATATAGCATCAGAGTTCAGAAACTTTGATCACTTGGCACTATTTAAGGAAATCAACCAGGGAGAAAACATTGTGAGGATTTTACGACACCGGAGTGATGATGATGGTGAAACCTCAACAAGCGTAGAATAATGAAATAATCTCAAATCGATGAAAATAGACTCGTATATCATGGAGAAATAAAAAATGCATAAAATGATCTCATGTTGGGCGCCAATTATGGTGTACCAGATTTCCGCTCTATTGTTCTAGTCACTGAATATATGGACCTTCTGCCATAAAGGAGGGAATACCGGCAATTAGGAGGGGCTACAATTCTTTCAAATTTTCAAAGCACTGTCATACAATCTTACATAAACTAGTCATTAATTGTGTGTGGCTGAAAATCGGGATAGGGATTACCGAATCGTGTGTATTCAATTAATGACAACTCAAAATACGCCAGAATATTCACCTTTTCAAATCAAACCTGCTGCCATACCAACAACTGTAATTCCCGCCAGCTTTTTCTATTGCTTGATAAATATCCAAAGATTCACCATTTCCGATTCCATATCCTTTACTGAGTCCATGCGGATTAGAAGGCGTAACGCAATCCTGCTTCGACTCTTTCCTTAGCACTTTATCCACTTCCACCGACGAAAAAAATGCCACCGACTGCGGCAGATCGTGCAAACCAAGTCGATACGAGCAAAACGACCTAACAAGAAGATTCGTCACGTGCAGCGCCAGGGCAGCTTGGTACCTGTACGCGTCAGGCACCATATACCTAACCTCGTCATGGAAACTCAAACAGAACCTCACTTTGTCACCCATGATCCAACGCATGCAGACCAACATCAGGTGAAGAAAGTCTGCAGCTCCGCTTTGCACTACCCAGTTAACTCTAGTTGGTAAGTACCGGTCATCTTCAGATTTCGGTTCCAAAGCTCTACTGAGTCGGCCGCCCAAAAAAGGAGTAGCAGGAGCTTCACTGTTCGCTATTTCCTCCAACCTGTTGAACATAGCTGATTCTGTACCGCCTACCCACTTGGACTTGTGGAACATTTGATCCAGAGTTTTCCCGCAGATTTTCGCTACATCCAGGGCCTGCCACTTCGAGTAAGGCAAATCAGCGAAATCCAGCAGATACTCCGACTTGAGGTAGAACGTTTTCTTTCCTTTGGTCAAAGCGAACATCTTCATCGCTTTGCTCCTGGCTTCGCCCTCCGACATGGTCGGATTGAACTGCTTGAGCAGCCGTTCGGCGAAGTTCTGTCCTGCGCCGTATATCCGCGCATAGTTGATGACCTTGGCGTGGTCCCGGCTGATGCCCACCGCCTTAGCGGTGACGCTGTGCATATCGGTGCCGGCGGACTTGTTGCCACCGAGTGTCATCCAGCCCAACGGAGTGGCGCCGTGCGTTCGGGCTTGGTGGGCGTCTCCCAGCACGGAAGCTATCCAGAGCTCCTGCGAGTCGACGTCAGCGCCTACTATGCTGTAGCCTGGCGGGGCTTGGACCATGGCGCGCAGCTCGGAGCCCACTCTCTCGGGGTGGGCGTTGGATGCGGTCATCCAGGTGGGTTCCACGGCTCGGCGCGTCAGGGTGCCGCATACCACCACTTGGGGGATGATGGCTCCGTATTGATAGCCTGGAGGTTGAAACAATTATTCGTGACGGGGTTTACAGTATATTTTAGGATAGGTGGAGTCCATTGGAACAAACGACGGAATTGATTATTATGTGTCTTTCAGAGAGTTGTATCATAATATGGGAAAAAATTTCAACAATAATTCATTTTGAAATGGGGGACTACGCTCCAAGTTGCCAACTTAAAAACAAAGAAATCATAGTCGATATCATAATTAGATACAATAACATACCTAAATGTAATAATAAGCATGTTCCTATAGTAAAAAAAATAAGAAAAGGGAAAAGAAATAATTCAACAAATGCTTTTAAAGCTTACCCCAGTAAACATGAGACATTTATGAAATATTTCAAGATTACCAAAAATGTTAATGATTGAAACATTTTCCAGGAACATTCCAGAGATATTGCGAAATCACTGTAACATTCCTGAAATATTTCAAAACAACTATAATTGATATATTCCGAAACATTTCGAAATCACTTGTGAAGTGAATGAATGAAACATTCCAAGATAACTTTGATTGTGAATAATTGAAACATATCATTCTTTACCTATTCAGGAATGTTTCAATGCGTTCTGAATATGTCTTAAACGTTTCAAGGTACCTCAAACTATTGATATTTTGAAACATTTCAAATATACTCTCATTGCGAATTACTTCAATGTTTCAAGACAACTTGAATGGCTTGATTGAGGAATATTTCAAAATCACCTGAATTTTGAATGATTGGAACATTTCAATATGTCTCTCATTCTGAATGATGGAAACATTTTTCAGGAACATTCCAGGGATATTGCAAAATCACTGTAATATTCCTGAAATATTTCAAAACAACTGTAATTGATATATTCCAAAACATTTCGAAATTACTTGAGAAGTGAATGAATGAAACATTTCAAAATAATTTTGATAGTGAATAATTGAAACATATCATTTACTACTTATTCAGGAATGTTTCAATGCGTTCGAAATATGTATTAAACGTTTCAAGGTATATACCTCAAACTATTGATATTTTGAAACATTTCAAATATACTCGCATTGCGAATTACTTCAATGTTTCAAGACAACTTGAATTGCTTGATTGAAGAACATTTCAAAAACACCTGAATTTTAAATGATTGGAACATTTCGATATGACTCTCATTTTGAATGATGGAAACATTTTTCAGGAACATTCCAGGAATATTTCAAGATCTTTGTACCATTTCTGAAACATTTCAAGACAACTTCAACTGATATATTCCGAAACATTTCAAAATTTCTTGGATAATTAATAAATGAAACGTTTCAAAATTTCTTCAATTGTGAATAATTGAAACATATCATTTTCTACTTATTCAGGAATGTTCCAATGCGTTCGGAATATGTTTGGAATATTTCAAGGTTCATCAAACCATAGAAATTTTGAAACATTCCAAATATACTCTTATTGCGAATTACTGCAATATCAAAAGACAACTGAAATTGGTTGATTAAGGAACATTTCAAAATCACCTGAATTTCAAATGGTTGGAAAATTTCGATATTACTCTCATTCTGAATAATGGAAACATTCATCAGGAACATTCCAGGGATATTTCAATATCATTGCAACATTTCTGAAACATTTCAAGACGACTTTAATTGATATATTCCGAAACATTCCAAAATTACTTAAATGATTAATTAATGAAACGTTTCAAAATCACTTCAATTGAAACATATTCAATACTGATTCAGGAATGTTCCAATGCGTTAGGAATATGTATGAAAAATTCCAAGGCTCCTCAGATTATTGACATTTTGACACATTTATTAGGAATTACTTACCTACTACAATATTCCAAGACATGCAACTTGAGTTGGTTAATTAAAGAATATTTCAAAATAACCCGAATTTTGATAAATTAATTAGATTATTTCACAACTATTACATGCATGGTCTATTTTGACCAAGCATTTTATCATATTATGATGCAAATCAGCATTTTCCCTCTACAGCCGCAGCTTTCGTGGCTTCGGTAATCGATCGCGGGTTCCCGTCTTCGGCTCTAAGCATTCGCGCACGCGCATTCAGTTTCCTTCTCCTTGGTGAAAGGCTTCGCAGTTTTCGCTTTCCGACTGTTGTCTCAAGCCAAGCAAAGCAAAAGACATATAATATCTTATAATAGTGATAAAATATAATTATTTCACTCAAGTCAAACACATTTTCGAGTGTTTACTATTTAATCGTACCAGTAGACCTCTTATAGGTGATTTAGGCCATGTGAAGTGACATCAAAACTTGCAACCAAACAAACAACACAAACGACTCCATTTTTTTTATTATCCCCTCTGATGTGGCTGGGGCTGGACTTTGAAATGTATTCAACGGCTCCATGGACAAGGCCGAGGTACGTATAAATATAGAAAAACCATAATTTCAAATGAAATATTAAATATTATTAGATATCATGATGGGTATATTCATAATGATACTTTTTGTTCTAGGATGGAGTGTGAAAATTTCATCATGACTTAGAAGCTGCACAAGAATAGTGCTTTCAATTGCGATGGAACCGAAGAAAAATATTGATCGAAGCACTCAACATGTGAATAACGATGTTGAATTACTTGATATATATGTACAGTGTGTCCAATTTTCGATGCTCTTGCATGATATCTCAGTTATCTTTGGAGATAGAACTTTGCGGTTTTCGCGGCCCTGTGCCACTTTTTTGTGAAACTCAAGATGGCCTAATCAGATTTTGCAAGACTATTTCCGTTTATGAGATACAGGGCGATTTTGAAAATTTATACTTTTTGGACCCCCTCCATATCCACGAAGTTTCTCAACAAAAATGTCAAATCAAAATCTTATCGCATAGAGAATTTCACGCATAATCCAGTGGCACACTTAAACTTTTTTCTCGGGGTATGGTTTTGGAGATACGACTCAAACTTATGATTTTTTAAATGGAACACCCTGTATTTCATAAGCTCATTGAATTCCATATTTTTTTGTCTTCAAAATGATATATAGAGAATGAATATAAAATTTTCAAAATTGCTCAAAATCACTAAAATTTTGAATTTTGATAGTTGGCTATGGATTTTTCTTTTAAAAAACGTTCCAATTGAAGAAATAGTTCTTCAAATTTTTCCATGGAGAGGTCAAAATCAATATCAACACTTATTAATTAACAAAACACTAAACTTGGGTACCTGATAGCAACAAATAAATAGTAATAAAAAGTTCATAATGTAGAATAAGCACCTGATTAAATATTTACTAAAATAATTGAATTCCGGAATTATTCAGTAACTTATTCATTGACATGTTCAAATTGATATCCATTTTCCCTAACATACAGTTGACAAACTTTCTTAATACTTCTTAATACAGTGAGTGGCCCAACATACTTGAAGAACTTTGTGCAACAACAGAGGCAGTTTTCCAGGAACCACAAAGACATCTTTCAATGATTAATATGTATTGAGAAAGTTTGTGATGGAAAATGGACATTAATTTGAACAATTCAATGAATAAATCACTGAATAATTTCGAAATTCAATTGTTTTAGTAAATATTCAATCAGGTGCTTATTCTACATTATAAACTTTTTATTACTATATATTTGTGGATATCAGGTATCTAAGTCTTGTGTATTGCAAGTTAATTAGTGTTGAAATTGTTTTTTCCCCTTCATGGAACAATCAAAGGAAATATTCCTTCAATTGTCAATTTCTTTATATGAAAATCCCTCGAAAAACCCATAGCCCACTATTAAAATTCAATGTTTTAGTGATTTTTGAACATTTTTGAAAATGTTATATTCATACATCATATATCATTTCGAAGGGAAAAAAATAAGGAATTTAATGAGCTCATAAAATACAGGGTGTTCAATTTAAAAAATCATAAGTTTGAGTCGTATCTTCAAAACCACACCCCGAAAAAAAAAATTTTGTGTGCCACTGGATTCTGCATGAAATTCTCTATGGGTTAAGATTTTAATTTGACATTTTCGCTAATAAACTTCGTAGATATAGAGGGGGTCCAAAAAGTATAAATTTTCAAAATCGCCCTGTATCTCATGAACGGAAACAATCCTGCAAAATCTGATTAGGGCATCTTGAGTTTCACAAAAAAGTGGCACAGGACCGCGAAAACCGCAAGGTTCTTTCTCCAAAGATAACTGAGATATCACGTGAAAGCATCGAAAATTGGACACACTGTACATACCTAATACGTCGTGATTATGTGAAATATCTGATGATACTTTTTAAACTGCTTTTTTCATATATTATAAGCAATATAATCCATTTTTTTATGTCTATTATCTTTTATTTCACCAGCAATATGAATATATTCCAGCGATATTGGTAGGTATTTTTCATTCTGAAACATTCAATGGGAATGTTTCATAAACAGTAATATTGTTGAATGAAAAACATTTATGAAATGTTTCATGAAACATTCCCGAAAGTTCTACAATGAATGTTCCCAGGATGTTTCTATATATATGTATTTGAAACATTATTCATGAAACATCTCTGGTAGCGAAAATTTATCGTTTCAAAAATATTCATGGAATGAACCAAAGAAACATTCCTAAAGATCTAATCATATTGGGAATGTTTCCAGAATGTTTCAAGCATTTGTATTCGAAACATCATTCATGAAACAGTTTTGAGGGCAAATATCTTTGGTTTCACGAATATTTCTGAAACATTTCATGTAATATAACGAAAGAAATATTTATGAAATATTGCATGGAACATTCCGACAGGATATGATCATGGTAGAAATGTTTCCAAAATATTTCAATTTGCGTATTCGACACATTATTCAGGAACATTACCATGAAACATTCCTGAGGGCGGACATCTTCAGTTTCTGGAATGTTTCTGGAACATGTAGGCAACTTTGAATGCAATGTTTCATGCATCAATACTACGTTTCTGAAACATTTCAGAAACAAAAAAATGTTTACTGGGACACGCCTCACCTTGGATGAATAATGGTCAAAGTAACTGTTAACCCTCCAGTACTTGGAAGTTAGTAGCATAATACAGCTACTGGCAGTAGAAGGTTTTAATGAGATACACATAATATGTGTAAAATCGGAATTGAAACAATTTTCATTTGTAATCGTTTTTGAAATTCAAACAAATAAACCAATACTTATTTCCAGGGATTCTCATTTGAAAAATTTAACTTTTGACATGTAGCGAATATCACGTGAGCCCGACCGAATAGGCCATTTTTCATCTGTTTTTAAGGAAAACAACGCACAAGTCGCATTTCAAAATGTATTATTATTGAAAGTTTTTCCCATATAGCAACTTTCTGAATGATACTATAATATTTTGTTCTTTGTAATTCTCATAATGACTGAACATTATACACAAGAACCAATGAGTATTTATTATATGATAAAGACTGAGTTACAAAAATGCCCCAAGCGATAGCCCTCTCATTTATAATACGATTTTGGTAGATTCAGTGATTATGAAAATCACAAAGAGGAAAACATAAACATCCGTAAAAGTTGTAAGGAATTATGACTGTATCAATTGAACTAACCTTTATCCTGTACTGAGTCTGGCAGATTTTCCTCCCCTAACCAGATCACCATTTGTTCCATGACCCTGTCTCTATTATTCCTCCAATACGACAATTTCCTCGCGATCTCCAAGACCTGTTCAGCACTTTCTGTATCGCCAGCCAGTACATTTTCAGAAAACTTGTTCAAAAAATCCTTCGCCAAAGGATTACCAACGTTATAAGAAGGGCCATCTTTATGGGGTAATTTCATGAACCAACAACAGTTTTCTATTTCAGTATTGCAAAATACCCCCACGCCTTTATAAATCCCTTCTGTTTTATTCGTTTTCAATTTAGAATAGTACTCTCTCTTCCCGAGATACTCGTTAACATTTTGCGTGAGATTCTGCATGGCCTCCCAACTAGTGCTGCCATCTTTGGTTGTGAGAAGAGGGCACTTTTCCAGAAGCTTCTCAAGTGGCAGCTTTCTCTCGACTTCAATGTCATCCGAGAAGGGAATTAGGAACCCCCAACCCTTGTCTTTTAAATGATGCAGAGGGTAGCCTTCCCAGGTCAATGACAGCAGCTTCGGTGTTATTTTCATGGAGGTGCTGATCAAATGGGGTCCTGGCACCCAAGAAGATGAAGAATCCGGCTTGGTGCACAGTTTTCGGTACCAGTTTGGGTAACCTGGAAGCAGTGTTTTGACAGAAGGTAAGTATTCTTTGGTTGCCCAGAGGTATTTGAATTTTTCCTCGAGAGGGTCTTTCTCGTCTTCTTCCTCATTCTTTTCATCTTCAATGTTTTGTTTGAGTTCCTCTTGCTTTCTCTTGGTTGTGGTGCTTTTCAGCTTTATGTCTTTGATGGACCAGTCTTGGTCCCACATCCAAAGGTCGCTTTTATATTTATCTTCATGTAGCAAATGACAAGCGTTATCTGCTCTTCTAGCTAGTAATATTTTTCCTTCACTTTCCAAGTCTTCATAGGATTGTTCGGATTCTTGGATGTATCGAGGCCAGTTAGCGTTTACAGGTAAGTAAGCTGTACTCAATTCCAGCATACCTAATGGAAAAATATGAGATTGTACTGATTTGCCACAAAAGATTCGGATGATGTTTTGAAAAAATGGACTCTAACCATTTTGTATTATCATTTCTTATGTACCTAATTCCAACAACATTTGGACTGATACTTGAGTATGAGATTTCAGATGGCAACACCATTCTAGGCAGTACCGTGCGTTTTTATTGAATCAAAAAGGTGTCGATTTTATTCACAGAATCATGAATTGATCATTTTACTTTGGAGTTGAAGATATATCAAACCTCCTTATAATTTATTCGAGATACCTGTAAGATAAACATTGCATATCCAAGCAACTGAAGTCGCATTTTTTTGTCGGATGATGTCAAAGAAATTCAAAATTTTATTTTCAAGTTTTGATAACTAAAAAAAAAACTGTGCTCTTCAGTCTTTCAGCACAGTCTAATATTTCGGGATCATTTATTTACGATTCCCTCAAAAAACTGGCGCCCAATAGGGACATTGAAATTTGGACTTTTTGATTTTAGACCCCCCTTGAGAATGAAGTGGGTGAGCAAATGAGGTCTCAATTTTTGTTTTCTTTAATTTTTGTCTCTCTCATTGAATGCAAGGGTATTTTGCCTTGGAAAACATTTCTAAAAAAGACAAAAACTTATTGTACCTGCCAAAGTAACTGGATGAGGAAACCTCTGAGAAAAAAGCGGATACAGCTCCCTCATAATCTCGTACGTAGCCTCGACATCCTTAGCGCAATACTCCATCACTGTCTGAAAGTTATCCCTAATATCCAGCAGAGTACCCTCCACGAAAAAATCCCTAGTCTCCTTCCGGATTTTCTTCCCGCAGTAGAGCTTGTAAACGTCCACCAGATTATTCAACGAGCTACAACTCGCCCAAGCCTGGTCATCTTCACTGACAGTCTCGGATTTGAGGACGGTTCTCTGGTAGCTGGTGAGCCCCCCTACGCAAACATGCAAGCTCATCGTGTCTATGAACCGGGTGCCCGTTTTGTTGATCCAGTACTGTTCTTTCAAGCGAGCCCGATCGTAAGAAACGTTGTGGCCGATCACCACTTTGGGTTTGACCTGGTGGTCGGTCAGATCGATGCCATTGTCGTCTTCGGTGCTCTCCATGGGAATCAGGGTAGTTATGGGGTAGTGGTGACTGGTCACCGGTTTGCTGGCGCCCTCTAGCACTGCCGGACTCACCCAACCGTACCAGGCCTTTCCGCTGACGGCTGTGGCTAGGGTGGGCGTTTTACCAGCCATCATACACACCTAGAATGGGGTGAGTATCAGCATGTAAGGGGTGGGGGGGTGCTTGAAATCTATGGAATCGGAAATTGTTTTTCTACTACTGCTATGAAAAGTAGCGCACTTCTCATAGCGTCCTTAGTTTAAAAACCATGTATTGCCTATACTGTGAGAAATATTCTTTCTCACGGCACTTTGCCAACACCACATACATTTCCATGGAGAATCAACAAAAATCGACCAAAACTTGGCTGCTGTTCAGCTTCGAATAGTTGTCACAACTGAAGAAGTTTTTTAAATTCTTTAGGGTAGTTCTCATTAGTGCTTTTGATAGAAATCGCATCGCATAATAAATAATATGTTGTATATACCGAGATGTGACGATTTTGATAAATACACCACCTGAGACAGAGATAATGGAAGAAGCTGCGAAAGTTGGATTTGTTTCCGGAAATGTCAAGAAAAGTATGAATTGGCATAAACGAAAAATTTATGGAATCTAAAAAAATACAGAAATGAAATCTTTTTCGGAAACTATACTTTTCTGAAATACTTTGAGGAACTCATTTTGTGTTCACCCAATATCAGTGTCAATTTTGATAACCATTTCATTCAAATTATTTGGAACTTTGCATAGCAACAAACTTTTTCTGTCTAGGCTGAGAAAGTAGACCTTTCCTGCCTTTTAAGTATCAGAGAGAAGCCACTTTCTATACCTCTTGGAGAAAAAATACTTTTCTTCCCTCAATATCTTGCAAAAAAAAACGAAAAATTTCAAACCAAGTTATGGGAGTTACTAAAGTTGATGAAATTGATTTTAATCAGCCAAGTACAAGTACTTCCGATCCCAGCTGTATAATAATATATAATAAAAATTAGTATTGAAATAACCACTGCTCAAAACTGAACATTCAACATTAGTATAGATATTCAAATTATCTAGGATGCAAGAATGAAAATAATGTGTTTAGTTTTAGTTCTTTATTAAATTTAGTTTCATAGATAAATTATTTGAAAATGACTTGTTTTTTCAAGGGAGGCAGAGAAATCATATTTATAACATGGGGGAAAGTGCCTTTTCCTCCCTTGAATGATTGCTGCCCGGGCCCATCCTGGGGAGCAAAAGTACCACTTCAACTGACTCATCCAATTTTGTATTTATATACACTCTGTTCTGCTAGAGAGAAAAATCACACAATAGTCTCTCCCATAAAGGGTGCTCAGGATGCTTATATCTATGATTTCTTCTGATACAGAATGGGGAGATGACATTCCTGTTCTCAGCTTTCTTACTGAATTTTGAGGATGGGGTAGGAGGGAGATGGGGTAGGAGATAGGATTGGAACAGATTTTTTTTCATCTGTTATTCTCAATCTCAACACTTATGTTTTTCAATTTATTATTTTTAGAAAATGTTCCCAATAGTTTTATGGTCTCAAATATCAACAACTGACGTCATCAACATCCAATATGGGTTGGTGGCATGAAAACTCTTTTGAAATCTATACCAACACTTGTTCTTCAGAGTGCTGGAGGAGAATTATAAGTGATTCAAGTTTCTGAATTTAGACTTGATAACTATTGGCCTACTCAATTTATGATAGTAGGAATTATAAATGTAAGGATGAAAAAATGGAAACCTATATGCCTTACATTGCTATTGATTGTGAAAATAAACTTAAACATGAATGATAGATGAACTATGCTCCATATTATTTGCAATAGAGAATGCAATGTATATATATTATTATGGTCTTTGGATTAGATCAAGAACTGTTTGTTAAAAGTAACCTGTAATGTATGGGTGGCATACATTTATTTAATTTTGAATGATGGTTTCCTCTTCTCCAAGGATATTTTTTGAAAAAAAAATCTCAATCACCCTCATGCTAGAATTCATGCTATGAAGTTTGCTGGGAAATAATATGTGCAAATGGTTTTTAATTTCAAATTTGGCATGCATATTGCTGTGGATTTCATAAAGGTTCTTTCTTTTTTCTGACATGTAATAATAATTTTATGAACTTACCTCAATATCAAAGACTATTGCATCTTCTAGAGGAAAGGGTACTTGCTCAGGTTCACATTCAGGCACATATCTTGTCCATCCTGTCTGCATGAGCCATTTTTCAGGACAACCAGGAATGAAGTCCAATAAACTAGTAATTAAATTGTGATATGGTTTGACCTGTTCTTCACCAATGAGCCTGAAATGTTCCTCAATATTTTTTCCTTTCAATGGTGGGATCTTGAAATTTAGATCTTCTCGAATGTCAGTCTCATTACTCTGCATATTATGTTTCAGGAGGTCTTTTCTGCATTGTTCTAAGACTGCCACATCTGTACTCTCTCTATACCCTTCCAGGAAAACTTGATCATATATGGCTTTTGATAACATTTGTATGTCTAACTTGTTTTTACGAGGTCCAATGTGTTTTTCTGTGAATGGTGTATGAGGCTTTTGTTTTTCTAGTATTATTCTTTTCTTGTTTGGATTCGGCAGGAATACTTTCTTTTTGGTACCAGGAAATATATCATAAATCCTTCTGTGTGGAATGGTTTTACATTTTTGTACTCTTTGAAAATTACTCCTAAGATTGAACATTCTGGTGTATGCATGGATGGTAAATATTATTAAATAAAATGTTTTGATATTCCACCAGTTCAGCCTCACAAAATTAATATAATAGGATAAGAAAACTACTTACTAAATTTGTCCAAAGTTAATAAATCGATCTCCAATTCAGTTTTGATTGTATATATCCAGAATTGATGGTTGATACAGAAATTAAAGGATAAATATGAAAATTTTGAATTTCAACCACTTTCTGCTTTCAACAAGAGGTGCGTTCGGTTTAACAAAATCGGAGCCGAGCGAGCAGATGCAAGTTGTTTACATACATTTCATTGATGCAAATTTGGTGTCACGTGATCACCTAGCAGATAGAGCTAAAGATATTTAACGAACGCTCAACGAGGTAGTAGATTGCGAGCGCCAGCTGTCAGAAGTAACAGAAAACAGAAACAATTCACTTAACCTTATTTCTTTTAAAAACACGTCAGGGCAACAGAGTTCTTTTGAATGTTTGTTGTTTATATTTTGAAAATTACTAGGGAAGGAATGATTCTGTCTCATTCGGTCATTAACTGTAGATCCAGGGCAGTTGTGATCGCATATATTACAGATATATAATTAATACGCTACCTACAGCGAATTCGTCGGTCATTCTGGCGATTCTGGGCAAGGAGGATTCTACAAAATTCAGTTTCGTGTTTCGTTTCCAGTTGATCGAGTCTTTAATTTTTCGACACAAAAGAGATATATAATTTCAATAACATGCTGTTGACATTGATTTGTTGACAACTGACAACCGAATAACCGATCAAATCTGAATGATCTGCTCCTCAAGGCGGAGCAAATAGATTACATCTTTCAGCTCGCTCTGACAATTAACGAACACGGAGCAGATTAGACAGAGGAAGTAGATCTGATTCACCGAACGCTTTCCGAGCTAACAGATGGAATCGAGCTAACAGATATGTAATAACCGAACGCACCTAAGGATGCTAGATTAGGTTTTTTAGGTTATTTTTCTTTTTGTTGTTTTTATTCAAGGTTTTTATTAATTTTATTAGAGAAAGAAAATAGAAGAAGAATAAATCAATCTTCTCGCTGGTGTTTTGATTACACTTATGATGCTACTGCTCACATTACCCATAGCATAGCCGTAACCTAACCTAACCGAATGTCAATCAATAATCAATCATCAATCAAAACAATAAATTAAAAATTTATAACATTCACAATTTTTTGATAAATGAAGAATATTATATTATAAATATGTTTTAATCATAGATATTATATTAAATATACAATTGAATTATTTTTCATGAAGCATGAGTTCTAACAACCCCTATGTGTTTTTTGATCTGAAATATGGAGTAATGAAAGGTATGATATAATGAATTCCTTTGATATTGAGTAGCGATGATAATCTTTTCCATTTCAGCTGGCCGTGTGATCATTCAATTATATGCAGATGTAGTACCAAAAGCTGCAGAAAATTTTCGAGCACTTTGTACTGGTGAAAAAGGAATTGGTAGAAGAGGGAAACCTCTCCATTATAAAGGCACAAAATTTCACAAGGGTAAGATTTCTATTCAATTGCAACATTATTATTGTGTGAGGAAAAATATTTGTGGTGTGCAGAACACTTTTGCTGATGATCCTGGTTTATTATCACTGTCCCTCTAGGTGGGTTAAAGTAGAATGAGGCCATTATTATTGGTTTATTTTCAACCTCAATATTATGCCTAGCTCAGGGGTTCTTGTCTAGTTTTTTATATTTTCTTTTATTATTGTCACTGATTTGTCATCTCAGAAGGCTTAGCAAATATTTGCTGTCACAATTCATGTATTATCAATCATTCCTCCACAAAATTTCAGTGAAATAAAAAATGCATTACTCTTGCAAATGCCCTTGTCCCCTAGAGCAGGTGTCTGATCAATGTTCCCCAGATTGTTCACAATTCAGCTTGGAATCATGCTGCTGTTGCTGTTATTGTGACAAACCAAGTAAGCCAATGGTGAAAGGAAAATTTGGACTGGCATATGTTGTGGAAACACCAAAAAAGAAATTTTGCAAACCATTAGGATGGCAAGTTGAGTTTGAAGATACTCCTTCAAGAATTGTTAACAGCTGTAAGAAAATGATGAAGTGGGTGAATTGTCCTCCACTTGGTGATTGTAATAATCTAGAAACCAATTTTTGTGAATATCCAGAGAACTGTGGAAATGTCTTCAGAGATTCAGACTATTCAGAGGAAAGCATTACACAATGCAGATGCAGTCCACAAAAAACTTCAAAACCCTGTGAATGTATTCAGGATGATAGGAACTTGTATTGTCTGAAAAAAACAAAGAAAAGGAGTAAGTCACCAGTAAGAGAATCACATCTTCGTTCTTGCAGCCCTAACTGTGAAAGAGTTTGTATAATTTGTGATAATTGTAAAATCAATGCACCAAGCTGTGGCAATCCCCCAAAACAGTCATGTCATGAAAATTCCAAAAGATATCAAAGCACATGTTCCAAGAGTTTGAAATGTAATTGTGATTGTAAATGTGTTTTGGGGAAAAATGAGAAAAACTGCAGATCAAAATGCCCTAATTTTTTTCAAGAAGATCCTAGTGAGTCCTGCTTTAGAAATAAAAAATGCAATTTAAAAAAAAACTATGACATCAGTGATGAATCACTAGACTATGTACCAAAAAAAGAAATAATAAAGAAGAGGAAGAGCCCTGACCCTAGATCAAAAGACAGTCCAACAGAAAGAAGTTTCAGGCCAAGAGGAAGAAGTCAAAGTCCAGAAGTGAAGCAGCAATATAGGAGTTGGAGCCCAAAACAATCACAAGAAAAGAGTTTCAGCCCTAAGAAGACAGAAAATGAAGAGGAAACTAGAAAAAACAGTTATATGATGGAAACAAAGCCTGTACAAAAAGAGAATAGAGGAACAAGAACAGATTCACATAATAATGCAATGTCTAAGAAACCTCAGACTGATGCTAACAATAGTTCAAGGCCAGGTGATGCAAAATCAATTGCTAGTGCCAATCTGATAGATGAACTACAGGAACGATTGAAAGAACGAAAAGAGAAAGAAAAAGAAGTTGCTGTAAGTACCAAGTGAAATAGGAACATCAAATTTGATATAAGGTGTACTTAGTTTAGAACATAGCTACTGAAATAAATTAAACTGACACTTTGTTTTTCTTTATTTTTTCCCAGCCTGTTAATGCAAAAGAAGAAAAATCAAATGCAAAGGAAATAGTAGAGTCTGCTAATGTGAATAGTGAAAATGAATTGCCTACAGGTGAAAAGAATAAGAATGAATCAGCTCAAACCATAATCAACCCTGAAGACAGTTTGAAGCAGGAAGATGAGAAAAAAATTGGGAACACAGCCCCAAATGAAAAAATGAGTGACACTGAGGAATATGAGAAACAACAAGCTGAAATGACATCCCAGGGATCTGCTCAAAACATTGATGGAGGGGTCACTAATCTTGAGGGCAATGAGGAAAAACCTCAGGATATTATTTCAGATACTAATGATGAACAAATAGTTGAAAGTGAAGAAACGTCAAAGTCCGACAATAAACCCAGTGAATTCACAGAAGAAAATGAAGAAGAAATAGTTGAAATTGAAAAGTCAAAGTCTGACAATAAACACAGTGAACCCAGAGAAGATGATGAGTCAATACCCTTACTTCAAAAAATTAAGAGGGCACATCAGAAGCAACTAGATGTGATTCATCAAGACAAATAAAAAACTTGTTCATTTCACATAACTCTTGGAATTGTTATCAAGATATGTATTGAAATAAATAAATAAATATAATGAGTTTCATTGAATTGATCAGAATGAGGAAATTGCACAAATCCATAGTCAATCAATACTTCATTTACTCCTTATCCTTATCTGAAGTATACCAGAGTTCAGCATCAACATAATTGAACAAAATAAAGTTTACTGTACCGGGTGTACCACTCAGAAAGGACGCCGGCTGTATCTCGGAAACTATTTGCCGTACAGGTTTCGGAAAAAAATATTCATGATAAAAGTGGCCAAGAAAAATATCTGGAAATTATTTTCAAGTTTCCGGGACAGCCGCTAGAGGGCATAATTGCATTGGCCAACTTAAAAAACGGGTTTTTATGAAAATTTTATATATCAAGACATATCAGAAACACTTTTTCCATGTTCTCGAGTTGATTTTCCAATCATTCCTATTAAAAAAAATTGCACTAGTTCTTTAAATGAAAGAGGGAGGGAAGGATGAATGGTACTCTGGAAAAACTATTTTACTACAGTTTTGTGTACCGGAATTAAGCGATCTCATTATGAAGGGTTTCTTCAGATCTTCCCGATAAATCACGAATCAAGTCGATCTAAATCCCGTGGTGGCCGCTAGATGGCATCGTTTGAAAAATCAGCCGATTTGCCTTATTTTTTCGAGAATTTAAAATGGAACCATATATTTTTCCTTTTATGATATGAAAGTAAAATAAACGAGAAGAAAAATGGTGAAAACCGCGAGTTGATACCTCTTGAAGAACCGGAGAAATACTCGGAATAATATTTGAACTTAAACTGTTAGCATGTCAAATGCTATCCTCATTCGTTATCGGCATTCTGACAAGCAATCCACAATGAACAGTGAAAACTTCCAATGGAACTTCAATTATATTTTGACGTTTCTTTCATTCAAAGCCAACTTGCCTTTTCTCATTCCTGCCTATACTCACTACTTACATTTCAATTAGCTATGTCATTACTGAGAGTCTCCTTCACTATTGTGAGATATAACAGCAGTTTGTGGAACCAAAATAAATGAATTATTGAAATCATAATTTCATAGATACAGGATATTTCTGATTACGATTATTGAAGTTAGATTCCTGTGGTGAATATTTTCATAATATTATTTCGAGTATTCCACCGGTTCCTCAAGAGGTATCAATTTGCCTTTTTCACCATTTTTCTTCTCGTTTGCTCTACTTTCACATTAGAGTAGAATGAATATATGGTTCCATTTGAAATTTTCGAAAAAACATGGAAAATTGTCTGATTTTTCAAACGATGCCATCTAGCGGCCACCACAGGATTTAAATCGACTTGATTCGTGATTCATCTGGAAGAACAAAAAAAAAACCTTCATAATGAGACCAAGATCGTTGAATTCCGTTACACCAAATTCTTTTATTTAAAGAACTAGCGCAATTTTTTTGAGATCGAAATGATTGGAAATCAACTGGAGAACATGAAAAAAGTGTTTTTGGTATGTCTTGATTTATCAAATTTTCATAAAAACCCATTTATTGAACTGGCCAATGCAATTACGCCCTCTAGGGGCTGTCCTGGAAACTTGAAAATAATTTCCAGAGATTTCTCTTGGCCACTTTCATCATTCATATTTTTTTTCTAAACCTGTGCGGCAAATAGTTTCCGAGATACAGCCGGCGTCCTTTCTTAGTGGTACCTGATTCAATTTTGATATGCATGTGTTGCATCTTTTTTGATAAGGATAGTTAACATAGACAAATATTATTTCAGTAATACCTCTTTGTATGGTACAAGGTGGTGATATAGAAAATAATGATGGTACAGGAGGGGAAAGCATTTATGGCCCCACTTTTGAAGATGAAAGTCTCACAATCAAGGTACGTTTTACATACAGGGTGTTGATTAACTGAGTGCCGATAATACAAGGTGTGAATTCTCGGGTGATTCCATGGAGAAAAGTTTATATCAACTTATGCCCTAAACCTTTTAGTTTTTGAGCTACAGGGTGTTGAAATCAGAGGCGTACAGTTTTTTTAAATCAAAACACTCAATATCAGGCCTATAGAACTACAGAACATCACTAAAAATGAAAAATGTTTTTCGTCCCAAAACAGGATGTGTTTCCACTCATAGTGAATGGCTACTAAATTTTTACAAAATACCAAAAACTATCAATGAACTGGAGAAATGCAACTTTTTTGTTTTATTTTTTCACGCGAAAACTGTACATAATATGAAAGTAACCCTGCGAACCAAATTTACAATGGGGTTTACAAAAATAATTTTTTTCTGTGACGGGAAAAAAGTTTGGCATTTCATCTCTGTTGGCAGGTTATAAAATGTCACTTTTCATAAATTACTTTTTTCCCGTGGGAAAAAAGTGAGTACTTCTTTCCCGGATATATATCACATATATATACTCTGTTAATGGCTTTTGTTGTGCTATAGTTCCGAAAAATGAGTCAATAATACCGTCTCCGAGAAAGAACTGCAAGTTCTTTTATCTTCCATTCGACTTCGCGGTTTCGTATATTACTAAACAACTACTGAATTCGCAATTTTTTGAAATCAAATCACAGAATTGAACTGACAGAAGTGACATCAGATATTTGATTACTTCAAAAGAATGATAAAGATGCCTATAAAACGCAGGTGTCCCTACTGTTAAAAACTTGAAATTTCACGTCGATAATTTTCAGATTTCGAAATAATGTAATATCTTCTCAATATTGATTCGTCCTTCCTTCTGTCACAGAAAAAAATAGTGTATTATACACGGGAAAAATATTAGATTTTAGCTCACGGTTTTTTGTCTCCCTCCGCTACGCGTCGGGAGACAACACAACCTGGAGCTAAAATCTACTACTTTTTTCCCTTGTATAATAAATAACTATTGGTTTTAGGAGAAATCAGAGGCCTACCATTTTTTTCTTCAAAAATTGTCAGTTCATAGGACGTCTCTGGTGAAAATTTTTAAAAATCTTTCACTTCAAAAAACGCTCCTTAATGATGATAAGGTGTGTACAAAATTTCATAAAAATTTCTGAGAGGGATGAAAAATTATGATAAAAAACTCACTTTTTCCTCAAATTTCAACACACTGTAGCTAGGAAACTGAAAGGTTTAGGACATATGTTGATATGAACTTTTTTACTTTGAATCACCCGAGGATTCATACCTGGTATTATCGGCACCCAATTAATTAACACATTGTCTAAAAAACGTTGTAAGCTGTAAAACTCAGCGGCTTTTTTGAAAAAACGTTTTAGCATGAAGAAGAAGGTATGGTTGGAATGATGAATGCGGGTCCAAATACAAATCAGTCACAGTTTTACATAACCACACAGCCATGCTCACACTTAGATGACACGAATGTGGTTGTGGGAAAAATTGTAAAAGGGTTGAAAATTATCGTTGAAATGTCCGATTATAACAGGGAAGATTCAAAACCTCCAGAGGTAACAAATAATTACTATGAATTCCACAGTCTTTGAATTAACACTGTTCAACGTGTTTAAGCTACTTATTATTGAAAATTGTGGGGAGTTGAAACCTGGAGAGCCCTGGAATATAAATGAAAGTGATGGTACCGAAGACGTTTATCCACCTTGGCCAGACGACTGGGACGAATTTACAACGGCAAATTCCCGTCTTGTTGAAAAAGCAGTAATTGCTATTAAGGAGTCTGGAAACTTTTATTTCGGGGAAAACGATTTCGTTGACTCGGAGAGGAAATATGTGAAATGTTTGAGATACATAAACTGGTACTTGCTTCAAAATAAAAAAAATCTTGCACTCAAAAGTATGCGTATCATTGTTATGCAAAATTTGGCTGCTGCACTGCTGAAGAGGCAAAAATTCAAGGAAACTGTGAAATTGTGCAGTGAGGTTAGGATATAACAATTATTTTTCTCTTAATAGAATAACATAAAGATACCTGAAAATTGATTCAGGTGAGAGAAAGTGAAATATTTCATCAGGAAATGTTAAAATGTTTTAGATACTTGCAATTGACGAAAATAATGCGAAGGCTCTGTATAGAAGAGGTCAAGCGTCACTGGCAATGAAGGACTATGACGAGGCTCTAGATGATTTGAACAATGCCTCATCTTTCCTTCCGAACGATCGGAATGTCCTTAATTTGTTGAATACAGTCAAGAAACACAAGTTTATCTATCTTCAGGATGAAAAGTTGTTCTTCTCAAAGTTATTCAATTAGATATACTTCAATGAAGATTAAAGTGATGTGAACATTCATATTTATGTTTTATATTGTGATTATATCATTATTGTAATGTAAAAATATATTATTCTGGAATATACTGAGTAAGGGTGCAAAAAAATGGTGTATAAGTGCATTAGAACATTTTACAAAATAAACTACACAACACAATTTCGTCGCACCCCAAAATTTTTCCTCTGTTGAAATATGAATAACTTTTTATTCGGATCACACTGTTCGCTAGCCCAGTCCTTCAGCTATAATCTCGTGATTCCTTAAAACATAACGTTCTCCACATAAAATCGCTACAGGGTGTTACCTGAAAGTGTGCAAAATTTCGAAAATTTCAAAAGTATCCCAAATGAAGAACTTTTTTTTTCAACTTTGACAGTAGAGGCATGTAGATGATCTCATTATCTTGGGACAGTTCTCGTATTGTATCCTTATCTCTTTTACTTACAGAGTGACCTCAAAAAATTAACTTTTTGGTTTTGCAGTCATAACTTTCATCCTCGTCAACCGATTTTTTAAATCTCAGGCTCATTCTGTTGCTTATACTTCAGATGAAGAGATATGAAGATCTGAATTGACTAAAGATGAACATTATACAGTGTGTCTGACTTCTAATGGAAGCACCCCTGTATCTTTCGTAATTTTTGAGTAAGGATTCTGAAATTTGCAAAAGCGGTAGATATACTGAAAATACACACTATAACTGAGTGGAGTCGTCTATAGTGATATACACTGCTCGCCAACAGCCACGGAACCACCCACAAAAATGATATAAGGAGGCAAGATAGGTTGAAAATCACTTCGGATTTAAAATTAGGACGTCCATTTCACTTCCTCCTGCAAATTTCAGAACCCTACCTTAATAATAACGTGAGACAAAATTTAATTTTTCTGAACTGAAAATTTTCCAGGAAAAATATGTATAATCAGTGAATTGAACGTCCTGATTTCGAATCCGAAGTGATTTTCAACCTATCTTGGCTACTAATAAAATTTTCCGGAAATTTGGTTGGTTCCATTGCTGTTGGCGAGCAGTATTTATCACTGGAGGTGACTCCACTTGGTCATAGTGTTTATTTTCAGTATATCTCCCGCTCCTGTAAGTTTCAGAATCCTAACTCAACAATTACGAAACATACAGGGGTGCTTCCATTAGAGGTGAGACACACTGTATAATGTTCACCTTGAGTCAGTTCTGATCTTCATATCGCCCCATCTGGAGTTTGAGCTTCAAAATGAGATTTTATAAACGGGTTGACAAGGCAAAAAGTTATGACTGCAAAACCAGAAAGTTAATTTTTTGAGATCACTAAATAAAAGGGATAAGGAGACAATTTGAAAAATGTCCCTAGGTAATGAGATCATCTTCATGCCTCTGCTGTCGAAGTTGAAAATAAAAATTGTTCGTTCATTTGGGATATTTTTGAAAATTCCGAAATTTTTCAGTTTCAAGCCACCTCCATCTGTCACGTGCCAGTCTCTAGTGTGCAATGATAGCATTTACATTTCTTGACACATTTACTTGCCTTGCCGTACTTCCGGTTTGACCGGAAATAGCCCAACAATCTGTTGATTTTTCATTCCGAAATTAAAAAATTCACTGAAAGTACTATTTATTCCAAATATTTCGACTAGACATTCTGCTGAAATTGCTGACGATCAAGTCTATTTTAGAGAGAGAAGGAATCTCACATTTATATCCGTTGTTTTTTAAACGATCATGTCATCAAAAATAAATTAATAATATCATTTTATATCAATATCAGAAAATGCCTGATTGAAATTGAAAATGAAGTAGAGGTACCAAACAAAAAAGGAGCATTGGCTAAATGAATAACTAAATAAACCTGAAATGGCTCCTAAATTCATCATCTGAACATCACGAGGAATATTACGTTTCACTTGAATCCTTCAGTTCCCAATCTTTTTTCTTCTGGTGCATCATTAAAAGTCAATGGCAATTAATTGTCCAAGTTAGAGTCACTGGATTGTATTAGTTAGATAAGAGTTCGGACACAGCTGAACTTTTGTCCTTTTCTATTTTCTATAATACAATGGTTTAAGTGAATAAAAGAATGAGACATATATTCTGCTCTTTGTCTTTTCAATTTCCCTAGAACCGCCTGATTGTCAAATACGATTTTAGAGGTTACATTTTCTGTCAAATCAATCATAGCCGTAGGTGGACAATGGGAATAAGGTATAAACACCCACTTCAATTAATAGTGATACACTTCTAGCAGAACAACTGTTATACAGGGTGTTTCACAGGTAAAGGGAAATATTTCAATGGTAGATAGGGGTCACCAAGGTGGTTCTGAAAATGTGTGTTATTTTAAAATTTCGAATAAATGTAAATTTTTCCTGAAGCCGAACCTGGATTTTCACTTCGCCCGATAGGTGAATGCATTCAACGTCCCAAGTTTAAGCTCCATACCAAATTTTAGAAAAATATACTGGGTAGTTCAATACTTATAGACGAATGAATAATTATTCGAAATCGATAAATCGCCCTGTATCTCCGTTATGAAAACTCTAAGACCTATCAAATATGGTATTTTCAGAACCACCTTGGTGACCCCTATCTACCATTGAAATATTTCCCTTTACCTGTGAAACACCCTGTATAAATGAAAAGAATGCATGTAACAACATTTTAATATTAGAAAATATACACATATGGATAAACTTATAGCTATAATTCCTTATTGTTTGTGAAACTGTACTCCAGTGATGAGTATAAAACATGAAGTTATTAATATTACATCAGAGGTATCTATTCTCAATATACAGGAAGTAACATAAGTACGTGCAAGTGAAGTATTTCTGGGATAATTCAAAGAAATAAAGTCTATATAAGCTTAATTGTGTCCGAAAATGTTTCATTTTGGAGATACAGGGTGTTGAAATACAGAGAACAGATAAACATTTCATAGGAGTTCTCAGCAACTTCACTTAGTGCCCTAGGAACTAAGTAACATGGATCGATATAGAAAATTGTAAATATCTCCAAAACGATAACCTCTAGCATAGTTGTAAGGCCCTTATGATAATTCCCTTGATACATAAAAGACTATTCTCCTTCGTTTCATCTTCACATAACTACCCAAGTATAGGTAATAGATATGTGAGAACATGAATATACCTTTCGAAACTATGAAAACTGAAAACAGAGTTTTGCATTCATAATCAGAAATTCACTAACTTCTTAATCCCATACTTCGACTCGCTTTTGAATTCCTTGATATTCTTTTGCATTTTTTAAAATAAATTCTGACCCTATATAGACAATATCTATTTATTATTTTATTTTTCGCATCATGACATTGGGGAAGAAAAATGTCCGATAAAATTTGATCTCTGTATGCACATGATTTGAACAAATTTAGGAAATCAAAATTTTTGTTTGGTTTATGAATGCATAAATTTCGAAATATTTTCTCCAAACGAACGAAAATTTTGAATGCTTCATCACTCGCATAATTCAGACAACCTGGCCGGAACTCTTTCAGAACTACCAATTTAGAAAAATCCCTATGAGGTTTTTCAGTTAACATATATTTTATACAGACTTTGCACTTCAGATTCTCTTTAATTTTTCTTAAAATGTAACCTGCTGAATTAAATAAACAATTCAGTTGAATTTTATTGAGCAATACGTCTCTATCCCAGTCTGAAGGCAGAATCGATGATACTGATGCAGTTGAATGATGACGAATTATTTTCTCTCTTTCACAAATTTCCGATAAATTCAGTAAATTCTCTTCGTCTAAACAGTTCCCCATTGCATAACTTCCTTTACGAGATACTTCCAAGATTTGAATAACTGCTAAATTTTTCAAAAGTTGGCGAACTTGTAGAGCGTTTGGAATTATCTGTCGCAGTCGAAGTTGACCAAAAACATTTTCAAGGCAATCTTGGCTGAATCTGGAAGTCAATAGAAATTCGTAATTTCGAAAATTCAATAGCGAATCTTGAATGTCCAAAATACTCTGGGTTGATAAAATTACTCCACTTTGAATTGGTTTCCAATGAACCCTTTCCGCCCCAATTTCTAAATGTCTAAACAACTCGATAATTTCATTCAAAAAGCATATGGTATCTGAATAAACAACTTCATTGAACTTGCTCAAAGCTAAAGTTCTTGTCCGTGATGTTAAGAGAGAAAACCACCTAAAAATCATTTTAACAAACCAAGCAGTGGTTTTCGCATTTTCGTCTATAGAACTGCATGTAGGTTCATCACTCAAAAAATTCAAACCAGCATAAATATCATTATTGAGCGTATAATATGCATTTGATACTTTCATTTTGTTAAAATGGTCCAACTCAATTAAATCTGTAGTTAATTTTGGTGCAATTTTCAAATCTTCACCTTCTTGAAATTCTGCTAAATTTTGTATATATTTGAAATCAACGATGTTTGTGGGGAGATTATATTTTTCAACAAAATTCTCAGGAATTTTGAAAACTTTATTATTGAATAAAGATGATCTGATATTTTTATACAAATGTGGTACGTCAGCTATGAAAAAAATTTTATTTCCGGTTTCAGGGTGCACAATAAAATTTTGTAAACACGTTTTACTGGATGTGATGCCAAAATGTTTCCACATGGATTGATTTGTGGGACCCATATCAGAGGTAATGCTAATTATGTTCAAATCAAGGCGATAACAGTGTACCAAAACATCATTGATGAAATCCGCTAAAACGTTACCAGACACTTTATTCCCGGTGAAATGATATCCAATGACTTGTTTCCATCTCGATGTGATCCCCCCTAACATAACAACTAGGATATGAGTAGCATGTTCACCAGAATTTTGAATTGTTTCGAACCCAAATGTTTGAGAAGTAGACATACAATATGCTTGCCCAGGAGTTATTGCCATTTCATCTAAGCAGATACAACAATCTCGTTCCACTTCCGTGAAGTTTTCTACTTTAATTTTCAAATATTTGAAAGTTTCTATCAAAACTCCCGGGTTGAAAGTTATATGCTCAATTTTCCTAGATAGGGTCCTAATAGATGGAAGAGGAAACTTCATTTTCAGCAGGTGTTCATAACCTGTGGTACCACAAGTATATTTGATTGCAAATGCTTTATTTATTGTTGTGATTTTCCACCTTTTTCTGCATTCACTTCTCACTGTTAAATTTTGAATTTGGTCGGTACCAAAAACGCCATTCAATAATATATCCCGTTGTAGTTTATTTGCTCTTCTCAGTTTCGTTTTCAAATTTTCAATTTCATTTTGTAATTTTGTGATCAATTCCTCTTTCTCCATGATTATTTTATTTTGTATCTTGGGCGGTGATAATAATGGGATTTTATTCTTGAAATCGTCTGCTTTGTGAATTGTTGGAATAGCAGATTCTCTCAAACAGATTTTGAAATCATCTATTTTAAAATGGGCCTAAAATATAGTTTTATTCTAATCAGATGCTGTTATAAGAAGTAAATTTAAATGAGTACCTCACAAATTTTGCTCGTCTTCAAATTGATTTTCCACCCAGGCCGTTTCATTTCTTCCTTCCATGAGCGAATGGTTGAAATTTGTTTAGGAAAGTTGAATAAATGAAATCCATTCTTTTCAGAATTGGCACAATTCATCACACAACAAGTAATTTCCATAACTGCTTCTTTCTCGAAAGTATAATTTTGAAATTTATTTCAATTCTGACGTTTATAAAATGTATTGTCAAATTCAAACAATTTTAAATAAAAAGCGCGGGGCGACTATGGTGCTATTGTCACAATGCAAGGTGTGTAACTTGATAAATCTAAACATTCAAAAACCCTAACAGTTGTCATTTCTGTGTCCGAACTCTTATCAAACTAATACCATCCAGTGACTCTAGTCCAAGTATTCTTCATCACTCGCGCTTGAATCGTCATCGTCAACAATCGTAGAAACTATGGAGCCAACAAGAATCGATTGCTCTTCCATGTTGAATATTAAATCTCCAAAATTTAGATCAATCAGGTGCATTAGCCAGATCAATGACGGCTAAATGTTCAGATAAACGAGAAACTACAGAACTGACAACCTGACAAATTTCACCGAATTATAGCACTGTATTTTTGATTTTATATTTCGGAACACAGATTTTTAGCAGAGTCAGTAGATCTACTGACAGTCCTGACCATTTGAATGGGCGTGTACACCTTAGTAGAACTTTTAACTCAAACCATGTTTATAATGATCCTTTTATACATAAATAATGATTGACGACATAATTCGATCGAAAAATTAACTGGAATGTTTTATTTTTGGACATAAATAATAGTACCTTCTGAAAACGGACCCTCTAATGACGTAAAACCCTCATCTCGCCCTAGTCAAAAGAAAATACCAAACGCCCGACGGAGACTGGAGGCAACTGATATATTAATTCTTTCAACTGTGATCTCGCGCTAATTCCATGTCAGAAATCATGTATCATTCATCTCTGTCTGGAATAGTCTAGTTGCAGTATCAGGGTTTTGACGTCACATCATCGCCTCGTTTTCAGAGGTCCGAAAAATCGGGGATTCCAATGATTTTTTATAAAACGTAGGGAGCTCACAGCAAGAAACGGTTTGCGGTGGTGAGCTAGTTTGGTTGAGTTCTATCGAATTATGAAATACAAATTTTTTGTGATATAAGCCCATTCGGAATATAGCCAATGTCGAATGATTAATTTTTTGTTCCACATATCCGATAAATATGTGGTCGGGATAACATTTTTAACTTTAACTTCAGCATTATGGCGAAAAATTGTAAAATTTTATGATACTGGAGAAGCCCATTCAGAAAGTAGTACAGACTTTGTTGATACCAGATTGAGTTTACTAGGAGGTCACCAAGAAATTATTTGAAGAGAAAAATCCATTTTCATGAATATCTGTGGGTTTAGGTTCTATGATTGAAAAAATTAAACACTCAGTTTGTAACATTTGGTGATTTATTATTTGTAATCTTTCAACAAATGCTATATCTAATAGCGCTTACAGAATCTAAAAAATAACAAACTAAAATCATTTTATATACATTAATAGCTTCTCAGGAACAATAACACTGTACAGAAAAACTGAAATGCCTCTTTTGAGAATCACAATAAAAATTAGGAAAAGTTTCAGATAGGGGCAGAAGAGCACCCCAATGGACTCTGCAACGTATTTCATAGTATCATTCAAACATGTTGTCTTCCAGCAGTAATCAACCCTTCCTAGTGATTGTGAATTTTTGGTCAAGCATTTTTAATATAACATCTCTGCTAGAACAATTCGTTTCCACTTGCTTCATTCAATTGACTATAGAATAAACTTCTAAAAACAAGATTAAAAAAAAGAGAAAAATATGGTAGAGTAAATCATCAGCAAATATCTTCTTGAATCGAAGAATAATTATGCTTTCATCAGAAAAGTAGTCGAGAGCAAGCCATTTTGAATATAACAGTACAATTTCAATGTTTTGAAAGGTTCATAGATATTAATGTGAAAAGCATAAAGGGTGACTTTTAATGCTGTTAAAGGCTTGCTCCTAAACTATACTAATTAAAATTATTAGTTCAGACCTTAAGTACTCCAATTTTTTATAGGGTCTGACAATTACATCTACTAGTCTCACAAAGATTTTCAATTATGAAAAATTCAATTATGCATTGTTTGTTGAAAAATACATAGTTAATTTAGCTGTATATCAATGGCCTTTTTGAATGAGTTTGAAATTATTGCTATTATTGATTTACTATCAAACGTAAAGATAGTTTTTCCAAAGAAAATAAATATTTCCTCGTCACATAACATAGAAATATTGTTTGAAGCAGAATTATCGTCAGACCCCAATCATCTAAGAAGTCATAATAAAATTGTAAAAATCATATTTAATATAATTACCCGACTACATGAATAAAACATGTTGAAAACAATAAATAAAAGTAGCTCTAAAAAAGTTGTTTCACTATTGTGTCTCAGAATCACATGCTCTAGTAGCTAATAGTGGATAATGGTTTCAATAATTGGGGTGAATAGTCACATCACATAAAACATTTGTTAACAATTCTTGTCCCTTCTTCAAGAAACTACGATTTATTGTCACCACCTGGAAATAATCAATATGAAAATAGAATTAATAGATGAAATGAATCGATAGTGGAATTTTATTTTGAGAGGGTATTTAAACCTTCATAATTATTATAATATAGACAAAAACTCACAGCTGGTCTCGGCCGACGCCTTCGTTTCCCCCTCCACCGCCTCCTCGGCCTTGTCGTCGTTGTTGTTCGCCGGGTCTCGGCCGTCCTCGGTCAACCGCAGCGCCACCTCTAGATCCGTCAGGATCTCCGTCTCTTTGGGCTCGATCAACGAGAACCGGTGATGGAGGGCGGTCAAATGGGCGAAGGTTAGGTTGAGATGGGCGTGCAAGCCCAGCATGACCACCTCCTTGAAGTGGGCGGCATAGAGGTGCGCCACCACGTGGAACAACAGGCGGACGATCTTGCGCACTATCGATTCGAACGAGGAAGGAAATTCGTTCGCTGGGAGAGACACAGATTATATATCATTAGAATAATTAATGAAGCAGACTATAACGTCGTACCTAGAGGTGGATCTAGTGATATTTCGGTATATTATTCGTCTATGATAAGATTGTTAACTTATTTCCTTCACGCCTACGTTCCAGAGAATAATAATAAGAAAGCTGTCAGAATGGTCTAACCTCAAATCTTAAACAAAATACATCTCAGTATCCGCGGGAATCAATGTTACCAGGTGGCGCTCGGTTTTCATCATTCCATGTCAAAGCCACGTCAAAACACTAGCGTCTGCGGACGGCCGCAAGTAATAACTCCGTGGTAGGGGAACGTTGGTTAACTTGTGACGAGTCTAATATAAGGAAGGAATTTTTTTTTAACAATCAATCGACCTAGATGAACCTTTTTTCTTGAAGAAGGAGAATTTTTCTTGAGGAAGGAAAATATTGTTTCTGCATAAAAAATGAGCAAGCCTAACCTATCTATTTTATGATTATATCTGTACTTGTTGACCTGTGTAAAACTTAATGTTTATTAAGACCCAATAAAATATTCTATTCTATTCTAACCTAACCTAACCTAACCGAACCTCACCTCTGGCCTAAACATAGAAAACCCCTAAATGAATCTATTTCCCATAGAGAATATTTTTTAGAAATCACTTGAGAACAAGAAAAAAATAAAAAAAAGATGAGCCTCGCACGGATTCGAAACCCGGCCCGCCGGCTTGGCATGCCGATGCTCTGCTTACTGAGCCAACCAGTTGCTTACGAGACGAAGTATGATGAAGTCATTCAGTCGGCGCCGTAACGCCAGTCGCATCTACTTCCCACTATAACGTTCTCCCACCACGGAGTTATTACTTGCGGCCGTCCGCAGACGCTAATCGTCAAAACTGGGGGAAACCAAACTTAATCCTCACTCAATTGACTCAATCCCATTAGTGCCATTTGCTTATGTACTGTGTACTGATAAGAGTGATGTTTTTAAATTTCTTGACTTTGTCGATATTCGATCGAAAACGCTGATAATGCCTGTTGTAGATATTCTTTTGGCAGATATTTTGCTCTATTTAGATGGAAAAAGCCGACCAGTAGTGGAAGGAGAAGCAATTCTCCGTGCTAGTCATGTGATTTTGTGTGAGGCAGAAGACTTCAACAAAAGGCACATTTTTGCACTTTGTCTACAAACTTCGGCGATGAAATCTTCCCCACATGAAGTAAAATTGAAGTTGGGGCCCAGAGGAACTCCTGTAGAACAATAGATTTGTATTTGGTCCTGCAAAGCAGGACAATCTGGGTATTGTAAAGATGGTGTAGCTGTTCTTTTATCAATTGATTTGCTCGTCATAATTAGTTTGAATTGTTTGAACTATCTCCAATTCTTCACCCGTTCACTGAACTAATAAAAATGTAATAATCTAAAAAATTAACCAACTCAACCATCATCACTACCAACAGTGCCAACACTTTATGTCATTGACAAGTTTGACAACTAGAGCTACAGCAAGCTGTATGCAATGTAGTCTATGCACTTTATCCATAGACAACAGTTTGTTTTCCCCCAGTTTGAAGTTCGTATTATGTAACCTAGATGTCGCCCACTTCGTGAATCTCGCGAGGTTTACAACAACTGTTACCAGACTGGAAGTTATCAATTCCATGGAGAAATTCAAATATCTTATCAACCTTTCAACAGAAATTCAAATTTGAATGATCAACCTCAAAAACGAGCTGTCAGAACTAACAAATGTAAAACTATTTTGCATTATTAATTATTATAATTATGATCTCAAAATGTACCAATCAAAAAATAGCATAAAGTATTCATGGATAATCGTCATCCTCTTTTCTCGTTTACCAACAGACAGTCAGCACGTTATATAGTACTAATGGGAGCATTTCTATGAGAATTTATTATGGGAATTTATTTTGGAAAATCTAGAAGGAATTCAAAATTCTTAGTGTCTTTTGTTATCGTGATGGACGTCATTTTTTTTTCTAGAAATTAGTGTTCTTGCCTATGATTAGTCCATATTGAAAAATATTTGTTATGCAGAAATTTGGTCAGGACTCACATATGGAACCTTTATTGGGGTTGGGGATCAGCTTAAGCAGCCCAGAAATTATTTGTACTGCTGAAAAAATGCCTTAGAACACTTTTAAATAAAAATCAGAGAGAATCATGTAGACCATTATTTGCCAAACTGAAAATACTTCCCCCTCTTGCCTGTATATTCTAGAAATATCATGTTATACAGGGTGTTTCATAATTGAATGTCAATATTCGAGGAGGCGATTCTTGGGCTCATTCTAAGAAGAAAGTTTCATATGAACGTATGACCTAAACGTCCCAACTTTGGAGATACAGGGTGGTAAAATTCTCGAAAATTAATATAGCCTACTACAATGAGAAGTTATAATTCGAAAATACCAAATACGAATACAAAGTTCATGAACTATGAATTGTATTTCTGAAATTTGATCTTAAAAATAAAAACTATTTCTCTGCATTGTGATATTATCATATTAACAATATTACTATAATCATGTAGTGAAAAGCTTTTTATTTTTAAGCGAAAACCGTGCATCAGATTGAAAAAATTGTAGTGATCAAATTTGCTTAGAAATGATCGGGAATTTCAGGAATGATTTCAATTTGGAGATTAATCAGTGGCGTACCATCAATGTCTGCCAAAATAGGTATGTGAAATTCCATACGAACGCCACTGGTGGCAACAACAAAAAATGTGGTACGCTAACTGATGCCTCTTGATACATAGTACATGTATGCCAAATTTCATCAGAATATCTGAAGTGGTATTACAGATATTAATAAAAAACTATTAATTTTTGAGAACTTCACCACCCTGTATCTCAAAAGTTAGGATGTTTAGGTCATACGTTCATATGAAACTTTCTTCTTAGAATGGGCCCAAGAATTGCGTCCCCAAATATTGACATTCAATTATGAAACACCCTGTATATTAAAAAATGAAAAGCATCAGCACTCATAGATCACAGTTATTCAAGGAGATTTAACCACCATCTGAAAACACCTGGAAATAATTTGAATGTAACTCTCAGAATACCCATCTCCAATGGAGTGAGGATTTACAATAAGCTACCAGAGGCAATCAAGAAGGAAGTTACTGACTTCAGATTCAGAAAACATCTCAAAACTTTTCTGTAGTCAAAAATGATTTATAGTACCCCTAGATAGATACCTTAAGACTAAGATAATATATATTTTCTCTTACATGATATACACTTTCATTTATAATTGTTGATTTTAAATGTGAATTCACTATATGTAACTTATGATGTGTTTTATATCACTTTTACAGTGGTCTTTGAAAATCAATAAATTCAACTTTACTTATTTTACTTTCCTTATTCGTATTTCAGAGCCAAATAGAAAATAAACTAAATAAATCAAGCATTGTTAACTGAAAATCCTGCTCAGAATTGGAAAACCCATAATGCAGGACATGTATGCTTGTAGAGAGTACTTTGTAGCAGTGAATTAATAATAACTTAATGCAAAGTTGATGATGAGTTTCAAGATAGAGATGAATGTTTTGTTTCTAATACCTTTTTTAATGTGTGGTTCTGATTTTGAGGCTATCAAAAATATTCACAATGGATATAATTTAGGAAAGGGGCTGGAATATGTCCAGTGATGAGTCAGAAAACATGAAGAGGAAAATGGTGTTGGAGTGACCTCCAAAACAAAAAAATATGTTCATCATGGAACCATGAAACATTGTCCTATTCATAATGTTGCTATATCTATGAATATCCTAGGAACTCTCCTTTAAACACTTCAAACAATTTGTGAAAAGGATTGAATCAGATATACATTCATTCTGGTCACTGAGATATCACTTACCATATTTTGTAGGAAAAATATTTTCATCACTTATAGTTTTTTGAATAAATGTCATCACATAATCTATATACTGAGGGGCAGCAACCTTAGTTTTCTTCCCTTTCTCGTCAAACCATAAATAAGTCCTACAACAAAATATCTTATAATAAAATGAACTAGAATGGCAGACCAAGAGAGTGGAAGCAAAAACATACCTTTGACCTGGACCTGTCATGTCAGGACACCCCATTTGTGTACAAAATTCACTAACACTTCCATATACTAAATTCACATGATCAAATAGAGCCATAGCTGAAAAAATGAAATAATTCAAACAAAAATATCCAGCAACATTTTTTTGTATTTTTGAGGATATCTCATACATTCCTAAAAACTTGTCTTTCAAGTTGAAAAGTACATAATTAAAATATCTCCATATCCTGTCACTTGGACTTGTCCATAGATAAATATCAATTAGATAACACACAATGGAGATGAATAATCAAAGAATACCAATGAGATGAAAAATTTCACACACTATGAGTGGATCTATGAGTAAATGATACTCTAAATGATATAATCTAAATGTTTCAATAAGACTTACTGTGTGAGGCTAACCACTCATTGTAGTCCAATCCAGCAGGTAGATCAACTAACAATCTCATGTCCATTTCTGGTAATTTCCTTTCTAAAACTGTAGCTTCTAGATACAATTTTGAGTCTCCACTTGATGTAGATTCTGTTCCTTCTTTTTCTTTACGTCTTGCTTTCCTGAAATTGATGGCTGAGTGTTAAAAACTGTTGGAAAAAGTCTCATCATAATAGTAAATCATGATGAGAGAGTCATGTAATTCACACATTTGAAAATAATGTAGTATTTGCTGGAATGTAGTTAAACTAGATTCAAATAATCAAACAGCACAAAAATAATAATTCAAGAATCAAGATATTTGAACTGCTTCCAATTTGAGAATGAAGACTAGATGTTGACATCAAGAAATCAGCATTCTTCATTTTATTCTCAAAATGGATTGTTTATATCTGTTATATTATCTACAACAATTATAACCATTTTTTAACAGTAATACTGATGTTGAAAATTGCTGAAGAGGTCAAAAAAACAGAATTTGATTCATATTAAAAATAGTCATGATTCATATGACCTGAGGTCTCACCATTCTTCAAGGTAGTTCAAGAAAAGTCTGAATAGGATAAAAATGGAGGCTGATTACCAAATTAATTGATACTGAACTCACCCTATAAACCAGTCCACGGTGTCGCGGAGATATTCTGGTAGTCGCTCCAGTTTGAAGTACTTGTTTCACAAAGATTTCAGATAAGAAAAGCACCGAGCACCCAGTGATTTGTTTTTCCTGATATTTCGTCTCTCAGCTGATCAGGAAGTTTGTTTTGCAACCCTTTTAAAGTAATCCTGGTAGATTTTAGTCACGAATATATTCCACAACAAATTTCAGAAAGTCCATTTGTATTGTTCAACAGCCAAACATAACATTGCACAAATTTTTCACTGAGTTTAGGTTTGGTTTCCCAATGGAAAATTGGAAATTGTATATTTCATTTGGCAAATTCTTCATACCATTACAGAACACAGAACAGAATACAGAATAGGAAATTATGGAATCAGGGAATCACGGAATCTCCGTCACAGAACACATATTTTGACAAATCACTAAAATCAGTCACAAAACACGGAACACAAAGGATTTTCCACTGGAGATTTCGGGTATCCGCAGTCCGCAGTGCGGAAGAGTTTGTGAATGCTTTTTTAGCGTCAAGCTTGGTTTGTTGCTGGGCGATTTTTGCATTGGCGATGCTCGAGATGAAAACTGGTGATGTTATCATTGGAAAATTTGAATCGGTCAGCACCATCGACCAATAATAACATTACACGTTTCATCGCAAAAGCCAAAATCGCCCAGCTACAAACAGTGCTTTACTGAATATTGTCAATTGTCATACAATGTTTTTATAATTATTGTTCTGTGTCAGTTCCAACTTCCAACTGTCACTGTCTCTGTCAGTTCATTGAAAAATAAGAAAAAATAATTGCCAAGTTCATCAAAATCTATTCAAAAATTAGAAAATTACAGAAATGCGAATTAATATTTCATATTTTCAATGGAATAAATATATTCTTTAAGAACTGAACTCCTTAAGTTTCAATACAAGTGCTAATTCATAAGGATTCTAATTATGCATGTCTTCTGAGTCAAATGGGTAATTTCCAGTAAAATCTTCCCTGGATTGGAGATGTTTAATTGAATAATTTGTAGAGGAATCACTGGATAACACCTTGGATTTATCCAATAGAAAGCTGAAGAAATTGAACAAGCCCTCTCAGTCTGATTCCCATATTATTAACCTCATTTTAGATAATAATGAACTGCAGAGATTAGATAATATTGACTCCTTCACAAAACTACAGAAGGTATGTTTATCACTTGGTTTATCACTGTACTACATTTCAATTTGTACATGTATAAAATTGGATCCCAAAGAAGGTGAATTCAATTTATATTTCTATGAAAATTTCAGCTTACTGCAATTCATAATCAATTGTTGAGGATGTATGGTGTCTGTCGTCTTCATTCCTTGTATACTCTGAATCTTTCTCATAATGGGATATTAACAATTGAGGGCTTGAAGGACTTGGTTAACTTGAAATGGTTGTGCTTAGCTGGTAATAGTATTAAGGTGAAAATAAGTCCATTCTTTCAGTTGCAGGATTTCTATGTTTGAGTAATAACTAACATCAGTTTTGCTTTTATGCAGTGTATAATTGCTAAACATCCATCAGTTTATTATAATCCCACAATCAATACATAAAAATCTCTCCATTGCTACTAACTGAGAAACACATTCATAAATTGATGTTTTGCAGACCATTGAACATTTGAATACCAACATCAAATTGGAACATCTGGATCTATCTGAAAATGCAATAACTCACATAACTGATTTATCATTTTTGAAAAACTTGAAGGTAAACCCCATTGGTTTCTAATTATTTTCAACCTTTTTATGAAAATGTATTTCAGGAACTCTATTTACACAAAAACAAAATAAATCATTTGGGCCAGTGTGAACGATTTTTACCAACAAGCTTAACTATACTAACACTAGCTAATAATAACATAGGAGATTTAAATGAGATCTCTAGACTTGTTAATCTTGTTAATCTAAAGAAAATATCCATAGCTAATAACCCCTGTGTTAACATGACTGGGAGTAACATGTATCCTTTGATGGTGCTTTTGGAAAATTGGTCTATGTTGTACAGTGTATACAAATGTATTTGCTTAGTTTGTTGATTGAAATTATTCAGTGTTGAATGTTGTATGAATATTGAAATTTTATTATGTTCCTTAATGCTTTTCAGTGGCTTTGATTACCGTCCATTTATTGTAAATTGGTGCCTAAATGTAAATGTTATAGATGATTATGTAGTTGATGCCATTGAGAGGTAAACATGTCCTAATCCAGTGTTTTAGGATTTTGATTGATTTTTTTCATCTAGTTTGAGAGCTGAATGGTTATATTCACAAGGACGTGGTAGACATTACAGAGTAGGAGATCAGAGGGAACTGGTTCAGTATTTAGCTACAGTTTGCCCCCTTACAGGGGAGACTCTGGAAACAGAGGAGGACAGAAAGTTGAGGTTAATTTTGAGTAAGGCACAGCATCACCAGCAACAATTGAGAGAACAGTCATCTACAAATGGTAATCATCATCACCCTTTGAAAAATTATCATTTTACCTTCATTATTGTTAATGTATTTAAATTTCTAGTTACTCCTAATCCATCCCCAATGACAAGAAAAAAAATTATGGCAAGTAAACAGTCACCTAGATTAAGTGGTAAGTGTAAAGTAACTGATGTTTGCTTTGTTTTAATGAAATAATTCTATTCATTTTCAAGCTCCTTAAAAATAGGTATATATATTTTCACAGTGTGTTGCACTTCAATGTGAAGAAAAACATGGACCAAAATCCGTTTGTGATTCATCTAATACTATAGTATATAAATCATTTCTGGAAAATATTTTTTTAGTTAAATATTAAACAACACATTTTCATTATTTTATTTTCTACTTCTTTTCAGTTTGACTAGCCATAAAAACATGTTTTATTGGTTTTTCAAAATACCATTTATTTTTTACTTCTTTTCAGATTGGTAATCTATCTCTATATTTTTCCAAACTACTATTTTATTCTACTTCTTTTTTGTTTGGCTATTTTTTCATTATTTAAAACATTATTTATTACAAAGCTCATTTAGAAAATTTAATCCATCATCTTGAATTTCTCAATTCTGACGAAAGAATCATAATTTCTAAACCTCCAGATACCTATTTTAAAAAGAACCGAATCTTAATTTCAAAGCTCGTTCGCCATATTGGATCCGACAACTTGAATTGTCAAATTTTGACGAAAGAATCATAATCTCCGACCCCAAAAACCCCCAGGTACGAATTTTGAATAGAATCGGATCATAATTACAAAACTCGGCCGTCATATTGGATCCGCCATCTTGAATCTCCAAATTTTGACGAAAGAATCATAATCTCCAACCCAGAAAACCTCCAGATACCAATTTTGAATAGAATCTGATCATAATGGGGAAGACCACTGAGGGAAGAAATCCGTGCAAACCTCTTTCAATCGATGAATCATGATTTACGTTTGATCTACAATCAATATTATGAGTTGAAGTTGAAGGGAATCGAATCTATATCGTTTTGAAATCAGCATATTTCATTCGTTATTTCGAAAAGCCAAATATGATGATGGAGCTGTGACGTATTAGTCCCGCACTGTAGCTATCTCTCTCTGATACCTCGTCATTCTGCAGTGATGCAGTGTGATTGGTGAGTTCAAGGACAATAGGCGTGTTGGGACTAAGACGTCGCACCAGTCACACCAATGAATTGACAAAATTTCAAATGGCGCAGGAATTGTGTGTTTAGAAATGGACATATTCTAATTTCTTTTTTTTCATCGTCTTAGCATGAATGAAAAAATTCAAAATTAATTCACTGGTAGTTTTTCAGTATAGAGTTCACGATAATGTCGTTTCAAAATATCAGTGGTCTCCCCCATTAAAAAACTCCTCCAATCTGAATTTTGTCAAAAGAATCATAATCTCCTACTCCGAAAAACCCCAGATATCAATTTTGAATAGAATCGGATTATAATTAAAAAACTCGTCCGCCATCTTGGATCCGCCATCTTGAATTCCGAAACTTCCGCGAAGAATCATAACCTCCGACCACGGAAACCCCTAGCCTAGATACCAATTTTGAATGAAATTGGATCACAAAACTCGTCCGCCATTTTGGATCCGCCATATTTGAATTTGAAAAATTGTTTAAGACCAATTCTCAGAACTACCGAATATGCACAAAACATTTCATAAGAACCGGCCAAGCCGTTTCGGAGGAGTTTGGCAACAAACACTGTGACAGGGACAGGGGAAGTGTATATATAATAATAATAATAAACGTCTTTATTACTTCTGAATAGAAAATAATATATAAAGTATGGGTGGATAATAATTTTCAGAAGCAAAGGGCGAAGTTCAACTTAGTTTCTAGATGACTCCGTCCACTGAATTGCTCTACCATATAAAATACAGATTTACTTCACCACCATCAGATCTTGTAGTAGTTCCACGAGGTGAATGCTGCAATCATTCGAGTGGAAAATTGACATTTTGTGGGAGTTATACACTATAATTTTTTACGGCTGTAACAGATAACAGCGACATTCTTGATTTCTTCGTCTTGTAGCCATATCTGATTCCCTCTCAAGGAATGCTCATCTAGTAGACAGAGCTGTCATTGCTTGAAATTTGACATTCCATGGGTGATGAGATTTTTTTCGAAATAATAACACAATGGAGTCATTCCTATTCGTTTTTTTTTCAGCGTCAAGACTAAACAATAGGAATAAGTCTCCTGATAGAATGTCCTCAAGTTGTTATAGTACAATCAGTGACTTGAGCAACCATTCAATCATGTCCCAGAGCTTGGATCCAAGCATTTTTAGACAAAGTGTATCACCAAAAATGTCCAATGAGGCGAATTACATCATTCAAGAAAAATGTCTAGGTAATTCATTTTATCTCTGTCCCACTTTTTATGGTCTAATATCTGAGTTTTGCAAAAACTATTCACTTGGTTTTATCAAGATATTCATTAGATACAAAATTAGAATTTCAAATACTTTCTTAAACAACTGATATTATCCAGCGTACATACATTTGTACGCTGTATTATCAGCGTACATTGATTTACTGTGATATACACTATTTTCATGAGAAATAGATACATTCTTATGAACCTCACTTCATGTCAGTTGAAATTATAAATGATGATATATAAACACTAAATACACATTTACAGAAGAAAAACATGATTTATAAATATTGTAAAAATTATGCATATAATTGTGCTTCCTTCAATAAATAATTCGAGATTTTCGGAATAAAACTCCAAGGAATTGAACAAATGCACAGCTTTTTTAAAGTGTTCTGTATTGTTGACACATCTTTTATAAAAAATCCCTCAACAGAAGTAATTAAATCAAAAATGTCTATTATTCAGGAAGTTATTCAGTCAGCTTATTATAGCTGTCTCAAGTTATACAGCAAAGAAACCTATGATGAAGGAATAAAATCCGTATCTCCATAAATATATTTCAAAAAATCCTTGTACATTTGGATTTAACTTTATGAAAAGTGTTTTTTTTTTGTAAAAGTTTTCAACCTGCCTTACTGAACAACCCCTTCTTTCTTTCGACCAATCGGACATATTTTACCCATATTCACTAGCGCCGCCTGCGAACCGGTAAAGAAACTAACGCCATTGTTGGTTTCATCATTTAACATGGAGGTGGTTCATCTTACTAGTGTATATAATCAAGGATAACAATAAACAAACTAATCATTATTACGTCTAGACTCGGAACCCGTCAACAGTCCCCTCCAGGCCCTCTCGAAAATGGTCCCCGTGCCGGAGTCCCTGATGAGCCCCGATTACCGCCCCCCACCCTTCGCCGGCCAGAACGGCTCCGTGCTCACCAACCTCGCCATCCCAGACGCGCGTGCGCATCCCAACAACACTTCGCCGGCGAGGGTCGTCCAAGGTAGACTGACTTTATAAATAGACATCCAAATGGCTGCCATTTCCGGCATGTCAAGTCACTGAATAGCTAAACATCTAAAGGGTATCTCCCATGCATTAATGAATTTGCGTCTTCGAAGTGCCTACCTGATGTTAGTTATAGATATTTGATATTTTTATTTCATCATCTAAATAATGGCAAATGGCTGCCATTACCGGAATGTCAAGTCACTGAATAGCTGAACATCTAGAGGGTATCTCCCATGCATTAATGAATTTGCGCCTTCGAAGTGCCTACCCGATGTTTTTTTTTTCATATAAATATATTTATTAACATTTACAATGAAATAACATGAATAATCAGACAGATTCATATCTGGTATGAGATTATTCATGTGTTATTAAATTAAATTAAAGTTATTGAAATAAACAACAGATTCAAAAATGATAATAATAAAACGAAATGCTGATGAAAAGTACATTATGACATGATGAAATAAATTAGTGAATGAGAAATCATTCCTTGTCGCTAGAAATTTTAGAATTGCTTTATCAGTCGAAAAGTTAAATTATTGATAGCACATTGATAGTACATTTGGCTTTGCTGGTCCACATAAAAGGGATTCATCCACCTTTTGCGGTTTCTCTGTGAGCACTGCCAGCAACAGTCTTATGAATAAGGATGTTTTTTTCATTGTCGATGATGTTCATTTGAGTGTCGACAATAATTGATTGATTGATTGTCTTTATTACCCCAAGAAACATTTCTGTTTATGATAGGGATACATAAATACATATAAAAAAAAATAATAAAGGGTTAATTATAATGAATTCCACTCAGTGGAAACGAATTAATATTGTGTCTTATAAGATTAAAGTTATATTTCATTCCTAAGTAATCAAATCATGCCACATATTTTTCTTTCAAATTGTCCTGAGGAAGTATTTTTTAAGATTGATTTTAAACCTTCTTGCATCATGTATATTTTTTAACTCATTCGGTAATGAATTGTATAAAATTATTCCATTGTGAAAAACAGATTGTTTGCCAATGTTTGACTTGAATGTATTTGCAATCAAGTAATTCAATTGTCTAGTCCCATAATTATGGACTGTATTGACTTCATTGAAAGCTAAATTTGATTCATCATTGCTGTATCTCAGTCATCGTTTCGGAAAATATTGCAATAAACTTCGATAAGACATTCATCATCCTTCAAATTTCAAATATTTTTCCACTCGAATATTTAAGGACTAAGGTTATGTGTATGGCACCGTCACACATGCATGGTTCTGAAAACTCGAACTTTGAGCGAGCATCGAGCATCGAGTTTGAAAGCCAGTGGAAATCATTTCTCGACGAAAGTTCGCTCTTGAAATTCTCAGTGGACCACGAAAAGTTCGAGCTACTGCGACTAGTGGAAAACGCTATAAACCTAACATCAGGTGGGCACTTCTAAGGCGCAAATTCATCACTGAATGGGAGATACCCTTCTGGTTTTTAGCCGTTCAGTGATTTGACCACGAATGACATTCCGGAATCGGAGGTTTTTTGTCGTCACTCTATTTATAGCGAATTCCATTGATGGAACTGGTTCGCACTGAGTGCATATTTTGTATTCCATTCGTAAAACTGTTGGCAGGTATACAGGGTGATTCACATAAGAACCGACATAGAGCAGGGGCATGTAGGGGGTCCCGAAATATGTCAATTTAACGCAACTTACCTCTATACCAAGTTTCTTCCTTAAGGAATTATAGGATTTGAAAGTGAAGTTATAAATTTTGAAAAAAATCAATATCTCCGTTATTCTTGAACTTGAAGCAACGAAATTTGGTACACTTTGTGGATGTATTTAGGGCGTTACTTGACAGTAACTAGAGTTTAATTGAAATTTGTAAAGGGGGTATACCGGGGGGCGCACCATTAATATTCAACAGAATTTTGTTAACCCTCGATGGATTTCAAAAATCTTTGCTTTTTTTGTGGGCAATTCAATTCTAAAACTCTTCTTAGTCTAGTAATTTCTCGAAGAACCTCATCATTTTCATCAAAAACTCGAATAACTGAAAACGCGTGCTCTAGGTGTGTTATTTAAAATCATCTAAAATTCAAAAGTTGGCTATGAAAATAAACGTCAAACTTGACAATGAAGCAAGTAAGTAGTTCAATTAAGTATTTTATCGATAAACAATTGTTTGTTCTGGTTGTTGTTTAAGTTTTTTGTGTTTATTTTGGTTAGTTCCCAGTTTTTCACATTTCAGTATCTGTCCTTACTTTACGTATTTTGTTACGTATCTAAATAATAATTTGCCAGCCAATTTCTACTAATCACAATTAATGACCTACTTTCTTGTTGTACGTTTATTTTCATAGCCAACTTTTGAATTTTCGATGATTTTAAATAACACACCTATATGGCGGGTTTTCAGTTATTCGAGTTTTTGATGAAAATGATGAGGTTTTTCGTAAAATTACTAGACTAAGAAAAGTTTTAAAATTGAAATGCCCACACAACAAAGCAAATATTTTTGAAATCCATCGAGGGTTAACAAAATTCTGTTGAATATTAATGGTGCGCCACCCGGTATACCCCCTTTACAAATTTCAATTAAGCTCTAGTTACTGTCAAGTAACGCCCTAAATACATCTACAAAGTGTACCAACTTTGGTTGCTTTAAGTTCAAGAATAACGGAGATATTGATTTTTTTCAAAATTTATAACTTCACTTTCAAAGCCTATAACTCCTTAGGGAAGCAACTTGGTATAGAAGTAAGTTGCGTTAAATTGCCATATTTTGGGACCTCCTAGATGCCCCTGCTCTATGTCGGTTCTTATGTGAATCACCCTGTATAATAAATATATGGCAAAGCATATTTATGTTCTTACACCATATATTCCGTTTATTGTACAGAAACCTATATTTGAAGATAAAGATTTTCGGTTTCCGCGAACGTAGTCTACTTTTTTGTGAAACTCACGATACCGCAATAGCCTTCTTTGTTTTTAAGATACAGGGCGAAATTGAAAATGTTGCATTTTGGGACCCACCACCTGTATCTCAGCTATCTTTCAACTTATAGTTTTTCACGTAGAATATGTTTTTTTAAATGGAACACCCTGGATATTTTTTCATATTTGAATTATTGATGCTTTGCTCTTTCCAAAAATATATAACACATACGATATTTTGAGTATTAGTCTTTAATTGATTACGAATGGAATTCGCTATTATAATGATAATAATATCATTTTTCCGCAACCGACACAAAAGTCGTCCATTTTGATACCAAAATTAGCTCTTAAATTGACGTTTCTATTACTGACACAAAAATAGGTATGTTGCTAGGCAACATATTAAGTTCCTAGGAGCTAAAGTTGAATTTTAGTTCTTAGGAGCTAAAGTTGAACTTTAGCTCCTAGGATCTAAAAAGGATGTACTGGACGTCATCAAGAATAAACAACATTGTGACGGTTGGTTATTTGGTTTGAGACGCATACCTGATTTGTTTCCGATTTCAGCAGACTTGGCATTTCATACCCATGCTGGAGATATAAATACACCTTATTATAGTTTAGTATTGGAATTATAAACATCTCAGTCAAGTATTTTTGTCTTGATCAGGGAAGCCTTCAAGATTCAAATACTTGCTTGATCTGTATTTCATTCGTTATTCTCGGGATGGATAACTTGTTTTTGAATAATCACGGCAAGCAATAGTTTTTTTGTCTCAAACAACGATATTGTTTAGCTTCATTTGATTATCAAGTCAAACACAGTGTAGTATGGAGAGGAATAAATAATCACTATTATCATTGTTGATATGCTCACTAACCTAACATTTTCCACGTCTTGTTCCTATAGCTGGTACTGGCGCAGTATTTGCCATTAGAGCACCTGGTCCATACACAAATATGTCACTCTGTGGTTGTATTTATATTGAAACTACAATCCGAACATCCTTGAAAACTTAACCTGCTGTTAATGCAGGTAGAATATTCTCACCACACGGATTATTTGTCAATATTTGTTGCATTGCATACATATGGCACGGCATTATTTGGTGGTTACTTCACATGTTAATTCGAGTTAATTGTTTCGGTTGCAGAAAAAATAGCATGTTTCATTCGAATCAAAAGTGACTTTGTTCGACTCGCAAATTTTGCTTTCGCTCGGCTTCGCTAAACGCTCCGCCTCGCAAATGCAAAATTCGCTTGTCAAACAAAGTGTCACTTTTGATCCTAATAAAACAATCTACTATTATTGATGAGAGAAAGAAATATACAGTAATAAAAGGAAATGCATAAATGATACATACTCGATAAGTGAGCAAACACTTGTTTCGAAATAAAAATATGAAAATATCTTATTCAACTATACCAGATTTTTCCAATACAATAAAATACAATAACATACTATTTACTCTAGTCCAAAAGGTTCGAACGTGTTCCCCGAGGTCGAACAGGTCGAGCGTGGGCCGGACGAGGGACAGGCTGGTGGCGGAGGCGAGGAAGGGTGGATCGCCGTCGCCGGGCAGGCGGAAGAAGATTGGAGGTGATGGTGGATCGAAGTGAGTTTATTAACAGCTTGTCATATTTTAAGCGCCCCCTTACCCCCACTCTATATTATTTAAAATAATAACTGAATGTCAAAATGATTTTCATCCAGGCAGATCAACGGAGGGAGCAGGTGCTGACTTTATGTAATATGTGTATAGTCGCATGGACCATGGTAAGTATGTAGTTGCACTCTTTTTCGATCTGTCCAAAGCCTTTGACTCTTATGGATTTTTACATTGTCTATGACAAATTATATGCTGTTGGGCATAAGAGGCATCATACTGTCGTGGATAATATCTTATCTCAAATTCAGGAAAATATTCGTTAATTTACCAGAAGCAAACTCAGGTATGTACAGTATTGACCTCGGAGTTCCACAGGGCTCGGTTCTAGATCCACTGATATTTCTGTTATTTATTAGTATCTTACCTTTTCACGTGCGGATGACACATCTATCACAGAAGAAGCAGAACTTCATGATATACTAAATATCGTCGCCAGTGGGTTTACTTCTTGGTGCAAAAACAATAAATTGGTGGTAAATTCAGAAAAATCTGTTCTTATTCAATTTTTCGGCAAGAAAAACGTTGAAAGACCCTTAGATGTTGTCGTGAATAATTCAATCCTAAACACTTCATACGGAATTAAATTTCTCGGAACATATTTCGACACAGGATTGAATGGGAAAATCACATTAGTTATATATGCAAGAGACTCAACAGCAGTTTTTACGCTATATTACAACTGAAAAGTGTTTAAGACGAAAAATCGCTGATAAACGTATATTACGCAATGGTGCACTCGGGACTAAAGTATAATATAATACTATATATATATATATGTATTGAAGTATATATAATATATTGAAAAACATTAAGCTTCAATTATAACTAATGGTGAACAACACAGGTATCCTACGAGAAATGGCGTCAAGTCACAAACCTTCCGTGATATTAACTGAGGAGTATGCAGATTGAAACCTCAGAGAAAAATCACTCCCTATATTTTCCTATAACCTTTTTATTTCTACTTTTCAGTTCTTGAAAATGTCTTCAAAATCGATGCCGAAACGTCGAACACCTACAGGTTCTAGACGCGGTTCAACTCGAACTCCCAGTTTTCACATATATATACATTTTTTTCATATTCATAATACAGGGTTTCTATAAATGATCGTAGCTCTGTGGTGGCCGTTGAAATAGTGCCGCTATCTGCTTCGGGCAATATTTCGAATTCACTGACTGAATCTGCTGATTTTCCATTCTAAAATCAAAAAATTATCTGAAAGTGACAGGTGCTTTTGTGAGCAGACAAACTATTCATTACGAATATTTCGACTCAACACTGCTGAAATTGTTGACTATCAAAAGGTTTCAGTGCAGTGTCATTATTTAAAAGGGGGGAAGGAATGTCACATGCATTTCCGTTGTTTTTTAAACATTGAGTCTTGTCTTATCTATAATAAATTACTAATATATTGAACTTCCGAAAATGGCTGTTATTTAAATAATAGATGATGAGAATGATATTCAAATTTCACCAGCTGATCAACTGCTGCTGATTACTGATGAAAACTATGGAAACGTTTTCCGAATTACAGCACTGCTCATTCGCTCGTAGAAAAACTTAGAATTATTAACGAGACCCTTGGGGTCTCGATAGGAAGAAAAAACATCCTTGAAAGCTTGAATCACGTATCTCAACATATCACGTGATAGGAATGGTTTCGGAAAATTTAGGCATTTCTGTAAAAATATATTAGGAATCATCTCTTTTTTCAATCATTGAATTCATCGAGATAGATTTTGTGGATGGAATAATCATTTTGAACTGACTACCAGTTTCGTTGGAAGGACTCATACAGTGATGTAACGCTATTTTTGTTCAATTACAAGCATTTTGAGTAACTCAATATGAAGACTGTATACCCTTGCCACTTTTCGAGTAATTGGATTGTTTGAACTACATCGACCATCAAAAAGCCTGGGCGATGTGGTCTTGGATCGCTCGGTCCTGGTATTCAACAAAATACGTTACCATTTGGAGATCAGATATCAATAATTAAAAACCCTGCAGCCGAAGCGTTGTCCAAGTGGTCGCAACCGGTCGACAATCAAAAACTCTCTCATAATGTAATAAGGATGTTTTTAGCTTTTTTTTTCAATAAACAGCCAATATTATACCTCGTCTATTAATTAGACTTCCATTTAGAACGACCCTGATTTCAGTAAAGTGGAATCGAACAAGAAGACCTCCATACTGAGAGCCAGGTCTCCGAGTAGCGAAGAGGACTCGGAGATGTGCAACGCCAAACTGCAAGCCATCCAGATGAAAGTGGAGGAGAGGAGGATGCAGAAAGAGGAAGTAGCGAGTAATTGCAGCGGGGAGGACAAGGTGGAACAGGCGGCGGTGTTTATACAGAAAATGTGGAGGGGGTTTTACGTAAGGAACAAGAACAAAGAGGTGCAAGAGATGTTCAAGGAGTTGCAGAGCCAGAGGGCCAATCAGTATATTCAGTAAGTACAATAGCGGGGACAGATACTTTTTTCTTTCTATCCAAAACCATGAGTATTTATTGAAAAACAAAACATAATATGTACATTGTTTTCGACTTGTGCCATTATCATTTTATTGGCATAGGTCGCGTGCACGATGACCGACCCTGGTGGTAAAGCATTGAAACACCTAACTTTTCTGTAAAGCATTGAAACACAACCCTTACAGAGGAATCAAAGGATTGAAATAGTTTTTCACAATATTTTGACATACAAATTACGTTTTTCGCGCTATTCATTAATTCAAGCATGCCTTCTCATTGCCCTGTTGTACAATGCACAAAAAATGCAGCGAGAGACAAAGGAAAATGATTTTTCAGGTAAATAGTAATCTCACAGTTTTCATTATGAAGTTTTGTTGTTTCTTATTAAAAATCCTCGTGCCACTTCTGCAATAGAAGCTAAAACTGTTAATAGATTGAAAATGTCTACAGCACACGATCATATTTCGTCAGCATGTCAGACAGTCTTTCCGTTTGATTGCATGAATCCAATCTTCTTGCATTCTTTTAGAAATTTCACTAGTACTTCAATTAGCTCCTAGTGCAGAAGGACTTTCGTTGAGCAATCAGAAATTACCAAACTTCAAAATGAAAACATGTGAGTGACTATAGTAAGTACTTACTTTTACATAATAATGTATCAACTGGATTCCTTCGTCTCTCGCTGCATTTTTTGTGCATTGTACAACAGCACAATGTGACGGCATGTGCGAATTAATGAATAGCCGAAAAACACGATTCGTATGCCAAAATAATTGTGAAAAACTATTTCAATCATTTGTGAACAAATAAGAAAAGTGAGGTTATGTTTCAATGACTTTGTAGATTTAATGATAAATTATTTAAAGTAGCCAAATGAATCAATTGACTGGCGTGACCGGCGTGTTATAGTACTTGATACATCAGTATCGACTGTTTTCGTCCGGTTCAAATAGGGGGATTTCTTCAATAATTCATTTTCAGAAAACTATGTAGTTGGATTAAAAGTTTCAAGAATCTTTTTGTGCCTTTTTCCGTGATGTCATTTTTTCTCATAAACAACGGAAACTTCATTCTTCTCTTCTAATGAGGGAACTAGTCATGAAACATATAAAGATCTGATTCTTGATGATTTTGGTTGTACGTCATACCATAACCAATGTAAGAACAAATCATCTCAGTAACTTTGTATTTGAAACCCTGTACAAGTTATTTACAAAACTGAGTTTCACACAACTTTTCTACTGCTTATCTCAGAAAGTTAGCCACTGATATGGAAACCACTAAAGCAGCCCTGGAGAGTGAACGAAAAATTCAAATGTTGCAAACGGAAGCGATCAGCGCCCTTTGGAAGAAAATCTCAAACTTGCAACCGGCAGAAGGAGAAAGTTCGTCTGCTAACTTGAATATGACGAATTTGTCTGTCAATAATGGCGAGGTCGTTAAAGAGTTGGCACAAACTTGTACAATGCTACAAACACAGGTAAAATTTGGGAATACTTATTTCTTCAATCTTCATACATGTAATTTGAATGTTAGTACATTCAGAACGAAAGAAAGAAAAACTGTGACTTCTCTCTATAATATTATTTAATGACATTTTCAATTATTGTTTAGCTAGTTACATTATTGAAAAAAATCTGCAGAAAAAATGTGGAATCAAAGTATGTCGTTGCCGAGTTACTCTCATATGCATCTCATTTTTCAACATAATCAATTTCTTCAATTTGTAAGTTCTTACAATGTGCAAGATGTTCCTTGAACCTAGTTTATGTGGGTCTCCTAGTTTGACCTACAAATGTATGCTGCAAATATTGCAAGTTCACTTACTGTTTTGGTTTTTCTAAAAATTTCGAATTCTGACTTGTTTTTGGTGTTGTTGATCATGATAACATCTTGTAAATGATAGTATTCTGTTGGGAAGTAACTATTCGGTTTAAAATTGAACTTTATCTTAAACTTTTGTGTTGTCAACACAATCTTATCCCGAGTCTTATCCATACTCACTGCTGTAGGATATGAAAATGTTATTGATTTTTTTGTAGATGATATTCTTGAACTCTTTGGACTTGACTTTGAGCTCCCATACACTTCTTGCATGTTATTTTTCAGATTCAGCAGTTGCAGTGCTCAATGCAGGATATAGTCAAAGTTATGACTGTTTTTAGTCAAACAGCTGGTATCAATCATCAGTTGAGAGATAATGGAATTGCCACTCAAACGGAAATTGTTGCAGTTCATACACCTCAAGTGAGAAATTATTCTATTAAAATAATACACATATCAATTCATAAAATCGCATATTTCTTTATGGTTGAAGCCGTTTTGGTTAGCACATAGATATAACCTGTATCAGGGTTAATTTATTCTAAATTAGCAGTATTTGATATCAAGTTGTGCGTTGAAAGCGCCGTGGCCGAGTTTGTCTACGCGCTGAAATTCGCTTGATAGCCGTTCACGATGCGAAGGTACTGTCGGTTCGAATCTGGCTATCGGCTGAGCAATTTTCTTCAAAATGTGTGATTCATGGTTGTAATCCTGGCAGCACCTCAATGCCCTAGAAGTGGGTTCGGATGCCACTATAAGCTCTAGGTCCCGCTCTTCCTAACCCCGCACAAGTTTCGACTTCTGGGGAGTTGGTTCCCAACTTTGAAGTAGCAATATACAAATTTAAAATTTAAACTAACAAAATTTGTTTTGAAACCTCTGAAATCCCCGCATTATGAAGCCCTGAAATTTGTTATTAAACTTTCTTCTAGAGCATACTAGAGTTCCTTAATGTACTTGACACTGCTGTTTTGACGTTTTTTGTATATTAGAGTACGGACACTAGACAAGCAGTGACAATCAAACATAACCACAAACGATTTTGAAGCAAATCATATGTTTTGCCAGACAAGGACAATAATATATTTTTCGCTTAGATAAAGGATCCTCGCATCTTCCTTCCTCCACAAGTCCTGGGAAGAGTACATCCATATATCTTTCTCTGTCTTTGATTTTTGTATGAGAGTGCATAGCGTCTCCTCGAGTGGGTAAAAGGGTACGATAAATTGATTAGAAAATTGTTTCTTCTCGAAATATTGTATGATAAGGCTAAAGGACCTCAATGGAGGTCGATATCAAATTGGTATGTACATATATACCAACGAAATACATATACTAGTCCTATGAAATAAGTCTCATATTGGAATAAGGTTCTTTTCGATACTCAGTTTATAAATTGTGGGTTCGGCTTTTTCTCAAAACGATCCTATTCTTCAACATCAAATCTTCTGAAATGTACCTGATAAAAATGCGTTGAAAAATGTTTTATATCCTACCAAGAAATTTGAATACCCCTCGCAAATTTTGTGGCCTGAACCTATATTCCACGCCGGCCGCATCATATTCTTTTTCAATTTTTGTAGAATCACGTTATCCGATGGAAATTCGAATAGAGTGAATTGATTTCCCGTGTTTTCACAGTTGGGAACTGCACAAACTTGCATCTCTCTCCTAATTCTCTCAATTTGTCAAACCTTTGAAATTTATATCGTGTACGTCCGTGTACTGACAGTTCCCGCTATTTCCATCAATTTATTTGTGGTTATGTCTGATTGTCAGTGCTTGTCATAGTGTCCGTACTCTGATATACAAAAAACGTCAACAACAGCAATGTCAAGTACATTTCGGAACTCTAGAGCATATGAGCCAAAATGAAAGTATGGGTTTTTATCCACTTAACGAAAAATACAAAAAGCACTGGAAATCTTGCCTTCCCATGAGCAATGTGATAATTTGAAAACCGTTGAAATGATATCTCAATTTGGGAAAATCGTTATGTTCTTGTGGAAAAAATATAACGTCCTCCGTCCCACGAGTTTTACACTGGTCCATCGGATATTATAGTTCTACTCTCTTTTTATTATCATGCTACTCTTGATACTGGAAACCTAAATTTTCCTTGAAAATTATATACAGGGCGATGCGGCCAAGGCGTTCCCGTTCCAGAAGCACCAGCCCCAATCCCGGCCGTCCTCTCTGCCGCTACCTGTCCAAAGAAAGAAGGATACTGTTCCGACGACCACTGACAATGGCGATTCTGACGTTTCTGAGCTGCGTCAGTTCGCTGGCACGCTGGTCGATGGTGTCATCAGAACGGTATCAGAAACCGAGGCTGATTGCCTGGGACTCGATAACATCACCGAGATCACTGTGACGGATACGGGAAAAGACGATGAAGATTCTGATACGGTTTGAGTTTTGATCAGTGGGGATTAGATCATCGAATACTGCCTGCTAATTTGTTATTTATCTGGTAAGGATAATGATATGGAAGTTTAGGTTAAGTTGCAATTGGTAGCTTATAAAAGAGAGATTAATGGTTGCAATTTTGCGATACACTATGGTTCACTATTTTATAAAAAGGCAATGTATGGAATAGCGTTAAAAAAACGGAGCAAATAAAACAGTTCTGGGACAAAATTGCACCAATTAAAATAATGCTAAGACAATATAGCTGGAACATGAAACAGCACATGACAAAATAGTTCTAAGAAAAAAACAGCGCATGAAAAAGTTACTGACTGTGCACACTGAAACAAAACCTGATAAAATCTTTACATAGTAGTTCTAAGAACAGAACCGAGCATGACAAAATTAGCAAAACAAAAAGACAAAATATACTTCCTGACACAATAGCTCTGGGAGAAAATAGTAAATGAGACGCTATAATATTCGTGAGACAAAACAGCATTCGCGAGATTCACGAAGTGGGCGACATCTAGGTTACATAATACGAACTTCAAACTGGGGGAAAACAAATTGTTGTCTATGGATAAAGTGCATAGACTACATTGCATTCAGCTTGCTGTAGCTGTAGTCAAACTTGGCAATGACATAAAGTGTTGGCACTGTTGGTAGTGATGATGGTTGAGTTGGTTAATTTCTTTACATTATTTCATTTTTATTAATTTAGTGAAGGGGTGAAGAATTGGAGATAGTTGAACAATTCAAACTAATTATGTCGAGCAAATCGATTGACATATAAAAGAACAGCTACAACATGTTTACATTACCCAGATTGTCCTGCTCTGCATGAACAAATACATCTCCATTATTCTACAGGAGTTCCTCTGGACCCCAACTTCAGTTTTACTTCATGTGGGGAAGATTTCATCGCCGAAGTTTGTAGACAAAGTGCAAAAATGTGCTTTTTGTTGAAGTTTTCTGCCTCACACAAAATCACATGATTAGCACGGAGAACTGCTTCTCCTTCCACTACTAGTCGACTTTTTCCGTCTAAATAGAGCACAATATCTCCAAAAGAACATCTACAACAGGAATTATTAGCGTTTTCGATCGAATATTGACAATCAATGTCAAGAAATTTAAAAACTTATCACTCATCAGTATACAGTACACAAGCTAATGGCACTAATGAGATTGAGTGAGGATTGAGTTTGTTTTCCCCCAATTTTGACGTGGCTTTGACATGGAACGATGAAACCGAGCGCCACCTGGTAACATTGATTCTCGCGAATATGATAATAGCTACAAGACAAAACAGCGCATGCTAGTTTAAAAAAAAACAGCGCATGGCAAAATGACTGACACAAAACAGCGCATGGTGAAATGAAATTTGTCAGATAAGCTCTCAGACAGAACAGCGCATGACAAAATATACTTCCTGACACGATATCTCCGGGAGAAAATATTAAAAGAAACGCTAATAATAGCTGTGGGACAAAACATCGTATGATATAATAGCTATAAGACAAAACAGCGCAAAACTAATACTAAGAAAAGAACATTTTTTCTGTGACGGGAAAAAAGTTTGGCATTTCATCTCTGTTGGCAGGTTATGAAATGTCGCTTTTCATAAGTTACTTTTTTCCCGTGGGCAAAAAGTGAGCCCGGATATATATCACATATATATACACTGTTGATGGCTTTTGTTGTGCTATAGTTCCGAAAAATGAGTCAATAATACGGTCTCTGAGAAAGAACTGCAAGTCCTTTTATCTTCCATTCGACTTCGCGGTTACGTATATTACTGAACAACCACTAAATCAAATAACAGAATCAGACTGACAGAAGTGACATCAGATATTTGATTACTTCAAATGAATGAATTTTCAGATTTCAAAATAATGTAATATTTTCTCAATATTGATTCGTCCTTTCTTCTGTCACAGAAAAAAATAGTGTATTATACACGGGAAAAATATAAGATTTTAGCTCACGCGTCGGGAGACAACACAACCTGGAGCTAAAATCTACAACTTTTTTCCCTTGTATAATAAATAACTATTTGTCATATGACTAAGACAAAACATCGCACGCTGAAACAAAACCTGTCAGAATAGCTCTGAGAAAGAACAGCGCATGACACTATGACTGAGACAAAATAGGAAGTAATGAAATAGTGTGAAGATAAAATAATTCCTGACACAAATTCACATGATATAAATCTTTTCAGACAAAACATTGCTTGACAAAACAGCGCCAAACATTGGGTGAAAAAAATAATAGTATTTGAATGATAATTGAGTGCTATTTTGTTTCATCTATTTTGTCACAGGGCTGTTTTATAATTGGTTTCACTGTATTCACTATGGTTAAAACTATTCAAGTTTTTTTGTTTGTAGCAAGAGGTTTTGAGTTATTCTTTATTGCTCAATTCCATTGAATTTTGATGAATTGTATGACGATTCCATCACAAATTCTGAAATAATCTAACCAAAGACTGTTCCAAAAGTACCTCTGTGATTATATTTCTTTCAATCTCATAATATATAATTAAGTATGTCTAATTGAAATATAACGTCAGAAGTGTATTCCAGATATACTTTATGGGTATAAGATATTCACCATACTCTTAGGAATTATCATTCCATGTTTATATTTTCCTGTTATTCACTTTGAATTTACTCTTTTTGTCTGTGTTACTAGCTTAAGCTATATTTCGAGCTTTAATGTAAGTTAATAATTTAACAGTGCCCTCCTGCACGCATTTTTACTAATATTAGTACAATTTTAGTTTGTTTAAATAAATCATATACAGAGTGTTTTTGATGGCATACGCAATTTTTACACTAACACAAAAAATCACCCTCACAAATTCTATTGAAATGTAAGCCTATGGTTTGAGCTTAAGTAAATGTTGAAATTACATACCTACTGTTTTGTTATTCGAAATCGATAAATCACCCTGTATCTCTGTTATAGAGACTGAGACTCATCAAATATGGTATTTTTAGAACCACCTAAGCGATCCCGATCTACCATTGAAATATTTCCCTCTACCTATGAAACACCCTGTATACCTAACCCATAAAGCGCCTACCTTGGTTGCAAAGAGGGTTTACCGACGACAAGGGTTGATACTCTCCCCTCGCAAGGGTACCTGTCGTGTCTCCATCAAGACATAATGATGACTATCGAAAAATTTTCTATGATATATCGCCTTCCATAACAAATATGAAATTTTGAAGAAATATTCGGAATATATTTAATATAATACGGAACAGAGTTGGGTTAGTCATCATCGATCGCTGGTTTCTGGTCCAATTTCCTATTTTTTCTGTCATTTCTCCGTTGGGTTCAAATGGTCGATTCATAACACGTTGCTTCTTCGATCTAAAACATAGTGGGTATTAGATTTCGATTGTTGAATAAATTGTGAATTCAAATTATGAAAGTTACATGGAATAGGAAACTAAAATATTTACGAAAACTGTTTCCAAATTCCGTTGCTGAAATGCGACATATTCGATAACCCAAAAAATGACCGCAACCGATAGCCAACAATTTTCTCCTAAATGAAAGTCACTGCATATACCTAACCCATAAGGCGCCTACCTCGGTTGCAAAGAGGGTTTACCGACGACAAGGGTTGATACTCTCCCCTCGCAAGGGTACCTGTCGTGTCTCCATCAAGACATAATGATGACTATCGAAAAATTTTCTATGATATATCGCCTTCCATAACAAATATAAAATTTTGAATAAATATTCGGAATATATTGAATATAATACGAAACAGAGTTGGGTTAGTCATCATCGATCGCTGGTTTCTGGTCCAATCTCCTTTTTTGCTGTCATTTCTCCTTTGGGCTCAAATGGTCGATTCATAACACGTTGCTTTGTCGATCTAAAACATAGTCGGTATTAGATTTCGATTAATAAATAAATTGGGAATTTAAATTATGAAAGTTACATGGAATAGGAAACTAAAATATTTACGAAAACTGTTTCCAAATTCCGTTGCTGAAATGCGACATATTCGATAAGCCAAAAAAATGACCGCAACCGATAGCCAACAATTTTCTCCTAAATGAAAGTCACTGTATATACCTAACCCATAAGGCGCCTACCTCGGTTGCAAAGAGGGTTTACCGACGACAAGGGTTGATACTCTCCCCTCGCAAGGGTACCTGTCGTGTCTCCATCAAGACATAATGATGACTATCGAAAAATTTTCTATGATATATCGCCTTCCATAACAAATATAAAATTTTGAATAAATATTCGGAATATATTGAATATAATACGAAACAGAGTTGGGTTAGTCATCATCGATCGCTGGTTTCTGGTCCAATCTCCTTTTTTTGCTGTCATTTCTCCTTTGGGCTCAAATGGTCGATTCATAACACGTTGCTTTGTCGATCTAAAACATAGTCGGTATTAGATTTCGATTAATAAATAAATTGGGAATTTAAATTATGAAAGTTACATGGAATAGGAAACTAAAATATTTACGAAAACTGTTTCCAAATTCCGTTGCTGAAATGCGACATATTCGATAAGCCAAAAAATGACCGCAACCGATAGCCAACAATTTTCTCCTAAATGAAAGTCACTGTATATACCTAACCCATAAGGCGCCTACCTCGGTTGCAAAGAGGGTTTACCGACGACAAGGGTTGATACTCTCCCCTCGTAAGGGTACCTGCCGTGTCTCCATCAAGACATAATGATGACTACCGAAAAATTTTCTATGATATATCGCCTTCCATAACAAATATAAAATTTTGAAGAAATATTTGGAATATATTGAATATAATACGAAACAGAATTGGGTTGGTTACTCATCATCGATCGCTGGTTTCTGGTCTGATTTCCTCTCATTGTCATTTCTCAGTTGGGCTCAAATGGTCAATTCATAACACGTTGCTTTTTCGATCTAAAACATAGTGGGTATTAGATTTCGATTATCAAATAAATTGGGAATTGAAATAATGAGAGTTACATGGAATAGGCAACGAAGACTGTTCCCTAATTCCGTTGCTGAAATGCGACATATTCTATTACCCATATCAAAATTGAAGAAAACACTCACCATTTTCAAATGGATACATCGCCATTTCGACCACAAAAATTTGATGTTCCACAACGAAGCCAAACCATACACTATTACACTCTCACACACAAATAATACAATATG